AACCATCCGAACACGGTCTTGGCCCACCACGCTCACAGAATTTGCGCGAGCTTCTTGCAGGTATAATATTTTGAGAAGGGGTATGGAGCTTGGCTTAATGGTGCTCGTCAGTCTTTTTGCTCCCAGAAATTCCTAAACCGCTGAGCATCTATCAATCTTCCCATTTTTTGAATTTTCTATACCTAAATCTAAAATGAACAACAACTGAACTCCTCTCTTGATGATGGTGCATCACCCTTCTTTAGATTTCTTTCTTAAACAGAACATTAACCACTGACTACGTCTTTCTTGGGGTAACCACTGACGACCTCGACTCTCACAGGTGTACCCTCTTTGGGTGAACTTCGTGGCAGATCCCGCACGAGCGAAGACCATCGAGCGGGCGATTGCCAGGTCTCTCGCTAGTCCAGATATTCGTGAGTATCGACATCTGTTGCGCACAGTAGCTGCTTACTCAGCCTTCACTTATGAGTCAATAGTTCTTGTAGCTGTAGTCTGTAGTACAAAGAGCAGTGGGTGAGTCGATGATCATGTTAGTATCCTCTTTACAGAGGTCGAATTTTGTTGGACTGATGTGCTTGTTCTTTCTTTTTGCGAATGCGCGGATGTACACTGTGTATAATCCTATAATGTATGACTATGAGTCAGAGGCTGAGTCAGCTTCTTCTGGTTTCAACATCTACTTGCCACCTCTGCTTGCTTCTATCTTTCTTAGACTTCTAATCTCCTTTCGGGTACGACGTTTTGCCGTATCAGACAGTAGCGACAGTAGAGAGGCTGATGCAGACGAACGTGAACAAGCGGTTTAAGCAGTGTATCGAATGGAACGCGGGCATCCTGAGAGCTCACAGAGAAGCAGCCAAAACCTTGTTCACTTTATGGGTTACTTTTCAAGAATATCTTAAGAAAAATATTATGTACAAGCAATGGCAAGTGTAAAATACCTAAAGAAAACCAAATCTAAAAAATCTAAAGGACACCAAATCTGAAAAACCTAAATAAGAGCAACCAAATTTAAAATCCTGAAGAATATCAACCAACCCGAAAAGTCCTCCTAGTGCAGCTCCTCACGACCTCACAACCACACTCTTCCTCTAATCAAACCAGGAATGTATGAGCAAATCGTGCGTAGGAGTAGTGCCGATCCCGACGTATTTTCACGGACACTCTGCGTTTGGGTGCTCTGCGTCATGTTCGAGAATCTTGCAGTTTCCGTCGCATCCCCAGCTGCAGCATCGTCCAACAACGCGTCGACAGGACCTGCAGCAGGGAATTAAGAACTCTTTTTATCGGATTTTTTAACTTGATGTGAATATAAAATTTTTAGAGACGACAGGTGGGACCACGGGGACGTCTTTTACCTTAGACTAACGGGACTCGTAATTCCATTCAATGATAGAAAAGTTGGTGCATTACTAGACTTCATAAACAGGTCCCGAGGAAATTCAAATTGTTTTTTACTAAGAGTGATTCTTAAACCTCACTCGTGGTGACCTTCTCTAAAACTACAACGCGACGGTTGCGGAGAAGAAGAAGACATTCTTAGAACTCGAGTTTCTGAATGTAGACGCCATGGTCCGACGAGCAGGCCTTGTTCGCGAACAGGGTGAGGATGAGAATGGGATCAAACTCACAGTCGATCTAGAACACGAACCATTGACGCCGAAGGTCGACATAACTTTCTTCCGCCAGAGCGACCTTTAAGGCTATTGTGTAGTTATAGTATACTACAAGATCATGAGTGTGTGTGTGAAGATGAAACAAAGCACGAGTAGCAATTTTCTTGCTGGTGGTCATTAGCTCTTCAGAATTTGTCTTACTTCTATTTTCGTAATATGAACACGAGTTTTTTGTTTTTACAACAAATTTCTTGAGAGTTTTTAGATTGGGGAGAGCGGTAGCTGCCGCTGCCCTCATTTTTGAAATTGGGGGATACTGTCCCATTCACATGTTTGTAGTGTCGACTGTTATCTCATTATTCTTTTCTCCCATCGAATGGTATCTCCTTCCCACCGTCTTCTAACCTTCGTTGTGCAGTGTGTTTGCGAAGATCACTTGTGACGTGATGAACCAAAGTTGGGACATTTCGATCCGGTTAGGAGGATTAGCAGCGTCTTTAGGTGCTATGGAGGCGCCAGAATTTTTCCTCACTCACTTGGTGGACCACTTCGCGATTACACCTGTGATGCGTGCACTTCTCCTGCCGTACCCAAGAGTGCACCTGTCGCAGCTGGCCTTGATTGCCATTTTGACGTCTCTGAAGCTACCGATGAACAGCAACACGATCCAAGAATCCTTCCTCGCGAAATTCTTTCAGTACTCATATTAACTCCGACTTCATACTTCGATTCTTGGTAAACACGACTTAATCTACTTTCACAGTATGTGCATATAGGTTTAGACAATGTACGCCTTGTACGTACGGATGGATACCCTCGTCTATTCGAGTTTTGTCGCTTTTTTTAGATCTTCTAAAAAATCTAAATCCGTCAAAGGCACCAAGAGTCGCTGTTGATCGGCATATCAAATTTCGCTTCGAATGGTGTTGTCCCAGACCCGTCTCAGCCCTTTGCCCGTGACGGTTCAGACAGCATATCTCCGAACCTTGGTTACGGCCTTATTTTCCGGTGGCTGTCCTTCACGCACGAGCTTGCCTTCGGACGCAGTATTCGGTCTTTGGCTACCTACCTGCTTGGACAGTTATGACAACCTGTTTCTTAGTCGAACGTAGTACAAGAACTACGCAGTAGTGGGTACAACAAAAACTCCTGCTGATGTCATGAAAAAGACAAATCTCAATCTTTTCTACTCATCTTTGTTAGTACAATTAAAAACAAGCTAAAAAAGTACGTGAATATAGAAGTTCAAGTTTCTAAGACCTTGCCTTGTTCCCCCAAAGAAAGCGCCGCCAAGTATCGGGAGTGCCGGAGAAGACCCATCATCCGGAGGTCCAGACTATCTCGCGGCCGTCTCGCAGCCAGCGCTTGATGATGTCACGACGTCAGACCCCGTCGATGTTCGCAGAGATGCGGTTTGTGAGTACTACTTATTTCTTCCTACTTATTTCTTCTTTCTGTAAAATAAGTGGGTTGTAAGTGCGTATTTTATCTTGAATGTGAGAGTGTTCTTCAGTTTGTGCTGCGATTTTAGAAAATTTAGATTTTTCCCCTTTACTGTGTCAATAAGTAGGACGTCCTTCCTTTTACAGTAGTATACGCTAGATGAAGATGAATTCTCTTTCCGAGGAGCCACATTGTTGATTTTGATTCCCACCTCAGGTGTCAGGATCCGACGGTACAGCTATCGGAGTTGCTGACTGATGAAATAGCCCGTGAAGACAAGCGGCTGTTGAAAGCTAGGGACCCTAAGACTCGGGAGGGGCCTCAGTATTCGACCTATCTCTGTCACCTTCTCTACGCGCTGGCCTTCGCAGTGAACACGCACCAACGAGCAGCGTCACAGTCAAGTATTCTTCTAAAAAGAAATGCAATCAGATGAAATATCTCTTTCAGAAAATCAGGTCGTTGACTGATCTTGTACCTTGTTCAGCATCGTCTAGATAAAATCGGAACATCAACTCCAACTCCAGATAAAATCCGTGGTGCCGCGTTGTTCCAGCTGATGAAGATTCAGAACATCCTCTCCCAGCAGATTCCACCTAGAGACTTGATGGACGCCAATGACGGTGGATTCTCCGAGATGAAGTTGTTCCTCTACGTCCGGGCAGCTGCCGTGGTTCGCTCAGCGCTGCAGTTAAGGATTGTTCTTGATGCTGTGCCTACTTTATAGTATTTATAGAAAGATTGCTGGTAAGTAGGCTAAGAGCAATTATTACTCTCTTCAGAGAATCATCTGCTTGTACCTAAATTTTTAAGAGAAGGTATTCTTATAGATACATTTAACTTTATACTAGTTACATTGGCAGCGCCACTCTTCTTTTATAAGTAGATTACCATCATCAAAACAAAGAATTTCCTGAAGAACCTCTCTAACTTTAGCAGTATTGAACTCCTGGCTTGCGACGGGTTTTACGGCGAAGGTAGCGCTTGCCAACGAACAGGGTGGCTACGACTTGCTCACATACTGCACCAAGCACATCATCCAAGCCTTCAACAACAAAACTGCGATGACCAAGTTACGAACTTCATATACGACTTTTTTACATGTCTCAATAATCTAAATTGATGACAACTGGACTTACTGTGAACTGAATCCTGGAAATTAATTGTAATCTAAACGTTAAAAATTGGCGGATCTTCCTGCGTATTATGATAGCAGGTCACCTGCTAGAGCTAGATTTAGGTGCAGTATCGGATGCTTTTTTTCGTTGTGGAATCACCAATTTGTCCTTCTAAAGATTGTCCTCGGTTCTCCGTGGGAGCGCATTATGATGGCCCAGGGCCCGACTCCGATGATCGTGGATCTGTATCTGAAGGTCTGTGAGTTGGAGGGCAACCTTTTGGCGGTGAACAAGATCGGCGGCCACAAGGCGTTGCATAACCTCAGTCGCTACGGGGATAGTACGGAAGTCCGACAAACGGCCACCATGTTGCTCACGAAGTTGGCAGTCCTCTTATCCGAAAAAAACCAACCGGCGGCAACCGACGGCGCGGAGGGTGCTGGTGGACAAGCTGCGGGAGCACAAGTGACAGACGTCGTAGCACCATAATAAGACCGATAGCACCATAATAGGGGCTTTACCAAATAAACTAAAAATCCATCTCAATCACAATCTAAACTTTAGAGAGAGCACTTTTTCTTCTTTGTAACTGTCAGAGTTGGTAGACTCAGAGCATAGAACGGAGTTTCCACACGAAGCTTGTTAGTAGTGGACAAAAGAACGACGCATCCATTTGAGGCTTTTCTAATTCGTTGCTAAGAAAGTACAAGCATCAAGTTATTTTTTTCTGTGGTGAGCGTAGGAAATACTAGAGACAAGGTCGATTTCAGATATCTAAAGACAAAGATCGCAGTAAGCGATAGGAGAACTTAGTTTTGTAATGTGCTTTTTCATTTCTAGGATCATTCGTTTCCAGGACACGGTTGCAGTTAGATTGTCACCATTTGCTTATGCATAGAAATGTACAGCTACAGCAACTTTTAGCCCTGGCTAAACTAAGGCTGAACAAAAAGCTACTTGGACGAGGAAAGATTCGAAGCACATAGATACAGTCCTCATATACGATGGAGAAAAAAACATCTAAAGAGACCTAGGAGGAGACGCCTCCTCATTGATGTATCTATTAAAAGATGAAGTCCAAGTCCACCGTCCGTCTGTATTAGTACGAGCGCAATACTTAACATAGATTGATGTGCTGTGAATGTTTCCTAAAAGAATCCTGATAGTGCTGTGAATGTTTCCTATGGTGTAATGCGTGACTAAGAAATGATCCTTGTTTGAACACTGAATAGTTTTCTAAATCCTAAATCTACTTAGATAATCTAAATACCATCATCAATCTACTCGTGAATCTATTGAATCTACTCTTGACTATGATGTTTTTGAACATGAAAATCTAAATAAATCTAAATCCAAATGGCGTAAGTAAGTAATGCACGTTCGGACCCCGAGAATGGAAGAATTCGAAAACCCAATTCCAGTATGAAATTCCTAGTATGCCCCATTCCAGAAATAGATAAATCATAATAGAAAATCTCGATCTCCCCTTCAGAACTAGACATAGGTCCCGTTTTATATCACCCTTTTACTAGGTAAACAAGATAAAGAACCTCTAGAACAACCGGCGTGAATTCGTCCGTCACACCTCCTTTTTTAGCACCCAGATCAATCTTGGCATGCGAATTCCCACACCCTCGCTCTCTAGGCAGTGTCCTATCCTATGTATTTAGATGATCTTCATCCGCTAGGTTGTTTCTAACTGACGTGTTCTAGTTCTGGCGTGTCAGTTCTGGCGTGCTGTCCTTTGCGAAAGAACTACCATATACATAGCGGTAGACATCTGACTAATTCCTCCCCGAGAAGAGCGCGGCTATCGGCTTGGCAGCAGCATTCTAGTACAACCTTCGGTAGTTCGGCAAGGAAAGTATGATCTTGATGCTGGTATCGGTAATTTGGCAAGGACATCATCTGCACCACCATCATCTGGATAGTACTATCGGTGTGTGCAACAAACAACGTCGAGGATCCAATGTTGTCGGTGCTCGTATCGTCTCCACACTTTGGATCTCCCCACACTTTGAATATTCTTCTCATGCTTAAACCACACGCAACTGTACTCTACTAGTACGAGCTGATCGATCTGTGGACGCTGTATCAGGTCGTGATGTTGTTACGGTTATAGTAGTAGCAGGACGTGTTCAGATACGTTTACGTTAGTAGTCTCCCTGCTGAAACTGTTCTGTGCTGGGTAGAAGGGTCTTTTTGCCGCAAGGGCAGTGCTTCTACACCCAGACGAGCTCCTGGGAGAAGATACAGCATCCTTTACATCGCTCTTGGTCTTTGCTGACATTCCGAAAAGGACCTTGTTTATGATCTTTATCTTGTACTACAGAGAAGAAGTTTTTTCGCCCATGACGCGCAGCAACTACAGGAATGAGTCGGGTTGTAGTGGAGGATGTTACGCGTACCGTCCTAGAGGCGTTTGACGATTGGATGAGTGCGAAGCGGTCTATTTCTAGTGCGGGTTGTTCAACAGGGAATGGCGCACGCCCTGGACAGCTTGACTCTCAAGTAGCAGTTGGGAATCACAATGTCGATGCCAAGGGTTTGCAGAAGTTGGTTAACTTATGGCTTCGAGTGATATCGATGACGTTGTTCTAGCACGAAGTTTTTACACAACAAACAGCAGGAGGGAACGAAGTTGTTGCACAGCAGTCGCATGAAGGTTTCAAAAAAGTCTACATCTGTCTCCCTCTATTTTCTTGAGCTAATAAAGCGCACAGAACCTACCGCTAATGTCAGAAGGAGTCGGTGATGACCGGTCCTTGCAGCAAGGAGCGGCGCCTCAAGAGTACCGCAGCGTGGAGAAAAAGATGATATGGCTTTCCTTCGTGTTTGTCGTTGTAGATTTTTCCTCTCCTTTGTGATTAGATTTTTTAGAAAATTGAATTTGAAATTTAGATTTTTTATAGCATCATAGTACTACATCTACAGATCGTGGAGCAAGAGTCAAAAAGCTCTTTCTAACAACAGAGACGGAGGCTGCGCAAAAGGGAGATGTTCTGCAGACACGACTGCCCAGGCATGCAGTTGCGCCAGGATCAGTGGTACCCCTTAGTGGCGGTCTAGTCAAGGGTGATCAAGGCGGTACCAACTGCTCGACTCCTGTTCTTCTAGGCAATGGCGAAGACGGTAAGCCGAGTGCTGTGCTGGAAGACCGATGGCATCTTGTGAACGGTATGGAAATGGATAGTGATCATAGATCATTCAGGTGTTTTTAGAAAGATTTAGATTTTTTAGAAGTTGTCGTGACACTTTGTCACATTTTTTCGCTCTTCTGTGTCCTTCTCGTTTTTGAAAGTCGGAAGAGGTCGTGTGCAAATTTAGAAAATTTAGATTTTTGGTTTCAAGAAGAAGAAGATACAGACACAGACACTGAGGAGTCAAGCTGAGAAGATACAGCCTCTTTCATATCTGCCGCATTCGGGAGATTTCGACGCATGTTGAAAGCCGGGATCGAGCGATTGGAGAGATTGTTGGAAGAAGATGCTTTGTTAAGGCAAACGGGAAAAGCAATACATAGGAAAGGAAAACAATTTGATGTAGATTTAGAGTTGTTCTTCTTGTTTGATAGATCTGTAGTGCTCAAGGGGAAAATTTAGAGGGAAAACTCTACAGAGTTTCGTAAAGGAGGAAAGAAATATAGAGTTCTTTCGTAAGCAGGAAAGATAATCTCGTTAATGTCTAACTTTGCAGTTAGCTGAGCGCGAGCACACTTCTCGTGTTACGCGACGGCGCAGACTATTTCTGTAGAAGGGAAGACCATTGCACTGTACCACGTTTTCAAGCCGCAGACTATTTTTGTAGGCTTCTGTAAAACATGACGAAGTGAAGATGCCACTGTAGCTGTACTACGTGTTAGATCCTGCAGGAAGCATGGATTATGCCGCACAGAGCTTGTGGTCACTTGCAGCCAAGATAAACGCGGCTTCCGGTCACTTGCATCAGAGGACAAGATGATTACTGAAATACATGAGCGTACTCCTTGTCGTTTTCCCTCACCACATGTCATGGTTGATTCTCCTTATCGTCTACGCCTGGAATCGCGAAGATCTAAAAAATCTAAATTATCTAAATGAACCTGAACCACAGACATACCTCCGCCACCTGAGTCTTGTACTAAAGGATCAAGGTGTTGTTTACGATGAGTACGACGACTTAGACGTGGAAGAGTTATCAGACACATAGAGGGAAAATGGCGGCAGAAAATCTTGAGAAGCTAGGCAAACAAGGATAGAGAAGAGTGAAAAGAATGAAAGGGACATGAAAAACCGATGATGAGAGGAGTAGTGAGACCTGAGAGAGTGAGAGTGAGGGTGGAAAATGAAGAGACGATAGAGGGAGCAAAAATGGAGCAGATTTTCTACTGAAATGAAACGCCACGAATTATTAGAATGAGCATGATATAGCAGTGGTAGCTTCTCTACCAACTGCTTCTCTTTAGTTTTTTTAGAAAGTGTAGGACTAGTTTCTTCTTCTAGCAGTAGAAGGTGCTGTAGCACTCTGTCTGAGACTCTTTGTGTTTGTTCTGTTGAGTTTTCTAAACATTCTAAATCTTGCAAAAGATTACTTCTGAATCAAGAAAAAACATGATGACCAACTTCCCTTTTCTTAGTTGGCGATGCACATGTGTATGTCCACCAACAGCATAAACCCATCCACCTTTAATGTGCAAAACCCAATGAAAACAGTCGAACTTTAGGTGAGAGACAAGACTCAGGGGACACCAAGTGGTCCGTTTCGTTCTTCATCACGTTTTACTAATACAGCACAACACAGCATAAAAAGAACCTTTGGAGAATTGATTTTAGAAACAACATACTACTACTAGACGAGACCTCTCAGGAGTTACAAGATACAATCACAGGAGATAATTCTTCAATTTAGATTTTCAAATCAGATTTATACAACATCAAACGAACACGAAAACAATACAGATCAAGACTATAGTACATCAGATAAAGAAGATCTCCACATTGAACAGAAAAGAGTCTTTTCTCGTCCGTTTCAGTTTCACGCTTCAAAGAACGCAGTACGAAAAACGCAACAAGATGTCCGTTTGCAATATTATGGACTAAGTAATCAGAAGTCTGAAGATAACCATACTTCTCGTAGAACTTTCGTAAAAAGAACCTGTGCGAGAACATAAGAATATGTCGCAACATACTTTTTGTAGAACCTGAGCACGAGTTGTAATCAGCATGAAGACGAAGATTATGAACTACGACAAGAACTTGAAATAACAAGGTTATTTCAAGATAAGGGAAGACAGCCAAATGATCTCAGAAGCTTTTAGATCGTTTGGTTGTGCTTGTAAGTGTCGTCTCGACTCTGAGACTTTTTCAGGAAAGTGGAACGACTTATCGTTCCAAGATACTTACTACGAATAGAGAGACTTTTAACGAAATCGAAAAATATCGTCATTCAAGACACGAGTCTATATTCGTCATCTTCTGAAAAGAAAGACCCACTAGGGTCTATAACAAAAGAAGCACTAGTACTAGGGGCCGTAAGGGACCAGCAGGGGTAGCTGAGAACTTTCCTGCACGTGCTTAGAGACTAGGGTCAGCGGAATAGTCACGCAGCAGTTTTATAATTTTTTGAAAAATTTAGATTTTTGAGAAGCATTTACATTTAGATTTTTTAGAAGCACTCACTGAGGATTTTTGAAGAGAAACACTTAGAATTTTTAGAGCTCGATCGTGCTACTGAGTTCTAAAAATTCTAACTACCTAGAGTGAGTTCAGAAAATTCAACCTCAACCGCTACTCGACATGTGTCGGGCTCGCCAATACCTACTCGTACTCACAACTAGGTATCTATAAAGATGTTGAGTATAATCTGCTAGCATTTCTATCAACTACTCAGTGAAAAAAGGAAAACCCTCATGAGTACTAACACCTCTCCGCGAACTTAATGACTCGAGAGAGATCGACAGGAGTTGGTTCACGGCAAGGAGACCTCTTATCTTGAGACAGCATCGATCTTGGGGATTTCTTGTCTACAGACCTCTTATCTTGAGACCTCCCATCCTGAGTAGACTCTTCACGACAAGGGTGGAGCTTCAGCTCTAATCGGAAGCTGTTCCTCCTCGCTCCTGTGTTGGTGGGTGCCATTACGCCGCGTGTCGAAAAGAGTGTGGCACGCATTCCCTCTATCGGAGGTACCAATGATCTTAAGATTTCTTAGTATGCGTCTATTGGAACTCTTGGAGGTACCAATGAAGATCTCAAGAATTCTTAGTATCCGTCTATTGGAATTCTTGGAGGTACCAATGAAGATCTCAAGAATTCTTAGTATCCGTCTATTGGAATTCTTGGAGGTACCAATGAAGATCTCAAGAATTCTTAGTATCCGTCTATTGGAATTCTTGGAGGTACCAATGAAGATCTTAAGACTTCTTAGTATCCCTCTATCGGAGGCACGGCCAACATTTTTAGATCGCTTAGTAAGTATCCTATTCCGGTTATTGGAAGTACAACCAATCTTGGGACTCCTTAGCATGAAACGCATTGTGCGTATTGGAAGAAACCCTTGAGATTTCGGAGAGATCTTTAGACTTTTTAGAAGAAATGAATGAATGAAAGTGACAGTCTTCACTGTCAGAGTTTTTTAGAAAGGATTTGGATTTTCAGAGGTCTTTAGACCGGGTTTCCTTGGATAGAGCCTTTTGATTCTTTTTGAGCGATATCTACTTTAGGTTTTCCTTTGAGGAAACAGCAAAAAGCTTGAAGAGGGGGCTCAGTTCTTGAATCAATTAGTCCTCAAAGAGGACTCATTTCTTTAGAATTTTTTAGAAACAGTAACTGACTCCTTGGTATGTATCCTTCATCCGCGGCGCGGGTAGTGCATTAAGTTTAATGAGTGACTTCTTTTTCGCAGTAGCCCATAGAGCTACTGTTTTGGGACACTCTTCGTCACATAGTGGGAATCGATTGATTAGTACCGGGGATGGTTTACGTTTAGTCTAGAGAGTTAGGTAGTTAGATTTTTTAGAACAGAGTTCGGACTTTTAGATTTTTTAGAAATAGCCTCAGCCTACTCACCCGCTTTCTCAGAGAGAAAGCGTTAGATTTCGCCCTCCAAATTTTTTACATCGTTGGAAGACGGCTTGCCATTTCTTGGGATGTGTTGACGTTGTAATCAACCTCTTTTAGATCCTCTAAGCACTTTTTTAGGAATGCAATCTCAAGACCAGAAGCCATCTAATTATCCAACTTAAAAACAAGAACTGCGCGCATTTGCGCTTAATAAGAGCGTAAGTAGTAGTCTTTGCGTTTTTCAACTCTCAGGTGGCGACGTTTTGGTGCGTGACTTTTTTCCGAAAAAAAATGGTCTCCACAGTGCGGCCGGCAAGATTATGGCAATGATGTTACATCGGGTTTCTAAACTTTCTACATCGGAAGTAGGAGGGTGCTGGTCTTCTAGATCCTTAAAGTGGGTACATTCATTCGCCCACTCTACATTAGTAGAATTCGCTGAGGCTCTACATCGTTTACCTTCTCGTTCTCAATCGGATTCTAAATTATCTAAATTAGCCTAAGTATCTATGAGATTAGGGGTTCTTCCCTAGTACGAGGGCCCTTCACATATAATAAAAATTAGGCCTTCTTCGTGTGTTTTCCTTTTCTTTTGCTTGAATCTTACCAATTACCTAGCTACCGAAAACCTTACGCATATCTTTCCTACCCACCTCCTACCTGCCTGCTCTTACTTACCTACTCTTACTTGCCTCCTACTCTTACTTGCCTATTCGTACCTACGTATCTGAAAAAGTCTTACCTCGCTCCATGATGAGTGAATATTATGAATGCCTTTCCTCATCCTCACTGACCCTAGTACAGCCTACCTTCGTTATTCCTGATGCTACAACCCGAACCCCTTTCATATGTTACCATCGCCTAAAAGTTGTTGGCAGTGCGGGCAAGACGGGTACGGCCGTGGTTCTCCTGGACACCGAGTCGCGCTACGAATTTTCTGAGCCTTATGGTGGGGTAGTATTCCCATACTTAGTGCATGTTGTATTCGAAATCTTAAGACAAGCAAGTAAGTTCAAGAATAGCGTTCTAAGTTAGTAGCTCTCTGAGATCACTTTACTCGGCTATTTTAATTTCTCGAATCGCTTGCACATGGTTGTACTCTGATGACATGCACTTACATGGCTGTTGTACATAGTTGGCATATTTAGTACATATGCATGTAGTCGTGATTAGTGCACAGTTCTTGTACTCAGATTGATGATCTACAACGGAGGACCTTCTATGAGACAGTATATGATAGAGGTAGTTGCATTTACTACATTTGAAATGTACTCCAACATCTTCAGTTGGAGTTGTATACATGGGTGTGAATGGTTCTGGTATTTGGTTACCTGAATTCGATCACAAGGATTCTCTTCCTGTTTTCCCTTATGATCAAAATCAGGCTACCAAATACCAGATGGGCCATCCATCAGCTGGAGTTGTATACAGGGGTGGCGAAATGTTAAATCATCTGTAGTTAAAGCATAGACGAGACACCAGCTCCTGTGAAGCGTAGGTGGACTGTTGCCTGTTGATGGTTTTGTTGAGCTGCTTTTGGTTGAGAGAGTAAATACATTTAGATTTTTTAGAAATTTTAGATCAACAGGAAGGCTAGACTTACTTTGGCTGTGAACTTTGGCAGGGTGATTTCGATCATTGGGGTTGCATTGCTGCGTACCCTTCTGATCGAAATCAGGGCACAGAATTCCCTGGAATAGACATGAGCGCTCGCCTCCCCGTAGGCGAGCTCGCTCCCAACTCATATCCTATAGGTGCCAGGTAGGAGCTGGAGCTTGCGCGCCGAGCGCCCTACTTTCAGAATGTTTTTGAGAAAGAGCTTGCAGAATTTTTTTAAGCATGATGTGATGGCTTTGGGATTCGGAATCTGTGGTGGGTCTTAGAAGTTTCAGGAACGTCCAGAAACAAGAAGTGACTTTTAGAACTTCCAGAAACAAGAAGCGGCTTCTTAGATGTTTTAGAAGTATGCTATTCCTATTGCTTCTTAAGGTTTCACTCACAGGTTTGGACTCCCGAGTTTTGTGTACTGAGTCTAAGGAACGGCTTTTAGAAACAAGGAATGACTTTAGAAGTTTTGGACAAACGGAGTGGTTTTCAGAATCACATGAATTTAACGCGCTCCTATAGAGGCACCCTGTCCTATCCCTTGGAATTTTCTAAGTAGAAAAACCTAGACCGTTTTTTACTTTTTTTTGGTAGTACATGTCATTACTTGATGGTCGCACAAGTCGACAACAATAGCTACATAGGAGGCGCCATGACATGGCAACTCCATCCTCTCGAAATTTAGAAGTTCCATCCTCTAAAGCTTCCGCGTGGGTTTGTTGGAGCATTCGCGGAGCGAAGCTGAAAGCGCGCTCGATATGGAACAAAAGCGCCTGCTCTCTGCCATGGACCAAACGCGTACTTTCTTATTTTTGTAGACATTAGTTACGTACCTTCTTTCAGGACTCGTTGGCTCCACCTCGTCTAGGCTTTGAAAGGATAGAAATAAGCGAGTACTAGCCTGAATAAAGAAAGAGGCTAGGTGTCTCACGACTACTCTCCAGCTTGCTCGCTTATTTCGGCTCCTTGCTTAAAAATAGGCTATTTTGTACTAAAAATATTAGGCTTAAGTAGTCAATGTCAAACTTAGAGAGCAATTAAATCTGCTCAATCTCTTTCGCTTTTTATGAGAAGGAGTAAAAAGACAATCTTCGTCAACACTACGCGAATGGGTACATCACTACTAATACTACTTTCTCATGTAGCAGATTAAGACAATCTCCCTTCTTGCAGGCACCACGATGACTTCCTATCTGGAGTTCGACGAGCTGGATTGTGGTACCACTCCGAGCAACACCACTTACTACAAGGACAAGAACTACTTATGGCTGATACTCTAAATTTTGAATTCGCATCGAAGATCTAATAGTTCTTTCTCTCTCTCTCTCTGATATTTAATGATATTAATTTTTTATTATACTCGTCATTTTCATTTTTTTATACAATGCAAACACCTCTTCCGCCCCTGTGCAAACTTCAGACGTACCCCTGAACTGAGTTTGCTACTGCTACTACTACTCCTACGACTACTACTATCATCTAAATTTCAAAATTTGACTACATCGCTCTGATTCTGTTCTATATTTCAAAATGTGATTACATCGATCTGATTCTGTTCTAGACTTTGTTTATACTCTCTTTTTTCGTTACTGAAACAACTTGTTCGTCTCCTTCCTTCGCGAGTAGACACTAGGTCGTAAATACTTTCCGTATCGGAAATCTGGAGTCTTAGTACTCGGTACGCGCATTGCGCTTACGCGCGTTATATATGACTCAGGGCCGGACGGCCTCCCCTCCCCCCCCTGTGGTCTGGGCTGTGGTGGTGCGCGGGCGCGCTTTTCCGCGCGGATTTTTCGCGGATTCTAGTGGTGGAAGGCGTCAAAACTTGGCGCGGGCCTCCCCTTGGGCCTCTCAGCGTATTCCTGAGGGGCCTCCTGGCCTCTGCTGACCCTCGCAGGCGGGAGGCTTCCGGGGGAACAGGCCAGCGAAGGCGGCGACGATCGCAAGAGCACGCAAGCCGATGACCAAGGGCCCGGAGGGTACAGGCGGCACGGCTGCGGCGGCGAAGCTTAATGGATGCACTTAGGGCACAAGCAGGCACCTGGGCGGGGGCACAGGTGGTTCCTTTGGCCCCTTTTGAAGCCTCCCACCACCATCGGAGGCCCCTAGGGAACAGCCAGGCAGCTGGAAGAGAGCGGGGGGGGAGGTCACTGGGCCCCCTTTTGAGGCCTTCGCCCCCCCCCGGCAGACGCCTGAAAAAGGGGCCCAGGGCGCCCGCCCCCCCCCGCTAGGGGGGCGTCGCCCCGCGCCTTGGTACATGTATAGCCACAAGGTTGTGCGTACTGCGTACTGTACCTAAGTTATTTATTCTATTAGTATCGAGTCTGGCTCTGGCACCGAGTTCGTAACCCTTTGTGAAGTTTCTTGCTTGAGAACGGAGGAGCCACGCTTTTACCAGCCATTGTCTCCGCTTCTTGTTAGTTAGCCTCACGGCTTTTGAGCTGTTTTGCTCTAATGCACATGACGCGAACTGGCACAGAACCCGAAATCCGCGCTGTCAACCGCTGCGCGCTGGCCTGCAGCGAAATGGCGGCCACCGACTGTGGCGGCTTCGTTTTCGTCAAGAATGGTCCGACTTTATTTGTTCTTCTTCATGTTCGTGTTACATTTTTAGGAAGAGCCTAAATTTATATTTTTGATTTGGTGTTTGATTGACTCTGTTGTCATGGTGTCTTATGATTAATTAGGCCTGGTGGTTTCCTGTTGCTCTCCGGACATGCAGCGCCTGCATGACCCGCAGCGGGTCAAGCGAAGGTGCCTGCAAGCTGGGCCGAGTGTCTCGCAGCTCGCCGCGCTTGCGGGGTGTCTGAGATCGTCCCTGGGGCCATCCGTCATGGGCCCGCGCTGGCGTTTGCCGCCGGCGTTTTCCAGTGTGCTCCCCGTCTGGGTACGTGCGCGACACCCCCTCAAGCGGTCGGCAATTGCCTGATCGCAACGAGGCAGCAGGCCTGCGACCATGGTCGGCCAGCGTGAACCCGCTCCCTGTGTGGGCGTGTGTTCGGCGTGGCTTCCGTGGTTTGTGTATTTGTCACCAAAGAGCCCTGCGCCGCGTGTCGGTCCTTCTGTTGCTCTGGTGGTTTATCCGCATTGCCTTGCCTTTGGCTTGTGTTCTCGCCGACTCCTCGCTCTGGCGGGCCTCTCTTGGCTGGTCGTCGCCTTCGACTCCAGGATTGTGAGCCCAGCGGGGATCCCCGATGGAGGCTTCGCCGGAGTGGTGCCGGGAATCGTCGATGGATTTGTCGGGGGGTGTGTGTCTGGCTGCTGCCTCGGCTCGGTGTCGGTTGTGTATATTATAGCTGAGGTGGGCCTTCTGGGTGTGCCCACGCAATCGTGCTTGCGGGGCAGTGTCTCGATGTTGTTGGCAGTGTGTTCTCCGTGCTGTCTGTGTCTGCTTTGTGTATGTGTTCGTTTGCGTGCTTGGATGTGCGTGTGCCTTCGAGGCTGGCTGCGTGGTCGTTTGTTTTTTTTGCCTCAGGGCGCGGGCGCTGCTTGCGTCTCCCTTCTTCCCGCGCTTAGCAACCTTGTAGGAATGTCCTGTCCAGCCACCTCTAGGAGTTTAGGCGCCTGATTCGTTTCGGATTCGTTTCCGAATTCGTTCAGAATTTTGAGCGTTTGGCACTTTTTGCGGGGTTTTTTCGGTTTTTTATTTGGCTTGCTGACTTTGCTCTCGCGGGCGCGGCCCGCGTTGGGTTTTCTTCGGTTTTTTTTTGATTGAAGTGGGAGGCTTGAGGGGCAAAACTTCGCCGGTGTTTTTGGGTGTTGCTTAAGGCCGTCGGCTGCGGACTTTTGCAGGCAGGCCCCAAGGGCTTGACAGGCTTGGGAGCTGCCGCCTGCGTAGGTTTAACGATGACCGTGCGACGCCTTGCCCAGGCAGGCGAGCGGCGCGAGGGTGATCGGGCAGGCGTTTCGGGTGAGTAGGGTCGAGGGCTTCGGGGGGCCTCTTTGATTGTTTCTGGCTTTTTTCTGCTTTCGGTTGCAGCATGGTTGCGGGCTCATTGCCGGGCGCTTTTGACTGACCGCGTCGGGGGTGGGCTGGTCAGTGTGGTGCTCAGGGTTTTTTTTTATGGCGGCGCGCGTATTCTCAGGCGCTCGGCCGAGCTCGTGGCCCAGGGAAGCGCCAAAAAGTTCAGCCGGCTGCAGAAGGTGCCGCCCACAGATGGAGCCACGTTTTTCTGTGTGTGTTTGAAAATTGCCGCCGCCGCTTTTTGCTTCAAATGTATGATGGGAAAAGCTTCCACTTTTTTCGGCGTGTCCGCATGACGCGGCGAAGGCTTTGGGCGCCCTTTTTTGAAGCAAAAGTAAGGCGGCGGCGGTAAAACAATTCGCAAACAAGCGGGGGCGGAGCAGAAGGCAGCGCGAGAGCGCTGGACCTTCTCAGCCTTGTCGCATATGCGCGCGCTGTTCTTCAACTCCTACCGAAGCCGAAGTGGGCGCTGAGGGGCCGGGCTTATTGAATAGCAGGCCTCGCCCTGCATATACTGCCCAGAACTCGGCAGCGGCACAGGCTCTGGCTCGCTTGGCGCTGCCTTGGGCTTGATCTCATTGATTTATTTTGATTTGCCCGAGCCCGTGCGTCACAACTAACACACGCGGGCGGAGAGGAGTGGGGGCGGAGCAGAAAGCACAGCGAGAGCGCTCGCTGAACCTTCCCAGCCTTGTCACCCGCGCGCGCGCTTTAGGCTGAACCACGTCGAGGCGCATAGGCGCCCGATTCGTTTCCGATTCGTTTCTGAATTCGTTCAGAATTTATTTTGAGCGTTTGGCGCTTTTTGTGGGGTTTTTTTGTTGGCCTCTTGGCTTTGCTCCTGCGTTGGGTTTTCTTCGGTTTTTTTTTGATTGAAGTGCGAGGCCTGAGAGGCAAAACCTCGCCGAAGTTTTTGGGTGTTGCTTAGGTCTGTCGGCTGCGGACTTTTGCAGGCTTCAGGGGCTTGGCGGGCTTGGGGGTTGCTGCCTGCGTACGTTTAACGATGAGCAATAACTTTAAGCAATGACGACCATGGGACGCCTTGCCCCGGCAGGCGAGCGGCGCGAGGGTGATTGGGCAGGCGTTTCGGGTGAGTAGGGTCGAAGGGTTCTGGCGGCCCCTTGGGTTGTTCGCGTCTTCTCCTGCTTTTCGTTGCAGCATGGCCGCGGGCTCTTTGCCAGGCGCTTGCGACTGACCGCGCCGGGGGTGGGCTGGTCAGTGTGGTGCCCAGGGTTTTTTTATTGGGGGCGTGCGTGTTCTCAGGCGTTCGGCTGAACTCGTGGCCCAGGGAAGCGCCAAAAAGTTCAGCCGGCTGCAGAAGGTGCCACAGATGGAGCCGCATTCTTCTGCGCGTGCTCGAAAATTGCTGCTGCATCTTTTTGGTCCAATCAAACAAAAAACAAAGCAAGGGCGCCCAAAACCTTCCTTCGCCGTGTCAAGCGGGGAAGCCAAAAAGGGCCGAGGCTTTCTCCGTCTCTTTTTTTGGTTTCTGTAGGCGGTTCAAAGTGTCACCTTTTTGGCACCCTCTGGGCGCTTTTTGTGCTTCTTTTTCGGCTGTTTCTAGTGTGGTTCCGCGATCTCCAGGCCGCGGCCTTCTCGGCTGCGATCTGGGGGCCCCAAATTCGTTTCAAATTCGTTTGGATCCATTTCAAACGGGCCAAAAATAGAGCGCCCAGCGCACTAGAATCGGCTTCGTTGGTTTGGAATTGATTTGAGACGAACTCTGTCACGGATTTGAAACGAATTCCGGATCCTCAGATCGCGGCTGAAACCGCCTGCGGCTTGTAGATTGCGGGACCGCACTAGAAGCAGCCGAAGAAGAGGCGGAAAAAGTGCCCAGAAGGTCCCAAAAAGGTGGCGCTGTTCAGTTTCAGCCACCGCCTACAGAGACCAAAAAAAAGGCGGGAAAGGTCTCCCCTCTTTTTGGCTTCCCCGCATGACATGGCGGAGACATTTGGCGCACTTTTTTGAAGCAAAGCGCGGCGGTGGCAATTTTCAAACACGCGCAGAAGGGTGCGACTTCAGCTGCGACCCTTTCGGCAGGAGCCGGCTGAACTTTTTGGGTTTTATTTTTCTGGTGAGGCAAGGCGCAGGAGCATACGCGCGCCGGCACTTGAAACGCCTCGCGTGCTTCACTGGCTGGCGCTGGCGTGCTGCGTCGGCCGGGTCAGGTGTAGCCGCTACTTCCAGGCGTCAGCTTGTTTGGAAGCTTCCAAGGGGCCAAGGAATGAACAGGGGAACAAGCGGACGGCGGGCGCCTCCTATCATGGTCTTCGCCTTTATTCACCCCAGGCGTCAGCCTTTGCGTGGCTCGTTTGCTTGCGGTATAGTTTGGCGCGCCGACACGCTTGCGCAGGCTAGCAGGTGCCAGCCTAGCTGGCCTCCCTTAGGTGAAGCGGCGGCCGCTTGCTGCGGCAGCTTGCACCCAGTGAAGCAAGGACAGCGGGGGCGCCCTTTCAGCTTGAGCCAGACAGAGCAGCCAGCCAAATGCTGCCAGAAAAAGCCCACCGAGGCACAGGCTGAAAATGAGAAAAAAAAGACGAGAACCACCGGGGAAGGCCCCCAAATTGTGAGAAGCTTGAACAGCTTCGGCGTCCTCTGTGAAGATCAAACCGAAGGCCCTGCTTCGTCCCGGAGCTGATGAGCAAGGGCAGGATCAGGACAGGAAGCAGGGCACGCGGCTGGTGCTGGTGCTGGCAACGACCGAAACAAAAAAGGCAAAGGCAAGAAGGGCGCGACGGGCAATTTCGGCGGCTTGGTGAAAGGGAAGAAAGGCAAGAGTAAGCAGGCGCGCGGTGGCAAGTGAGGAGCCACAGGGAAAGAAGGACTCGCTGAGGAGCTGAGCGCGAAGGTGATGATGCTAGATTTCGCCACTTGAAAGAGCTAAAAGGCGGCCTTACCTGATTTCAGCAAATGCGTACACAAGAGCTATCGTCTGCATGGCAGTCCGTCCCCGGCATTGTGGGCGTGTTGTATCTGTCCCACATGTCAACACTGAGCGAGAACAAGACAAGGGCACCCCCCCCCGCTAACCCGATGGGCACTAATGACGCCAGAAGGGCCTACCAATGTTGTGGGTTCTATTGGGCGAAAATGGTGGCGAGCTGCAGCATGCTAATGCGTATGATTTCGGAAACGAATAGGAAACGGGTCGAGACGAGTCTAGGGACCTCGAGGCGGTTCTTTCTGAGCGCTGTCCTTCAACTTCTACTGAAACCGAAGCGGGCGCCGAGGGACCGGGCTCATTCTAAGCTTCGCACATACTGCCCAGGACTCGGCTTCAGCGCAGCCCTTGGCCTGGCGCTGCCGGCCCTGGGCTTGGTCTCATTGCTTTGGCTTTTCTGGCCTCGTGCATCACAGCACCCACACGCGGAGAGGAGTGGGGGCTGAGCAGAAGGCAGAACGAAAGCGCTGGGCCTTCTGTCTCAGCCCTGTCACATGTGCGCGCGCTGTCCTTCGACTTCTCATCCGGATGGCTTGAAGCTGGATGCAGGTCTAATCTTTTCTGCCTCTGTTTTTCGGCTATTTGCAGGGCTGTCCTGCACCGGGAGGGACTTTGGGGGAGTCAGTCTTTTGCTCGCTGTGTCGGCGTAAAGTCTCTGCTTTATTCTTGCGAGGTTACCGGCGGGCCCCCTCTAGTTTGTTGGCGGGTTTGCCTTTTGGGGCGCGCCTCGAGGAGCCCGCCCCCGTCTGCCCCCCATCTTGGCAGCGTGTGTGGGGACGTATTCGCGGGGCTTTGCTGCGTGGGGCAAGGGTAGGCTGTGGCTGCTTGTTGAGGCTTCGGGCGGGGCCTTCAGCCTCTCGCCGTTCGTCGGTTGGTTCTATTTGGGTTGGGGGTTGTGGTCTATTTGGGAGTGAGCGGTTACTTTTTCGGGGTCTATTTTGGTTCTTTTTGGGAGATTATTTGTGGTCTTTTTTTCGGTTTTCCAGTCCCGTTGTGGACTTGGAAAAAAGTCTATCTCAAAGGGTATGCAAAAGTCTACTTGGGGTCTATTTGGTTTCTTAGGCTATATTAACCAAAATCGGCCGTGGCCGAGTTGTAAAATTCGGCTGTGGCCGCTGACCAAATAGACTCCCAAAGAGCGCCTTAAAAGTAGAGAACTGCGAAAGTTTTCCGAAATGTAATGAAGCAGGCCGTTTCCAGTTCTGTCTCGAGGATGGTGGCCGGGCGGTCGCTCGTCTGACGGTTGGGTCTGGCAAATAGCCGGACACCTCACATCTGAGCACCCGGTGGCGCAGTCGTGTTGGGTCTCGGCTTTTGTGGGGTTCGGCGCTCTGCAGGGGTGGCCTGCTGAGCAGTCTCGGCTCGAGGACCTCCAAACGCTCTCGCGGGCGTTGTGGTGGTTGTTCCAGGCATGTCCGTCGCCCCTTCGGGTCTATTCGTAAATGGTTTCGGCATGATAGCCCTTCGCGTGTTCATCAGGGGGCGACGGTGGTCGCCGTGTGTCTGCCCTCAGTGCTGTCGCTGGTTGGAGCAGGTGGAGCGAAGCGCCCACCAAATAGCCCCGCTATTAGCCGAAAAAGAGGTGGCAATCAAATAGTCAGCTTGGGCGCCTCCGTGGATCCGGGTGAAACTTCTACGGGAACGGAAGTCGGCGCTGAAAAGCCGGGCTTCGTGTTGGCCTTGCGTATACCGCCCAGAACTCAGCCTCGGCGCAGCCTCTGGTCTGGCGTTGCCTTGGGTTTGGTCTCATCGGTTTGATGTGCCTGGCCCCGTGGATCACAACACACGCGGAGAGGATTGGGGGCTGAGCAGAAGGCAGGGCGAGAGCGCTGGACCTTCTCAGCCTTGTCACCCACATGCGCGCGGGCTGTTCTTCATTCAACTTCTACCGCGACCGAAGTGGGCGCTGAGGGGGCAGGCTGATTATATTGCAGGCCTTGCATGTGCTGCCCCGTATTCGGCTTCGGCGCCGCCTCTGGTCTGGCGCTGCGCTGGGCTTGACCTCATTGATGTGATTTGCCCAACCCCGTGCACCACAACACACGCGGAGAGGAGTGGGCGTTGAGCAGAAGGCAGAACGACAGCGAGAGCGCTGGGCTTTCTCAGTCTTGTCGCTTCACGTCCATGCCTGCGCGCGCGCTGTCTTTCAACTTCTACCGCGGCCGAAGTGGGTGCTGAAGACCTGGGCTTATTGTGGGCCTTGTATATACATACTGCCCAGAGCTCGGCTGCGGCGCAGCCTTGTCTGCCCCTGGTCTGGCGCTGCCCTGGGCTTGGGTTGATCTCATTGATTTGCCCGGCCCCGTGCATTACAACACACGCGAAGAGGAGCAGGGATGGGGGCTGGGCACGGAGCAGCAGCAGAACGCAGGAGAAGCAGAGCAGAACTTTGCCCCCTGTTCACTTCTCACCTCAGCCCGGGCCTGTTCTTCGGCTTCAGTTCAGCTCAAGCGTGTGGGCGCTGGGGCGTCGGGCTTACTGTAAGACTAGGCCTTGCATATATTGCCCAGAAATCGGCCTCGGCGCAGTCTCTAGCCTGTCTCGTCTGGCGTTGCCTTGGGCTTGATCTCATTGATTTGCCAAACCCCGCGCATCACAACACACGCCCGCGGAGAGGGGCAGGGGCTGGGGCTGAGCATTGAGCAGCAGCAGACCAGAACGCACGAGAACCAGAGCAGAATCCTGGCCCCTGTTCCCTTCTCGTCTCAGCTCCCTCTGGCTTGTTCTTCGGCTTCAGCTCAAGCGCGTGGGCGCTGAAGAACCGGGCTCACCGTAAGCCTTGCATATACTGCCCAGGATTCGGCGCCAGCGAGCGCAGCCTCTGGCTTGGCGATGCCTTGGGCTTGATCTCATTGATTTGCCTAACCTTGTGCAGCACAACACACGCGGAAAGGAGCAGGGTGGGGGCTGAGCACTGAGCAGCAGCAGAGCGCACGAGAACCAGAGCAGGGCTCTGGCTCTTGTTCACTTCTCACCCCAGGGCCCTCCGCACTGCTCTGGTGGTCACTCATTAGCTTGGCGCAGTTCACGCCATCCCGTGCACCAGATCACATTTGGGGGGGGTCGGCTGAGGAGTCGGACCCAGACTGGAATGGGCGCGGAGCAGAAAGAGACCGCTGGGCCTCACCTTCTCAGGCTTGCTCTTCAACTTCAACCCAAGCGGGCGCCGACGAACCGGGCCCATGCTCCATCGTCTTGCGCTGCTCCGAATTCGGCGCAGCCTCTGGCCTGGTGCTGCCTTGGGCTTGATCTCGTTGGCTTTGCTTACCCCCTCCTTCCCTTTGTCACTTCACTCGGACACGGCCGGGCAGTTCTTCTGGCTAAAATCTGGCTAAAAAATTTCTAATTTTCGGGGTGTCTGCTCGTTCGGCTTGTGTGGTCGTGGTGTTTGGGGTCACTCCTTTTTTTGTGTTGTTGTGCGGGTCGGGGTGCCGTGGTGTGGAGGGTGGTGGGGGTCTTAGGTGAGACAGGTCGCGGCGGCCTCGGTTTCTGCTTGTTCTTTTGCAGGGGGTTGCGTTGTTTCTGTTGATATGGTTGAAGGGGGGCCAGGTTCCTTGGGGAGTGGGGAGTCTTGTCGGTGCCCCCTATGTCCTCGCGCTCGGCGTGATCGGCGGCGCGTCGCTCGTTTCGAGGTTCTGCCCACGTTTCGCAGTCGTCGCTGTTGGCGCCTCGTGGTCGTTGTTTTTTCGGGGTTGGGGAAGGTGTGTGGCCAAGGGGGGACGGGTGTTGATATGTCGTGGGGCATTGCTGGCGAGGATGGTTGGGCGCGTCGGTCTTCGGGTTGTGGCAGCCTGTGCTCTTGGTGTTGAGTGCGTCATCGCTAGTCTGGGGCTGCGTGTTGGGTGGGTCCCTTGTTGTGTTTTCGTGTCTTCGCAGGGGGGTGGGGGGATGTCGTTTGGCGGGGCGTTCTGTCGTTTGCTCTTCTTCGTCAAGCGCGTTCTCGGGTCTCGGTTCAAAAATTCTAATTTTTTTCTAATTTTTTTTCTAATATTTAGGGCTAATATGTAGTTCTAATTTTAGGGGTCTAGTATGTCGTTCTAATTTCGGGGTTAGGGAGGGGGGGGGAGGGCTTAAAAATTTTTCTAATATTGGGTTCTAATTTATTTTGCGGGGCTTTTTGAGGGGTGTTTTTGGGTGTCTAAAATTGTTCTAATCGATATTCTAATTTGAATTCTAATTCTTCGAGGGTGCAAAAAAAGAAACAACTTGGCACCCCCCTAGTGCGGGGGGGTCAAGTTGTTTCTTTTTTTGCGCCCCCGAAGAATTAGAATTCAAATTAGAATATCGATTAGAACAATTTTTAGAAGGCTCTGGAAAATATTAGAACCCGGATTAGCCTATGAAATTAGAATAATTTTTTGAGCGATTTGGAGTGTGCACAGGTCCCGTCCGGGCCTGGTGTAGTTGCCGGACTCGGTGAGTGGCTCGTGAGGTTGGGGCTTGGGGTCGGCTCGCGGAACAGGGCCACTCCAGGGCCGTTGGGTTGCCGCGATCGGCCTCCCCGGAGAGCGTGGCGCTGGCAGTGGTGTGTGTCTTTCGGGCAACCGCCTTGGGTTGGGGGTAGGTTATTCCCAGCCCCCTCTGGGGGTCTTTTGGCGGGGTTTGCGTCGGAGGTCTTGCTGCGGTTGGTGTGGTCGCGGCGGTTGGTCCCACCGCGGCCCCCGCGCCCGGTTTTCGTGGTGGGTGTTAGGATTTGCGGAAATTCTCGGCCGTCGGGTTAGGTCTCCTGTTCTGGTGGTGCTTGCAGGGTGGTCTGGTGTTGCCCGTGGGGTGTCGGCTCTCTGGATCATTGTAGGAAGGTACGTGGAAGCTGGTGGGCCTTGTGGTGGATGTGGTGCGCGAGTCTCCACGAATTTCCAGCCGCCTGGCCTCGGGTTGTCTTTCTGTTGGTGTCGTGTTCGCGTGTGTGTCGTCGGTCTTCAGCTTGTGCCGCGCAATCGGGGGCGGCCGTCGTTCGTTCGTGTGGTCGGTGTCTGGTGTGGTGGCTACTTGCGGGGTTTCTGCCGCATTGGTTTCGCCGTCGCGTCGCTTGTCTTGTTTTATATAAGAAGAAGCCTGGGCCTTTTCGCTTCGGTGGCCTTGAAAATTAGAAAAATTTTAGCAGGCTTTTAGCGACTTAGGTTGGCTCGCGCGGTCACTTGAAGAGCCGGCGAGTGGAGCGCTGGGGGCTGAGCAGAACGAGGGCGCTGGCTCTTCTGTTCTCAGACCCCACGCCACCAGGCCTGTTCTCCAGCTTCAAGCCCAACGCAAGTGGGCGCTGAAGACCCGGGTATCAAAGGAAAAAAAATCCTCGTCCTCAGATCCTGTTGCTGCGAATTAAATTGCCGCCAGGTGTTGAAGCTAGATAGCGCAAGGCGGTCCAGGTAGCCGGGCTATTGAGCCAGCGAAGGGCGAAGCCGTTGCTTCTGCAGCTCGCTGGACAAGGTTCCCTGGCTGCCTTAAGGCACAAAGCCAAAGAAAGCGAGCACACGAGAGGCAGCGCAGCAGGCCGGCGCGAAGTCTGCTGTGCGTCAAAGCCTGCGGGGCCACTTCGTTCATGCCGTGGGCCCCACGGTCGGGCACTACGGTGGAAAACGCCTTCGCCCGATCCAGGTCCACTCGACTCAGCCACCCCCCCTCCCCTCCTCGGCACGGCATGGAACAACAAACGCCCGACGCCGTCCTCACTGTTGGTGTTTCAAGGTTTACTCATCTGGCGGCCATGGCGTCTTGGCGATCGCCGTCAGAGGATTTGCTGAAGAAATGAGCAAAAAGAGGAAGGTCAAGGGGTCAGCTAACTTTTTTCTTTGTGTCCTAGAGTGGGACCTTTTTGGCACGCAAAACCTGAGGAGTTTTCGCGGAGCTTCGTGGGCCTAAGCCTCAGAGGAGGGCTCCGCGAATCTCCGACAAATGTGCCACAAAATGGCACTTTTATGTCGCGCATCTTGGAGCGATCCGAGAAAGGTCCTCAGACTTTGCATGACACCCACAGACCAACGCAAAGGGCAGAACCTTGCAGCCGCAGCGCGCCCACCTACCACTGCTCTGCCGCGGCTACGCTGCGCCACAACCCGGCGCGCGCCATCCGCGGCCTATGCTTTGGCTGCCCACCTTGTTGTGCAGCCTCTCAGGGCCACCGCGTGACCCCTCTCCCGCATATCAATACGCGGAAAGGCGCCGAAGGTGAGGCTGCAGCCATCTTCGTCAGGGGACGATCTCGAGAGACTGGCCAGGCACGCCCCTTGGGTGCGTCTGGCTTCTCGTCAAATTCTAGCCCACCACCGACGGCCCCACACGCCAACAGCCCAAGCGGACGGGCGTGATGAAGCGCTTTCGGGCTCGCTGCTTATCGCCACACCTATTCTGCGGAGTTCCCGCTTGAGTTTATTTTTTTAATTGCAGCAAGATCTGAGGATGAGGATTTTTTTCCGGTCGATGCCGGGCTCGCTCATTCTATCATATAATATATGGACCGCCCAGAGTTCAGCGCGCCCCCTGCTTGGTGCTGCCCTGGGCTTGGTCTCATTGGTTTAGTCTACCTTGTGCGTCACGTGTGGAGAGGAGTGGGGGCCGAGCAGGGCGGGGGCGCTGGTGTGGTCTGGGCCTTCTCTGGCCTGGCTTGTTCCTCCGCGCCTAGCTGCCGGACTGGTCTGCTGTTGGTGGCGTGGTCGGTGATCCACAGCGCACACAACTGGGCTGGCCGCTGGCGCTGGGGCTGGACGTCGACTGACGTCACCTCAACCCACGGCCGCGCCGCGCGCGTCTTTGGGTTTAGTTTGTTTCTCAATTAATACGGCCCCCACTTCGAGCGCGACCGCGCTCAGCTTCGACGCTGTGTTGCCTCGTCTCACCTCACGCCAGACCATGGCCCGCGTCCAGGATAAGCGTGCGAGATTGTTCATTGTTGGCCTTTGTCGTTTCTATGTTAGCTACTTTTCTGGTGCAGTCCACCAAGTGAGGCACGCCGTCCCGTGTGAATTGATTTGAATAGCTGGCCTGTCTTGGGCTGGGCTGGGGTTGGTCGCTGGTGTTGGACTGGGAGCCTGTGGCTCCAAGTTTCCTCACGCGGGGCAGTGTTACTGCTCGAAAGGTTGAGAGTGAGAGGCGAAGCGAACGCGAAGGAGAGGGCGAGAGCATGAGAGAGCACGACCGCAGCCCGCGGAAGCGAAAACAAAGCAGGAGGGAAGCAACATAAGGAGCGAAGGGCACCAGCCCAGAAGGGCGCTGGCCGTTTGTCAGAACAGACGGGAGGGGGTGGCATAAGGATAATAAGACTAGCCAGGTTAGCGCTAAGAGTGGAGAGACCAGACGGGCACAAGTGGACTACTACTAGCGCAAACGGCTGCGCGCCCGCTCTCCGCTGAGAGCCAGCAGAGCAGACGCGGCCGGGGACTGGTGGTGCCATCTGCTGGCTGGTAGCAGGTTGCGTAGCCGTAGCGCGGAGGCGAGCTGAAGGCGAGCGGGTGAGGGGATTCGGGTTGTGTCGTGTTACTTCCGCGCCACTCGGCTCGGCTCGCTTCACCTAAGTAATGGCCCCAGCGCCAGCCCAGGCGGCCCCGTTTTGTTCTTTCTATCTTGCTTCAGGTTGTGTGGGGCTCGAAGCCCAGCGCTGCCTCGCTTCGCTTCCGTCTGTCTTGTGTTCGCATCAGCTAGCGAAGCCTGGGGCCTGGGCGTGGCTGGGCTTAGTAACAGTAGCCAGAGCGAAGCCAGCACAAAGATAAGAGGCCAAACAAAGGGCGAAAGGCTGGACCCATAAGCGACCAAAAGACCACCACCGCGGCGGTGCTTGTGTTTCGCAGTCTTTCACTTGGGGGAGTGTCCCTAGGTTTTGGATGTTTTCGCCCAGGGAAGGTTGAGAAGGCGGGCGCCAGAGGCAGGCGCCGCACTTTCTTGGGGTCCCCCGGAGGGTTGGCGGTTGGAGTTCCGCGCCCTCTTTGCGGGGTCGAGTTGGGGTCTTTTAATCCTTTGAAGAGGGGCACCCGCTTGAGGATTATGGAGACACGGGAGAGATGGAATCCCGCCCCGCCTGATCGGTGGGCGCATCAAGTCAAGCCAAGACGTTTTCGCCCGTGTCTGTTCATGCACTTGCATAAAAGAGAAAAACTCGCCACGCGGCCACTGTTTTCGTTTGCGTTTTCAGTCGTCCAGAGCAGAAATGCTCCCAGGGCGTCCCCTTTTATGCTCAAAAGCGAAGCGCCTTAACAACAAAAACGACCCGGAACATGTGCCACGGGTTTGGTCTGAGTCAGGGTAGGGGTTGGAGCGTAAAACGCAACCGCTGGGGGGCTCTAATTTCAGCCCAAGCCAGGCAGACAGACCTGCCGGGGGCCAAATGCTGCCAGAAAAATCCCACCTGGGCACAGGCTGAAAATCAGAAAAAAAGGACGAAAACCACCGGGGAAGGCCCCCAAATTGCGAGGAGCTAGCTTCCTCGAGCAATTTCGGCCAGGCGGGCGGGCGCCCGGCCTCCAATGGCGTTAGAAACTGGCTAAAAGAGTCGGCTTTTTAGGATCTTGGGGCGCCTGCCTTGGGCTGTTGTGTGTCTGTTTCGTTTCTGGGGTTTTTCTGCTTTTCTCTTGTTGTTTTGTTGGTATATTTGCGAGCGACAAGGGGGGCGCTTCTGAGTGTGTTTCGGGGCCCGGAGCTTCGGGGTGTTATCGTTGAAAAACATTCCCAAAGGATTTGCAATCGCTTGGCGTTGTAGGTTGCTTGTGTGGGTATCTCTTCGGCAGGTTTGGGCGGGTTGGTATTTCTGCAGGAGCTCAGGCGCCTGCTTGGTGCCGTAGTTGTCTGCTTGGAATGGATGATCGGAGGCCGCAGGGGGTTGGGGTGTGCCTTTGAATCGGGGCGGGGTGCTGGTGGTCGAGCTCGGTGGCAGGGAGGTGCGCTGGGGGTTCGGTGGGTTAAGGGCAGTCGGGGCGGCAGGTTTAGGGCTTGGCGGTGTCGCTGCTTGGCTTTCTGGCCTCTTGGGGGTTCGGGTGCCCGATTCTTACCCAAGGGGCCACGCAGGGGTCTGCGGGGTGCCTTCGTGGGTACCTCGGTGGGCCCTTTTTTAGCAAAGTAAATTACTCTGGAACAATCTAGCCGCATAAGATGGCAAAAAGTGAAGGGATCTTCTAGAAATTTTCTAGAAATAATTCATTTTTGGTATGGAGGTAATTTCTTCGGGAGTTATTTCCATTCTTGGGCCCACAGGGGTGGACGGGAGCGAGGGGGGGCGCGGTAGTCTCGAGCTGTGGGCCCTTTTGTCTTTTCCCCCGTGGGGCTCCGGAAGATGGCTGGAGGGCAAGAGCTAGCTGATTAATTGCAGGCCCTGGGGCAGGCGCTCGGCTTGTGTTCGGGTCGTGGATTGCTCAGGGGTTCGCCGTTTCGGCATTGTCTCCGTCTCTGGGTGCCTCTAGATGTGTGAGTCTTCTGGGGTGGTTGGTTGTGCATTCGGCTGGGCTTGGGTCTTGGGTTTTCAAATTTTTGCGGAATTTTTCGAAAGTTGTAACTACCAGCGGCCCTGGGCTCCAGTGCGTTTCTTCTCTTGTACTCTACAGAGGTTCCGCGGGTCTTGAAACCTGCGGCAGCGGATCAAAAATGACGACCGAAAAAGTCGCCGGGCTTTTTCGGTCGTTTTTTTCGATCGGTTCCGGCTCTGTACGCTTTGGCTGAGTGGCTCGGCTCGGGGGTGCATGTCTTAGGGGTGTCGGTTGAGGGGGGTGCATTGCTGAAGCTGGTCAGGGTGACGATAGGCTGTCGGCTTTCGGGTGTGATGCTTCTGGCTTCCTGGGTGTTTTCGTGCTGCTTTTCAGTGGGTTGGGCTTGTTTGGGTTTGTCTTCTGTTGTTTGGTCGTCTTGGCCCGCCCCTTGTGGAGGAGCGAGGGCCGGGGGCATTTAGGGGAGTGCCTCCGCCATTGGGTGCCCACACTGAGCCACGGCCCCGGGGCTTGACGATTGGCGCAACAGCTCGCGCGGAAGTGCTGGGCCTCGCACTCGAAGGGGGGGGGGACTCGGTAGGGGTCGCGTCTGGGCTTGGGGGGTGGGGTCCTGGTCGACGGTTAAAAAAACGGCTAAAAACGGTCACAATTTTCCGACCTTTTCCCGGGTTGGAAGAATTTTCCGACCTTTTCCCGGGTTGGGAGAAGGCGCTAAAAAAACCGCTAAAAAACGGCTAAAATTTTTGGTCTTTTTCTCGTGTGATTTCGCCTAGGAGTTGGCTACTTTTGCTTTTGGGGTCGGTTTAGAGCAGTCCCGCCAAGTTTTGGAAGGACGTGCCGCCGACTTTTTTAACCGCTTCCAAAGTTGGGGCTATTTCGGCCTTGGATTTTCACTGTTCCTATAGCCGTCAACTTTAGCCGTCGACTTCAGCTAAGGTTGGAGACCACCGCGTCGATGCGAAACATGGCCGCGAGATCTTCGCGAAAAGTTGCCCGGGTTGGTCTTCGTTGCCTCTGTCTTTTTGAGTATGGAAAAGGAGGCGGCGCGGCCTCGGGTGCTTTGTCTTTGTGTTGTGTTCCTCTGTTGTTGACAGCCCCGGCGCCAGTTGAGTGCGGACCGCCCGCACGTCATTGGCGTCGGCGCTGCTTGGAATACAGCCGCGGCACGCCTGTGCAAGCTCCTCGAGGTGTAGAGAACCCGGGCGGAGGAAGGGGGAAACGCAGGCGGGGAAGCAGTGGCAAAGCGGGGCGGCGTTGGCCATCTTTCTGCGCTTGGGCGCCTGGGTTGGCGCTTCGTTTTTTTCTCTATATGAAAAAAAAAAATCTTCGCGAAAAGTTTGCGAAATCTTTCAAAAGAATCTTTGCGGAATCTTTCTGAAAAGATAAGCGCATGAAGTTCCAACATTGTCAAAACTTGTAAACTTTCCGCAAACATTCCGCGAAGATTTTGAAGTTTTCGTCTTCCATGTTTTTTTGGTGAAGACATGGAAATAAGTCGCCGAGAACAAACTCGCAACAGCTTGCAACGAAACCGCATGGGGCTCCGCGCTTGTCGTCTGTGGTTTTTGTGGTTTCTCTGTTCGTCTCTCCAGGCTTGGTAGGCCTCTGGCGTTGTGCATTCGTTTGAGAATTTGGCGCGAGGCTACGCCGCGGACTGGTTCGCCGGCTTGTGATGCTCTCGGCGCAGTGGTTGGCTTGTCTGTGTGTGGGTTGTGTCGGTTTCGTTTTCGGAGCTCCTCTTGGCTTCGTTTTAATGAGACAAGGACAAGGGCCGCGCGCGTGAGCCTCGGCAACTTTTCGCCAAGATTTTCCGCCACCGGTGATTGTCGGGCGCGGTGGTCTCCAACTAAGGGGCTCAGCGTTTACAGCGTCACCCTTCTAGCTTGGCGGCCTACCCTTCTATCTTTGGGCCCTGTTTTGCTTGGGGTTGGAGAGTGGGTGTCGGGCTGCGCGGGTTGGCTTACGTTTGGCGGGTGTTCTTCAGGTGTGTGGGTGAGTAGTGGGCCGCTGACCCTTGTTAGGTGTGCGTGTGTTGGCTGTTACAGCTGGCGGATGGGGGGCGGGCTCAGCTGTAATCGCCCAGGGGGGGGCTTAGATCTTATGGCCTGGTTACGTCATGCTCTTTTTTGGCACAGCTACAGTCAGTGAGCCAGAGCCAGTCATGGGGGAGGATGTGTTGTCGGTAAGGTCTTTTCTGTTGGCAGAGAACTATGCGTAAGAGGCCTGGCGGCACTGGCCTTCCTTTGTATGTGTTGTGTGGCTCAGCCTGTCTCCGCGACTCATCTTTAGGGCCGTCGGTCCTTGAGGTAAGACTCCTCACAATGGCAATTGCTTATTTTGGTGCACAGTCTTGCGCGTCGGGAAGTTCCACGCAGAAACTTTGGCTGGCTATTTTCGTATCGTTTTGCAGTATATGGGCGCGCGCTGAGGGGTACCATACTAACCGCTCGGTCCGCCAGCCTTCTTCGATGTATTTATTTTTCAAATTCAATATCCAGATGCCGGAGCCGAGATTGATGGAAACTCGATGTATCCGCAGTTTGCCTGCAAGTTTCGCAGCGAGTACAAGAACTCGCCGGAAGCTGGAGCGGGCAAGTGCGACTCGAACAGCGACTAAGGCCTCCTTGATGACTCAAAAGCACAAACCTGCAAACCCGCGCTCCCTATCTGTGGGCCCTGCATGTGCCGAGTTTAGTTATCTATTTCATTCTTAGAAGAACTCATGTGCGACACATGATCACAGTAGGACTCTTGATGCGTAGTAGTTTGAAGGAGCAGAATAACATACCAAGGGCAAGGGCTAACAACAAGACTCAAGAACTTCTAATACAGTTTGCGGTTCTATCAGCGCACGGCAGGGTTCATCACCGGAAGCTAATGGCTTTGAGTAATTGATGCCGTTCACCGCCACCGAGTGGAGAATGAGGAGGAGATATGCGCGGAAAATCATGAAGGTGGGGTGAAGAGTTGGCGTTGAGGGGTAAAAAGGGAATAGAGTGCGAAGGATGGGCAGACGGGGTAGATTATTCATCAACCGACATGAGGTTGCGTCAGTTTTGTCAAGTAATAGTAAGGAGGAGTGCTGAATTCTTTTTCTTGTCGATTAGAGTGACGCAGCATGAGGTGAGCGCGTAGACCGATTCTCAGGTTTTGCCTTCATGGGATGCGCGGGCCAGGATCGTTTGGGGTCGCCCGCAGTGGTTGCCCCCGCTTCGGGTGGTTCCTTGCCCGCTTTTCGTGCTTCGCTCTGGGGGCATCGCTGGCGCGGTCGTGGTGCGTAGTTTGAAGCGTGCTCTTCGGTGCGACGTGGCTTTTGATTTGGGGCCATTCCTTGCGCCTCGCATGCTCTTGGAGGTGTAAATATGTTGCATGCTAAGCGCCGTGCCTTTGTCTTTTGTAGCACGCGAAGACGAAGTGGGGCGTGAAGTAGCATACAGGGCAGCCTTCTAAGTAGGGGGCTGCGCATTTCGGGTCGAAATCGTCCGCAGGGCTGTCGCCTTTGGTTGGTCTTTCATTTGGCACCGGCGTCGCGTGTTTCTCTTTATTCTGTGCGCGACGGACCGCGTGCGCGGTCTCTCTTTGGTAAGGGCTGCCGTGGGGATTTCTGGTCGGTCGCTGGTCTGGTTGCTTGGCGTCATAGATAGGGCTGATTTAGGTGGAACCCCTCCCCGCCCGATTGTCGGGCGCACTACCTAGCGCTGGCGCACGCAAGCGCGCGGCCACATGCAAGGGAACAAAAAAGACCCCACGGCGCCGAAGTTTTTGGACTGACTGACAGGGAAGGGGTGCGTAGGCTTTCTGACCACTGCGCCTCGGGAGCGTGTGAGAAGAGGCTGGCGCCAAAAGCCGGGGCAGGTGGCCTCCGCTAGGGTTTGGCTTTGTGTGTGCTCGCTCCCTTGTGGCACTTGCGGTTGCTCCCCGCTGATCTTTTTCGCGGTGTGTGGGTGTGTGGTGGTTTGGTTGCCTTTCTGTTCTGCCTCTGCTCAGGGTTGTCTGTCGCTCGGTGCGGTCGGGTGGTGGGCTCGGGCGCTGTGTGTGTATTTTTGGGCGGCGCTTCCTGAGGACACAGCGCCGAAGATTTCGGGCGGCGGGCTCGCTGGCGCGCTTGGGTACTTTGATAGATGCAAGGTGGGGCTGCACCGTGTCAGCGCCGTCCAATCTTCTGCGCGGTGGAAGTGTCCAGGCCGTGGCGCGTTTGTGCTGCTCGGTCTTTTAGAATGGAAGGGAGGAACGAAGGAGCGCGAGCGCCGGCCACGCTTTCGACCGTCTGTGGCCAGGCGTGGTCCTTGTTTTGTGTTGCTTGAGTGAGCAGTAGCCAGCGTAGGGCGGGGGCGCGTCCCCGGTGTGGAGTTGTCTGGTGGGGGCGCTCAGGTGGTCCTTTTTGTTTTTCGTCTTTTCTATTTGGCAGCTGTGTGCAAAGGGTCGCCGTGGTCGTGGAGTCGGGTTCAGTTCTCCAACTACTAGAGACGACAAAGCTATCCAATGCCAACAACCATTTTCCAATAATTTTGATTCAGTACTATCCATCAGTTTGTAGGTACGTAGTTGCGTGTGCTGGCTAGCACGTAGCCGCGGCCTTATGCCCGGAAGCCGTTTTGTATGTTGCAGAAGCAAAGTCTAAGGTCCTACTGCTTGTCAATACTTATATAAGTACTTCTCACCACTTTCTCAACGGAGCCTGCCTTTCTTGTTGATATGTAAGTATATAAATTAATATGATAGATTATGGGGACTCGACTGTTCCAAGTAACGACAACGAGGAGGGCGACAAGAGTTGTTGGCTCGCGTTCGTGGGCGGCAGTATCTAGAAACTGAAAAGCAATATCCATTGACAAGAGTGGGCTCTTCGTTGTGCTAGTTTTCCAATTCTATTTCCATGTAGAAATGAATACAGCGCCACACCTGGAAGTCTATGTGCTTGTGTGGGCATACGATGATCTTGCTATTGGATAATCTTGATGGCTCGCTCACGTTTCTGCCAAGCAGAAGTAGAAACACAGACGCAAAATTAATGCACAATAGGAATAGGGTACTTAAGTGCGCGGGCCAGTGTTGGGGAAGTGTTGGGCCCTCGACTTCACCAAGAAGAGAGGCAGAAGGCTGCACTGACAAAAGAGAGGCAGCACGGAAGAGAAATGAAGGTAGGCCCACGAATGAGGGAGCAAAGGCAAACATCTACAGGCATCGCACTCGGCAACGTGTGTAGAGGAATTCCACAGAGGCCCTGGCATGTGCTCGCTTGCAATCTGCCGCGGCTGGTGACTTCTTTCTCATTATAGTCTGGCGCCTTTAGCGTTAGCTTTTTTTGTTACTTACATACTTCGCCGAGAGTTGGAGAGACATTACATAGAGCAGCGAGTCGCTTTATTTCTTGCGTCTAGAAGCGACGTCTGCATCTGTTCTGGCGTTTTCGTGCCTCCGTAGTGTTTTCGCAATCGACACCCGCAAAGACGAGACAGCGCTGGACCGAATTTTCTGGATCTTGTTTCAAGCTCAAGGGCCGCAAGGGGCACTGCTTTCCAGTCCCTCCCACTGCAGTCAAGATGAGGCGTGCGCATTTTGCTTGTGGTTTCTCGGAAGTTGTATTGTTCTGCTGCGGTCATGGCGTGCTGAATGCTCTCGGAGCATTCACTGGACCGAGCGAAAGTGATGCCATGGGAACGGCAGGTATTTCTCTTTTTTAGATCCGCCTTTGCGGATGGTCTCTCCCGAAGCTTGCTAGCTACTCCATCAGGGTATGAGTTAGGCGGGGGTCGTTGTTTGCATGTGGGAAACAATTTCGGATCCCGTTCTCGTCGGCTCTGCGCTGCCGCTGGTGCGTTCACGCCTGGGCCCTAGTGGTGCAGCGCCGGCCCTTTGAAGGTTATCGCAGCGCAGCTGTTCGCGGCGTCGTGTGTGTGTGGCTGGGCATCTTCTTGCCTGTGTGTCTTTCGCTCGGTGGGTGTGTAGCTGGGTCGCCATTCGACGCAGCTAGGGGGCAGAAGGCTGCGTGGTGGTTTCTTTGCGTGCGTTTTGCCGGCTCGGTGGGTTCGGCCTTCTGGGGGGCTGTGTGGGTGTGGCATCGCGTCGACCCTGCTCGCGGTGTGTCTTTCGTGTCGTTGTTCGCTCGCTGGCTACCCGCAGGGGGGCACGCCTGGGCAGCTTTCGCTCTTAGTTTTCTGCCCACGCAGAAGTCAGGCAAGCAGCTCCTTCGCATTTTGTAGGAGTGCTGCCAGCGCAGGGTCTGGCGCTGGTTGGTCCGCTGCTAGTTACTTGCCGCGGCTGCGGTGTGCGCTGTTTGCTGTTTGCTGGGCTTCAGTAATCGCATGGCTGGCAGGCGCGGGCACAGTCAGCCGCCTGCGCGTCTGCAGCGTTGTCGTTGGTGTCTGCTCTTGTGTAGAGGGTCGGGGATAGGCTCGGCGTCTGCTTGCCTGGTGTCGTGCTTGGGTCGGTGTGTTGTGTTCGGGGGGTCTTTTTTGTTGTTGCTTAGGCTCTCGCCCGTCTGGTGGGACGCGTTATTAGCGGGACGCGCTCGCGCCATGCGCTTCGGGTAGGACTTACGGGCGCCTGCTCATGCATGTTGGTGGCGGCTGCGGCTTGGTGTGGTCTTATGTGGGTCTTTTGCGTGGGTTCGGCTGCTGGCTCCCGTGCATCCAGTTCAGCTGGCGCAGGCGTGTGGCGGTGTGTTGGGGTCGAGGATTTCTCAAATCCAAAAAAAAAAGATTTCTTGCTCCTCTGTGTTTGCTTGTGAGTGTAGTGTCTCTTCGCTTGCGAGCCCGGTTGGCCTTGCCCAGCTGGGGCCCTTTCGTTCTCTCTGGGGTCGGTGGTCCACCGGTCTTGGGCTCCCTCGGGCTTCTTCCTTTGGCTGCATGCAAAACAAAGATAGAAGCAACCTTCGGGAAGCGTACGTGCTTCGGGCGATGAGGGTAGATCTGGCCGATGGCGATCGCCCTTCATTCTTGAATCAGGGAGGAGAGCGCGCCTTGGTGGCTTTCTCTCCTCGTTTTCTGCTACAATTCTTGCAGTGGCAACGGTATGTGCTGCGTGGTGGGCTTAATCGTTTGACAGGTGGGTGAAGTCAGCTGCCTGCGCATCTGCGGCGTTGTCGGCGGTGTATGTCTGCGCCCAGAAGGTCGGCGGCGGGCCGGCTCGACCGTTGCCAGCGTGGCGCCATGCTTGGGTGTGTTTGGGGTGTCTCGTTTTTTTACTTTGAACCATGCCAGTGCGGAGCGCTACAAAACCTACCTTGCTGGCAGGCTTATACTATTAAGCATGCGGGCCCAGTGGTAAACTCGGGGGGATTTGCCGGCTGTGTGTCTTTCGTTTTCCCGTTAAATTGATAGGAGCTGTGCTCGGTTTCCTTGCTAGCCTTTGTCTTGCGGAGGTTGGTCTCGAAAACCTTCACTCTAGAAGCCGTGTGGCTTTGGCACTCACTCCAAGGCGAGTTCTACTCTGTCGCCCCAAAACTCTGGCGCGCCCGCTTTCGCGCTTAGTATTGGCTTGTGAGTTAGAACCCCCCTCAGGAAGCAGAACTGGCGCCATTTCTTGAAGGTATTCGAGGGGCCAGCCCTCGAAACAAACTAGCGCGACAAACTGGCAACACTTTGAGCGGGCCCCCCGGTCATTCCATTCGCCGCGTGCGAAATAAGAGAAGCGGGGCGCATTCTTAGCGCCAGAACTCGCATGGCTTCGAGTAGCGGGGCAAACTCTTCGAAAGACTTGCCGGCCATCTATTGCTTAGGCTGGCTGCGTTCCTCGGCGTGCGTCGTCGGGTTTCGCGGAGTCTGCCTAGACACGGGTAGAACCTTGGCGGCGGCAGAGGGTGACTTGCTTGCCCTTCGGGTTTTTGGTGGTTTGGTCGGTGGGTCTTTCGTCGGATTTTTTGAGGGGTTTCGGCAGCAGTGTCTTGGGTGCCTTCTGAGGTCGCTGCACCGGGTCAAATAGGTGCAATTCTGTCGGAGTTTTAGCATGCGGCTTGCGTTCGGGTGGGAGCGTGCATTAGCCTGGTTTTTGGGCTTTACTCTGTCACAATTCTGGCGGGGTTTTGTGCTTTGGTGGGTTCCTTATCATGGTTTTCGGGTGTTAGTTTTTTCTTTTTGGTATAGTTTTTGTCATAGATTTTCTTTTGTCTTAGATAAGCCTGCCCCAAAAGCTTCCCCGCAAGCTGGGTCTGGAAGGGGGGGTAGGTATCAACAACTACCACACCGGAGGCCCCGGAGAGAGCCGCGCCTCAAATGTTGTGGCGTGGTTGTCGTGCCTTTTTCGTTGGGGGGTTTTGTGTGGTTTTATGCACCGGCGCCGTGGAGGAGGCTTGAAGAAGGGTGGGGGCCTCGGGGTTCGCTTGTTCTTCGGGCGGGGCTGAAGCCCGTCGCCTGGCGGCTTTCTACTGTCATGGCGAAAAAAATAGCCGGCTGCGCTTGGTCTTCGTTCGTCTCAATCTTGTTCCCACCTGATCACAACTACAACAAACACAAAAAGCGGCTTGACAAAGTCGAGCGCGCTTTTCGTGTGTGTTTTCGCTAATGGGTCGCGTGCTTTTCGTTTTCTTCTCAGGTAGTCATCGCTGGGCGCAGGAGTCCGAAATGCTTTCGAAAGTGACAAAACCAGCGAAAAGCGGGCCCGCACGGCTAAGAAAGAGGCCAGCGCAGACGGCTAAAATTCGCCTGAAATTGCAAACCAAACGGCCAAGAAAGCCGGCGGGACCCCTAAGAACTTGCCAAAGCTTTCAAGTAGCCGGCTTGTCACTTTGGAGGGCTCTCGAAGCGGGTTGCTGGGCGTGAGCCTCTCTCGCGTTCCGGCCCCGCGCTTCAGCTCCGCCGCATAGGAAGGGGGGCCTGGGGCGGGGCTTCGTCTCTTTTGCGGGCGGCTGGTGTTGCTGGTTTTCGCCTGGAGTTACTGTGGCGCGGCTCGTGTTCTTTCGGGGCGTAGAAGTCATCTGCTGACACGTCTGGCGTGGCGCCGTCCATCTCCATGCCTTTCTTTTGATCAGACGCGCCGCGCGGGTTCCTCGCTGTTTTCAACGGATTTAGGGAGCTTTCAGCGCCGACAATTTTGGCCAAATTTTATCTGGGTGTACTGGCTTTGGGTTTGTCCGCCTGGGGTTGCTCGGATCCATGATGTGAAGCCCCCGAGAGAGGGCCCGCAGGGCTTGTGGCTTCGCAAATGGTCCTGGGGCGCCACTAGACTCCGAAGCCCCGCCGGGCTTCCGGCCCCAGAGACCTACCAACCCTCAGGCCAGGGCGACCGCATGGGCTGTAGGTCCTCTTGGCGCCTTGTCTCTTTGTTTGTGTTGTTTTGTGTGGTTCGTCGTCGCCTCTTTTGGCTCTTTCTTCCTTCCAATCAAACACGGGCTAGGAACAGGAAGGGTCAGCGAGGGGCTGAGATATTATTTTTGAATCTTTCATCTGGAAAAAAATTGTAGTAGTAGAAAAAAATGGTAGTAGTAGCTGCGTCTGGTGCGATGATTCTCTTAGTATATTTTAAGACTTCGCTGATTAATTTGGCAGTCAGTTGTTACAACGGTGTGCGCTGTGTGGTGGGCTTGATCGTATGCCAGCAGGGCGCAGTCAGCTGCTTGCGCATCTGCGGCGCCGTCGGTGGCGTATGCCTGTGCTCAGGACAGAAGGCCGGCGCCCGGCTCGACATTTATCAGCCTGGCGCTGTGCTTCGGTGTGTTTTGGGTGGTTGATTTTTTTTTAGGAAGAACTACGATGCGGACTTTCTAGCACGAAGCGCTAGTCTAGCGCCCTAATGCAGCACTTCTAATTCGGGGGGGGGGTTGGCCATCTGGGTGCCTTCATTTTTCTTAGAGCGGACCCCGAGGCCGCTCTAAGTGTAAGCACCGCTCTAATTCTATTCCCAACTCCCAAGCGAGTTCTCATTTGCCAGCCCGAATGCTTGTGCGTTTTCACGGTGCTGGTGGGTTTGCAAATTAGTAATCAGTCTAGAGAGTGCAGAAGCATAGAAGGACGAGGGACCCCAGAAACGAGCCAGCAGCGCTAACAGATGAGCAACACCTTGAGCGCTTGAGGTCGTTGCGAGCGCCGGGCCAGGTCTTTTTCAAGGGCGGCGGGGGCTGTCCCACTGACAATCTGAAACGCTACCGGGCCCGCCTCGTTGCCGAAGGTGGAAAGCCTTGCTTGGAGGCCCGGGGCTGGCTGCTCTGCGTTCTTTGTTTCTGAACGAAGCTTGCGGCGTTCTAGAAGTGCTTGCATCAGGCGGACGGGCACCCAACCACCGATGGCGTTAAAAACTGGCTAAAAAAGTCGGCTTTTTGGGATCGCGGGGCGCCTGCCCTGGGCCGTTGTGTGTCTGTTTCGTTTCTGGGGTTTTTCTGCCTTTCTCTTGTTGGTTTGTTGGTATATTTGCGAGCGACAGGGGGGGCGCTTCGGAGTGTGTTTCTTTTCTGGTACTCTACGGAGGTCCTTCGGATCTTGAAAACCGCGGCAGCGGATCAAAGAAGACGACTGAAAAAGTCCCTGTGCTTTTTCCGGTCGTTTTTTTCGATCGGTTCTGGTTCTGTATGCTTTGGCTGAGTGGCTCGGCTTGGGGGTGCATGTCTTAGGGGTGTCGGTTGAAGGGGGTGCATCGCTGAAGCTGGTCAGGGAGACGATAAGCCGTCGGCCTTCGGGTGTGATACTTCTGGCCTCCTGGGTGTTTTCGTGCTGCTTTTCAGTGGGTTGGGCTTGTTTGTGTTTGTCTTTTGTTGCTTGGTCGTCTTGGGCCCCCTGTGGAGGAGGGGCCGGGGGCATTTAGGGGAGTGCCTCTGCCATTGGGTGCCCACACTGAGCCACGGCCCCCGGGCTTGGTTGACGATTGGCGCAACAGCTCGCGCGGAAGTGCGGGGCCTCGCACTCGGAGGGATGGGCGGACCCGGTAGGGGTCGCGCCTGGGCTTGGGGGGTGGGGTCCCGGTCGACGGTTAGAAAACAGCTACAGAACGGGTAAAGTTTTCGGCTAAAAAAACGGCTAAGAAAACGGCTAAAAAAAACCGTTAAAAAAGGCTAAAAAAACGGCTTAAAAACGGCTAAAATTTTTGGTCTTTTTCTCGTGTTCTTTCGCCTAGAAGTTAGGCGGCCGCTTTTGCTTTTGGGGTCGGTTTAGAGCAGTCCCGCCGAGTTTTGGAAGGACGTGCCGCCGGCTTTTTTAACCGTTCGGCCCCAAGGTTGGCGCTATTTTAGCCGTGGGCTTTAACTGTTTACGTAGCCGCGAGCTTTAACCGGTTCCCGCGGGGGCTTGGGGCGCTTGCCTTCGGGCTGCGCAGCCGTGACGTAGACTGGGCCGCATCTGACGCACCCGCCGCATTCCGCTGGTAGGCCTCGAAGCGTGGCGTGGTGCTCGTGCAAGCTCCGCGGGTTTGGCTGGGTGGTGCGCGTGTGGACGTTGGGGCCCCGCGTCGTGCAGTGCCTACCCGGAGTGGGGCTGTAACGTCTACGCCAGTCAGGTTGCGTGGGTCGGGTCGCGTGATTCTGGAGGGGGCACTGGGGTCACAGCTCGCTGGCCCCTCGAAGTGTGGCCTTTCTTAACGTCCGCGCCGGTGAGCCTCGCGGGCTGGTGTGGTGTCGGCTCGTTGTGTCGGGCTTTTCCTGAGGTGTCTTTCTCGAAGTTTGTGGGGCCGCTTGCTGGAGGCCGGCCCAGGTGCATGCGCTAGACCCGCGGGCGCCTGCTATTGCATTGCGGTGACACGGGTTCGCTCGGTGAGGTCTTTCGTGGGTCTTTTGTGTCGGGTCGGTTGTTGCCCCCCGGCTTCCAGACCAGGCGACGTGGGTGCGCTGTGGTGTCGGTCGGTCGGGATTTTCTCAAAAGCCGAAAACTTTAGCCAAATTCTAACCGCATTTGATGGCTTGGGAAAATTCTAACCGCATTTGTTGGCTTGGGATGTGTCCGCTTGATCATTATATCTGCAGCCCAGGGGTCACGCTATGGAAAGGGGGGCCGGCGCCGCTAGATTTCTCGCAGTGCTATTGGGTTTGTTTGCGTGGGGGTTTTTTAGAGTAGCCTGGCGCGGGTGCGGTGGGTCCTCGGGCTTCTCACTTAGCAGGGAAGGCTGCTTGAGGTTCACAGGGAGCCTCCATTCTTCTACCTCTGGCTGACGGTGCTTGAACCGCCTCGGGGTTTTGGGTTCTGTAGGGTACCGGCAAGGAGCCGCGAGGCCGCGAAGCTGGGCGGTTGGGGCCTTTCTTGCTTGGCAGTGAGTCCCTCGGGAAAAAGGGTCTGGCCTCAAAAAGTTAGACTGGGGGAGCCTGGCTTCTGTCTTGACTGATGAAAAATGTTTCAGGGTGGAGGCCCCCGCTTTCCCCTGTCTTATGCTCTGCGCCTGCCATCGGCTTCTACCGAGGTCACAAGTGCCAGACCGGGGGCCAATTCTGATTGTAGATGTAGTGGCGGATATTAATATTATAGACGGAGCCCGGCCTCGCCATGCAGCAGGGCTTTCGCCGTCCGCTTCTGGCTTCTTCTGATATTAATTCATTGACTGCACTTCAGCTGCTGCACCTTTTTTCTGCAGGTCTTTACCCTCATGGTGAAAGTGGTCAGGAGCACGCGGAACCGCAGTCCACGTTGCACCGCGCGGGGCCCTTATGGCTTGTGAAGGGGCGCTGCCTTCTGGCTCTGATTGCCCTGGCGTGCTCCATAACTGGAAGCATTGGAGGGGGGCGCCGCGGGTACTTAGATGAGCTAGCAACTTGTGGCAGGCCGCTTCAGAGGGAGTGGATGTGCGCTGGCTTTCTTTCTAATCATGTTGGACGGCATCGAGGCTGAGGCAGATCCACCTGTGGAGTTTTTGCAGACCTCTGCTGATGGAGAAGTAGCAGCTCAGTATATCGGCCGAGCGCCTGTCGCGAGTGCGGGCGCCATTACTGACTCGAGGGACCTTGTGGAGGGCAAGAAATATACCATCCGCTACCTTTCTGATGGATCTGCAGGCGCGAGCGACAATCAGTGGTGCGGCATTGTAAAGTACAGCGATTCCGATACCTATTACAATTATATCCTTCGGTGCCTCGACGATAGTACCAAACACATGTGGACGCTTGCGAAGTATAATGTACCCTATAGTTCTCCCCAAAAAGTGAGGTGGGGGTTTGCGGCGACAGATCCCAGCGACAAAATGATAAAGCGAAATCTTTGCCGCAGGAGTTCCAGTTTATGTGCGCTCAGCGGGCCGAAGCCAGAACCTTGCCAGCAGGCTGATCAAAATAGAATGCGCCAAGTGCGGCAATGCTGGCGAGAAAGTGCCAGCGCTGCCACAGTGTGGGGTGAGTCGCGACGGCATGGAGGTGCATAGCTATTCGACGGCGGGTTGGGAACCGCAGGGGGGCGCGCCGTGTTGCCTGGCGCCACCGCTTGGGCCGCGGGCCGGCCCAGCTTGGTCGGCTTGGCGTTGCTGGGCGAAATTCTGGAGCACAGGCGCCCGCGGGGCGCACATGGTGCGGGGTTGCTGCTTGTGTTAGTCTACAGCGCCGGCCGGAGACTGCGCGGGGGCAGGCTCAGCTACTGCCGCACTCCTGGCCGCGAGCATGCAGGGCGGTGCCGCCTTTCATGGTTCCGCGCTGCTGCTAGTTTGCAGCCCCGCGCCGCTGTTTGCCGTGCTGCTAGCTTGCGCTGCTGTTGCGTTTGGCTTGCAGTGCTGTCAGCGTTGCTGCCTGCTGTTGTATCGCTTGGGCTGTTGTTTGCGGTGGTCTGGGTGCCGCCCGCGCTGCGTGTCTGTTGGTTGCAGTGCTGTTGTCTGCAGTCTGTCTCCCCTTCGAGCTTGCGGTGTGCAGTGGTTGCGGTGTGCAGTGGTTGCGGTGTGCAGTGGTTGCGGTGTGCAGTGGTTGCGGTGTGCAGTGCTTGCGGTGTGCAGTGCTTGCGGTGTGCATTGCTTGCGGTGTGCAGTGCTTGCGCTGTGCAGTGCTTGCGGTGTGCAGTGCTTGCGGTGTGCAGTGCTTGCGGTGTGCAGTGCTTGCGGCGTGCAGTGCTTGCGGTGTGCAGTGCTTGCGGTGTGCAGTGCTTGCGGTGTGCAGTGCTTGCGGTGTGCAGTGCTTGCGGGGTGCAGTGCTTGCGGTGTGCAGTGCTTGTGGTGTGCAGTTCTTGTGGTGTGCAGTGCTTGCGGTGCGCAGTCCTTGCGGTGCCTACAGGGGTGCTGCGGTGCAGTGGCTTCAGCTTCGTGTGAGGGTGTTCGACATCGCGTCGGGCTCTTACTGTGCTTTTTGAAAATATAGGTGGGAAGGGGGGTGCGTGCTGGGTCCCTCGTCGGTCGTGTTTCTCGGGTAAATGTATTTGAGATAAAGCAGCCACGGCCACTCGGCTCATAGGAGGCGCGGCTTGGTAGGAAGGGCGGGGCGGGCCGGGGCCTCTTTTCGGTCGTGTCTGTTTTTCTAGCGGGTGTGCTTGATATAGAGCAGTCGCGGCCACTCGGTCTGTAGCGGGGGTAGGAATGCGCGGGGCCCTTTGTCGGTCGTGTTTCGATCGTTCTCTGGCGCGCTTCGCTGGGGTGGGTGGTATGGTGGGGGTGCCGGCTCCCTTGCATTGCGGCGGGCACGCATGGCTAGCCGCGTGTGGGGTGTGTTGCAGTGCTTGGTGGACGAAGATGCCCCCTCGGGCGGGAGGCTGCGTGTTGCTTGGCTGGCAGTCTGCAACAATTGGAGCCGCAGAGGGCTGCGCAAAGCTGCGTCTCTGCGTGAAGAAGAGGCGGGGACAGGCTAAGGGCGTCGCCGTTGCCGTTTCTTGTTGCTTGCGGGAGAAAGGCAGAACAACCAAGCGGGAGACGACAGAGACGCCAGGGCCGCGCAACTGAATGAAAGAGGCCCCGTCACCCCTGGCGGGCTGCGCTGTTCGTTGTTCGCAGAAGAGGCAGGAGCCCCCCGCGGTGCTGTGCTTGCTGGCTTGTGCTGTGCTCTGCTGCTTGGTGTGTGTGGTGTCTTTCTGTTGTCTGAGAGAGTAGAGCGGAGGGAGCGCCGCACGGCTCTGGGCGGTGGCGGCGGCGCTGTCTCTCTTCTTGTGTGTGGTTCAGCCTCCTTCAGTTGTTGCTCTGTTGTTTGGCTTGCCTCAAATCAATGGGCTCGCTGTGGGTGCCCCCTGCCTTCGGTGTTCGTTGCCACGGCGCCGCTCTTGGGCAGCGCTGGTGTGTGACGCTGGTGTGTGTAGTGACAGTGAGTGCGTGGCGCGGGTTGTGTTGAAGTGAGTGCGCGCTGCTTGTTGTGCTGTTATGTGAAGCGCTGGCCCGTGCAGTGGGTGAGAGTGTGTTTGCTGCGTTCGTTCTCGGGCTGCGTGCGGTGCTTTCTGCGCTGGTGTGTGCGTTGTTGTGTCGCTGTGGCCAGGTGCCGGCGCTGGTGCGAGCTGTGTTCAGCCTTGTGGCTTTGCTTCATATGTAGTCGTATATATCTTAGCGCCAACTCTTTCGGCTCCAAGGACCAAGACCGAAGCGCGCGGCGGGGTGGGCTGGTTCGTAAATGGTCGTGGGGTTCGCGCTTGTGCGTTTGCCTCTGTGTCTTGTCTGCGCCTTTGTATGCTCGCTGGGAAGCAGGGGTGCAGGATGGCAGGGAGGCGCGCGGGGGAGGTTCGCAAATCGCAATGGGTATGGCGTTGTGTCGGCCCGTGGATAGACTGCGCGCGGCCTTTTTTGATTACGTGCGTGGTAGGCGATGTCTGTGTTTTCTTGCCCCGTCTGTCGACTGCACTGACTGTGACTGGGCAGGGATCGGTGTGTCGTTTCCGCATTGATTAGCCTGCAGGCCCAGTCGCTGAGCTTGGGGCGGTGGGCTGTCACTTGTTCTGAGGAACCTGCAGAGCTGCAACCTTATGGCTTCCTTAGCATAGGTCTGGAAGGAGATAGTTAACGGTCACCCCCAGCACGAAGATATTTCGGCGCAACGCAAGCTGTTCGTTCTGGCGTCTTGATAGTCAATCTTTGACTATCGTGTGAGACCGTATGCTAGAAGACTAAAAGCGAGGACGCTGTTGAGCAGCACACGCGCGCGTCAGTTCTTGGCCGATCTTAATTATTCAAACAATCTACCCACCGCGCCTTCGTATTTGTACCAGTGGCTTGCTTCTTTAACTTAAGTGCCTTTCGCTGGATTCTTAGATAGAAGCAAGACGAAAGTTGCAAGCTGCAGCCTACTACCTAGTGATCTTGCGCCTTTTCATTGTGGTCGATTGGGAGCAAGGCTGGGCCGACTCCTGGATCGTGGCGGCTTCATCCGACAGTTCCGATGGCGCGACCATCCGACTGATGGCCTTATGGCATAGACGGCAGTGCGCATGAGCTGGCCCAGGGTGGCTATGGAGTGCTGGCGGAATCCTTATCAACGCGTCGGCCCCGTGTTGTTTTCTTGCCGTAGTTCGCTGTCTTGGGGCTGGGAATGCGTGCGCAACCAAGTCGGGCCCGCGCTTGTGTGGCTTTGTTTCGTCTTCGATTGCGTTGCGGCTAAGCGCTTGCGGCGTCTTCGTGTGGTTTGTTTTCTGGCGGTGTGTCACTGTCTTGCCTGTTGTTGTCGCCAGTCGTTGGACGAATCGCTTCGGCGGTTTCGGCGGAGGGGCCCTAGGGTTTGGGGCTGAAGTAGCTTCGGGTCCTGCCGGCGTCGTTGCTGGGTAAGCTAAAGGCTTGCCGTCTGGTGGGGCTTTGCTTGATTGACTGCCTGAGTCCATGTGTCGCCCGCTCGCTCGTGTGTGGTCTTTGTGGTAGGCTGCGAGGGGGGCTGGCGTGGGCCCATTTGCTTCGTCTCCTCTCTCTGTGCGCGCCTGGCTGCGGGCTTTCTGGTTTTAGTAAATTTCCCGGGACCGACGGGCGGGGCGAGTGGGTGCAGCGGACAGCGCTGCGGGCAAAGGGCTTGCTGTTGGTGCTCTTGAGGCGGGCTTGTTCGATATCTATCACCCTAGACCCGCCTGGTCTCGGGCGGCGGCTCGGTCGTCTCGTCTATGAATGCCTCGGCGCCGCTCGCTCTTTGCTTCGCTCGGCGTTTGCTTCGTCGATCTGTTGGCGCATTTTATATCATGTCGGTCGGCCACCTCTGTCTCCAAAGTGAGTTGTGTTGCTTCAGTCGACGCTGTCTGCGTCGTTGGTGGTGGCGGGGTGTTCTTCTGTCGTCTATCGATCTTGGGGCCCCGGCTTTTGGTGTTGCTGGTTTGTATTTTGTTCCCTGCGGGCAGGAGGGTCTCCAAGAGTGTCCAGCGTCTTCTTTTCGTTGTCCCTTTCGGTGTGCGTGTCAATGGGCCTGGGCACGAGGGCGCTACCGGCGTCCTCTTGCTTAATTGCTCTCGGTGCGTGGTTTCTTTCTTCTGGCTGCCTTTTGGTCGTGTGAGTGGGTGTTCAGTTCTGTTCCGCTTCGTTATGTCTCCGCGCCGGTTGATCGTCTCGAGGGGGTCGCCAGTTCGTTGCGATGTTGGGACCCGGAGGGCCTCGTCTGGTCATCGTGGTCCGCTGTTCTTGGGCGAACTCATGCGGCGCGTGCTTGTTTCATTTGGTTACGCAAGCGACAAAACGAACTCCTTCATACGGAATACGAATAACGCTGATGGCAATTTAATCAGATCACTGGGTGGAGTTATGCGCATATCATAAGTCTGGCGGTCGTGGGTTTTCTTTTTGTAATTGCTTAGAAGTTGCCTCCACTTGATTGCATTTAGGCTAGCGGGAGGTGCACCCCCTCGCGGCTTGTCTTGCTTTTTTGGTTGGTAGATTGATCGTTAACAGAAGCAAGCAGCCGGCGCGTGGGCTTGGGTATTGATTCACTGGTGGAGGGATGGGCGAGCAGGGAAGGCGTGGCAGCGCCGGGGAATATTTGTAGCCCCGTGTGGACTGGGGTCGCGCTTCTTCCTCTCTTTTGATGGTTGGCCTTGTTCTTGTCTTCTCCTTGGTGGGTCGGGCCGGGGGCTTGATGGCTTGGCAGCGCCTACAGGCCACTAGATTAGTAACTGCGCACGGGTTCGGGCCCCATAGCTGAAGCTGACACTCACGCACTTCGACATACGCGGTCTGCCATAGCATCCACTTGAAAAAGTGCTTTGCTTCAGTACGTGGCTGGGGGACCGCCTGGGAAGCCCTTAGGGTGCCGCTAGCTTTCTTGTTCTTGGGTACCCGTACCCCCCAGGGCCTGCTCCTGGGTGTGAGCAGGATCGCCACGGACTACCCCCCGGGCGTTGGAAGGTTGGAGCCATTGGCGCCGCCCTGTAAAACAGCCCCCCGCCCCCACCTTAGTAGTTAACCCTCCTCATGCAGTTGGTTCCGTGCAGTGCTCTGGAGCGAGTCGAGTGGCTGCCTTCCTCCTTGGCGCGCGTGGAGTTGGGGCGGGCTTCGCTGCGCGTGGAGCGTGTGGCCTTGCGCTGGCTTGCTGGTCTCTTCTTCCTTCGGGGCATCCCGCCGCCGTTTTCCTTTGGCTGCTTCTGGGGCATCTCCTTGATGGCGCTTGGGATGTCTCACCCCCGTAAAGAGAACAACTAGAAGAAGCCCACGACGCTGCGAACGGGGTCCCCGTTCGTGCCGCAGGTGTCCCCTGTGTATAGAAGTCCACTCCAGACTACGGCTGGGGTAATGTTCCGGGCTTTGTTTAATTGTTTAGATTGGTAGGTGCCTGGGGGTGCCGTAGTCTGGGCTTTAGTTAGTTTGGCAGTGTGGGGCGCAGTAGTTGCCAGTAGTCTCACTCCTCCCAGCCTGTGCTCTGGTTGTGCGGCAGTGGAGTCGGGTGCGGGCGTGTGGTCGTCTGCCCCCGGGGTGGCTTAGCTCGCCTTCGGGTGTGGCGCTCGCCACGTGTCCGGGAGGTGGTCTCCCCGCCCTTCGTCCTCTCACGTGATCACTACTGCCTTTGGCAGTGCCTTAGCCCCTTCAGGCGGGCTTCTTCCCTTTTCTCTTCCTTTGGTCGTGGCTGGCCTGGCGTGGGCTTCCTTTTGTCCTCTCACGTGGCCGCTACTGCCTCCGGCAGTGCCGTCTTCCTTTCAGGCTGGTCGGCTGGCTTCCCTTTCTTTCTCTTCTCGCTCCTCCTTGCCTGTGCTCTGGTTGTGCGGCAGTGCAGTCGAGTGAGAGTGTGTGGCTGTCTACCCCCCGGGTAGTGTAGCTCGCCCTCGGGCTTGGGGCTCGCCGCGTGTCCGTGAAGTGGGCCCCCCTTGGCTTCGTCTTCTCACGTGGTCACTAGCTACTGCGCTAGGCACCAGTGCCGTCGGTCTCCCTTTCAGGCTGGTTGACTGGCTTCCTTTCCCCTTCTCTCTTCTCTTCTATTCTTGTTGGTGAAAAAAGAAGGAAAATGAAGCAACTCCCCTCGTGCGCTCCTTGGCCCGGGGTTTTGGCGTGGAAGGATCCCTTGCTCTTGGATGTGTGTGCTGCGTCTCCGACATGGCAGCGTCGCGAGGGGGGCCGCGGGCTTGTTGTTTTCGGTTCTCAGCATAGTGGGCGAAGCACTGCGCTCGACTACAGACCACCAGATGGGGGCGCACTCTAGTGCGGGCGGTCTTTTCTCCTTGCCTTCCTCGAAGAGGGGGGCCCCCTTGGGGATTATGGGAGCACGGGATAGACTGAGCCCAGCCGCCTGACCGCTGGGCTCGTCATGCCTGGCCAAGCCAGAAATAAAGTGTCTACTTCTTTAGAAGTCGCCCCCTAACTATCAGCGCAGAAAAGTGATGCCGTTTCTATGGACCCCGGGCCGCTGGCTGCTTCGGGTACCGTAGTGCACTAGCGTCGGGCCCATTGTCGTGGGGCTATTTGGAGCGTGGGGAGGGCTGGGGAATCGCCTCGTTTGGCTTGGGATCTCGGGTTGGGCTTGGAGACATCTGCTTGGCCCTCTCGCAATTTTTTTGGCTCTCTTTTTCTTCTGCGCCTTGCTTTACAATTTGGGAAAGCCTGGGGCGCAGCTTCTTTCTCCGGGGGGGGGTGGATCTCATTAAGGAACCTTTCGCATGCATTGCCATCCCGAAGATCGTGAGCAACGTCGTCTCACCTTCGAAGGGAAGGCGTGACGATCTGCCGGGGCGGGGGGATGCCGATGCGCTGTCGACTTTTATTTTGGGGGAAGTCGGTTTTTTGCGCCTGTGGGTAAATTTTAGGCGGATGCCGATGGCGCAGCGGTTTTTTTTGTGGGATGGTCGTTGTTGACGGTTTTTCTGAGCGAGTTTTGAGTAGGCATAGCCGCGGCAGGCCCAGGCGAGTGATTCAGAGTGGTTGTGGGGGCTTCATACTTTTAGAAGGGTACTTTTGCAAATTGCTTTATTGGGTGCTCTCACTACGTATACGATATTTTTAATTTGCTATCACCTAGATATAGCTGAGAGTAATTACTGATAGTTCGTAGCCAGATTGTGCTGGCTGACTCCTTCCTTCCTCCCAAACAACCCCTAGGAAGAGAGAACAGAAAGGAAGACTTGAGCTTAAACTCAAGAAGTGGACTAATGACTTACTAATGAAAGCGGCTACAATCTAAACAAGTCATCACTCTTCTTATTGGGTGCTCTCCCCTGCTCCTCCCTTGGTCTGAAGCGTGACCAGTCCCCACGCATGGCATGCCAGGGCGGACTAGCCCCGTGCCCCGGGCAGCGGCGGCCGCTCCTTCTTGGGGCTTTCTTACGTTTGGCGAAAGTGAGTCCAGGACGCTGCGCTCTGTCGCATTTCTTTGGCTGCTTCTTATTCCAATGCCAGACAGCGGAACAAGTGTGCAGGCAGTGTCTTGCTTGCATTCGGTGCTTGCTGCGGGCGGGTCGATGCGGGGGTCTCAAATGCCAGACAGTTTCTATCGCTGGACTTGTCGGCTTGCCGGCTTGCGTCGGCGCTCTGGCTTGTTTGTGCTACGGATGTGGCGTGGCGTGGGTGTTTTTTTGGGTGTGCCAGTCTTTCTAGCGTGTCGGCGCCCCGCGTGTGTGTCTCGCTGGTATTCTGTGGGCTTGGCCTTCTGCTGTCCCGCTCCTGCGTAGGAAGTTCTATTGGTCACTTTCATTCGTAGCCCACATGGTTTGATGCATGATGGCGGGGGAGAAATATGCAACACCACTGCAGAGGGTGCTGCGTGGCTGACTTTCGTTGTAGACTGGGGCGGTCGCGTCGCACTTGTCTAAATTTTCTGTGTGCGAGCGGTTGCACTTCGTCGCGTGCTTGAAAGACTGAAGGCTTTAGCTGCTGATGATCGGCGTGCCACATTTTGTCCGTAACTAGTTTACTCGGTCGGCCGGCCGACCGAACGCATCTTGTGCCCAACCAAGCATACGTAGCTGGGTCCCCTTGTGCCTCTTGCAATTATATATACTTCCACGACCGCCTTCCTTGGTTGTGCTTGTGTGTACCCACATGCCAGGGAGGGTACTTGGGTGGTTCTTATAAATATCGTTGATGGCTTTAGCTTAGTGTAGCCCATTTCTCGCGGCGTTGTTTCGGCGTTCTTATCTAAGTTTCTTGGAGATGCCGCGCGCTTCGAGATTCTGGAGTATGTTGAGGTGACTTCGACTACAACAATGACGTCGACGTCAACTATGACGACCACAGAAACCAAGACAACGACCCTCACGGAGATGGCTGATGTTGAAGCTAATGCTGCCGCAGCCACAGACGACAGTATTACACGTCCGTAGACCATTGATCAACGTAAAAGTAGTCTTGCTGTTGATGGTGCTAAATATCTGTTGCTCAGATCCTGCGCAAACATACGTAAGACACGCGCAGCACCATTAACGACATCAGCCCAGCTGATGTCGTTAATGGTGACAAGATGTGGAAAAGTAAAGAGCGATGCAATTGTCACTGTTAGAGAAGGTGTTGAACTCTGTTGAGACTCCTCCCATCTGTTGAGAGCTATAGAGCTAGAAAACTGAACGAGGAAAGTGCTACGAGGTAACTGCTTAGGTCTGTCGAGGTCGTCGCTAGTCTGTCGCGCGTGTTCCAATAAGAGGATAAAGGTGGAGCGTAATTAGGTAAGTATAAGCATACTTAGCGAGATACTTCATCTATACTAGAAATGCACGGTATGACATTGACAACAAAAACCAATTCTATACTTCAATTCTCATCAGGTGTTTTATGCTTTGACGAAAAACCAAAACCTAACCCGAAACTTATTCTGCCTGCTTGGTACTGTTCGCCCCTTCTAAATCTATCGGTAAGATCGAAACCACTCGAGTAGGGAACTGAGTGAAATTCTTCATGGTAGCGTAAGTTTAGCTTAACCGCATAACGATCCCACTAGCATAGTTAGAATTTGTAAGTCACTCGCTATAGTTCACTGAATTCGTAGCATGCTGTTTGACTTTGTTTGACTTTGAGTAACGGTCTTTTCTCTCGAGCCCAATAAGTAAGTACTAACGATCTTAGTCACACTCCGTAAAAGGTTAGCAGGTAGACGCAGCTCAAGCTTTTACAGCGTTGCAAGAACTTACAAGCATACTAGACAGCGTAGAAAGGTTTACTTGAAGTACTTGAAAACTTCCATTTTGCATTACGGATTGGTGTTGGATATTGTCTTAGCAACCCAAAGGAATTCTTCAGCTTGTTCGTCATCGAATCTCCATCCTCATTATTGTACTTATACCACTAGGAAAAGCACTGAGCAAACGTAGTGTTACTCGTTATAGATTGCTGTAGATTGTTTCCTTTCGCCGAACTTCGTCCACCTTAGTACCTCCAGGAAGTATTTGAATTGGTATTGACAGTTATTGCGCCATCTGAAGCCACTGGATTTTTTTCAGTAAGCTAACCAGTAACTACAAGAAAAACGCACTATCTTCACTCTATCAGGTTCCCCCGAAAAGCGTAGGCTTTCCGTTTGAGTAAAAGTAGCGCATCAATATAAGTAATTTGAAATCTAGTGGGGCTTAGTTAAGATAGTTAGCTGTACCAGCAGGCTAAGTAACTTGTTTAACGCATTTTTCTTGTTGTTGTTGTTCTTACGCCAGACCTTCTAATACTTTGCCGCAGTAATAGTACTACCTGGGTTACGCACCTCCGCCGCAGCTATTAGCACGATGTCGACGATGAAGATTGATCCCAAGATCATCACGCCATGGGGCGCAGAGCAGAGCTGGTCTGATTACATGCAGCAGGTCATCAAGCTATGGATGTTGACCACCGAGGTACCCGCCGACAAGCGAGCTGCTCACATTGTACTATATGGCATCCGCCCGGAGCATGAGCATATTGCGCGCGAGCTGAACTTGCTGGACACTCGCATTCTGGTTGAGGCAAAGGACCCCGCAGCTGATCACCAAGATGCCCAAGTGAAGGATCTGCTTCGGAAGTATACCCCTGTGGAGCGCATTTGTTACCTTGTCGGCACGGTGTTAAAACAATCGAAGCCGCTTGAAGGATGCCGACACTATAACTCGCTGACGCGCTTCGAGCGCCGAGCCAACGAAAGCTATGCTGATGCTTTGAAGCGTTACAAGTCCTTAGTGGCGACGGTGCGCACTGACGGTCGCAACCTTACCGAGCGTGAACTATGTGAGCCTCTTTACTTTGGCATGTTTTGGGCCCCCGCTGATGAAGTTGCTCTACGCACGCATTTCCAGATCTCGGAAGTTGGTACTGGCCGCAACTTGTTCCACCACCTCTGCGATTCGATCGACTCGCTATTCACGGCTACTACTACGACGATGAAAGGCGCCGGCGCTGGTGGAAGCTATGACGCTCAAGGAGATGCTATCATGGAAATTGTCGGCTATGGTTACAAAAAGGGCACCGGTAAGAACGGTAAGAAAGGCGGCAAAGGAACCAGCAAGAAAAGCGGCAAAGGATCCGGCAAGAAAGGCGGCAAAGGAGCTGGCAAAAAGGGCGGCAACGGCGGCGGTAAGAAAGGTGGAAACAAGAAGGGCGGAAAGAAGTACTACGCAAAATACTACGATAATAATGGCAAGTGCTACTTTGTTGAAGTAGATGATGACCAAGAACACGGAGCAGGCGCTGCTGGTCACGCTGATGCGTGACTACCGGATCCTGCACCACCAAAAGAAAAGTTTTTAGTACAGACGAGCTTCGCGGTCAGCAAACTCCACGAAGCCCGTCTTGGATGGATCATCGTTGATAGTGGATGTTCGAGATCGATGGTCGGAAAAAGGACGTTAGAAGAATTCGAAAAGGTATTCCCTCAGTACGTAGGTGAAAGAAGAAATATTCCCGGAGTAGTTTACAAGTTCGCAGACGGCAGCACTACTACATGCACGAAGGCAGTTTCTATTCGTGTACTAAAACAAGAAGTACTATTTGTTATCAATGAAGCAGATAGTAGCGATTCTAGCATACCTTTCCTCATTGGGAATGATGTGCTAGCAGGGTCACTCTTAGACCTCAACGACAAGAAGCTGAGGCTAGGGGGTGACGTTATACCCCTCTTCTACAGCAAGGGCCTCTACTTTGTGAATTTCCTTACGGCTTCGGTTTTTTCGATTGCAGAAGGAGATCGCCAGGCAGAGCCTGTAGAAGAAGACGAAGATGAAGATGAAGAAATAACTGAGATGGTAAGTTGGTTGGAGACTGTCTTCAACACTGTGGCGCCAGAGGAAGTCCTGACGTTCAGTGGTTTGAAGAATCTACATCAGCGCAATTGGCACGTTAAACCTAAGGACCTCCTTAATCGCTATAGGACATTAGTGGACGCAGCCGCGGAAGAAGATCCTGAATTCGACAAGAAGTTTCTGGAGTACGCCGAACAAGTCACCAAGGCATGCAAAGTCTGTTCGCAGTTTTTAAAAGTTGTGGAAAAGCCCAAGTTTGGCAGAAGGCCAAAGCGCGCTGGTCAGTTTGTTGCTATGGACACGTTCTTCATCAACTTCGAAGGCCGACAACATGCTGTACTACATCTTTGCGATTATTTTTCCAAGTTCTCGATGGTCTTCGCTTGTCCGGGTGCAACAAGTACCGGCGATGACGTTTCGTCTGCTTTACGAAGGTGGCGACTTGTCTTTGGCTCGTACCCAGAGGCAATAGTGACTGACAACGGCAACGAGTTCTGCAATTCCAAGGTCTACTCTTTGTGTGCTAGTGCATCTATCAAGCACATCCGGTCTGCGCCTTATGAGCATTCTTCGAACGGTTTTATTGAGGTCATGAACAGAATCATCAAAGAAATACTGAAGCGACTTCTGGATCGGCGTGCGTCGGATTTTAATACGTTAAGCTTCGAGGATGTTTTGCTGGAGGCTTGCTCGTGCAAGAATGGTTACGTTCGCAGTTCTGGCTTCTCGTCGCAGTTTATAGCCTTGGGGAACAATGTCGTCTTCGACGGTGTCACGGGATTGGCGCACTCGCCTGATATGAAGCCTGCCGAGTGGATCCGGCAAAGGGAGGCGCTCCGGCTTGAAGCGTCTCGTCTCCAAAACTTGGAGGCTGAGCTAAAAGAAGTAAAGGCGATCTTGCGTGAGCCTGCCCGCCTCGGAAACGTTACGCAATTTTCTTTGGGAGATAGAGTTATCGTCGCGTCATCGGTGGACAAGAACGATACTGGACTAGATCGCTGGTTTCCCGGCGAGGTTGTAGGTGTTCGCGGGTCGCGAATGCTCATCGTCCAGGACACTGCTGGAGCTCTTCATGAAGTCCACTCGCGCCGAGTACGTATGCTGCCTCCTTGTGACATTGTGGACGACGAAGCTGAAGATGAAGATGATGCTGAGCCTGAGGCCCCGGAAGAACACCCTGCTGCACAGCTTGACGAATTGCCTGACGCCGAGCAGAGTGACGCGGTGCCCTTGGCCCAGGACGCCCCGGCTGAAGCTCCTCGTGATGGCCAAGGACGTGATGCCGAGGAATCTCAAGATCAACCTCCACAGCAAGAACCAGGCGCGGCAGCAGTAGAAGGCCGCCTTGAGGACGCTCCTGCTCAGGCACCGGCCCCGGAGCAAGCCAGCAAGGAGGTTGAGGACAAGATAGCTGACATCGTTAAACGGAACGCGCAGTCCCTATTAGATGCAGCACGGCGACAGAAGACTGCGATCAAGAAAAGCCTTTTCAAGGGTGTCGACGTTCGACAAGCGTACTGCTACAGGGGAATAAAGGAGGCTCGTTTACCGGCCCAGGTTGCGCAACTTACAAGACAAGGCGACCGATGTTTTTCCATGCAGTTTGCTCTTACCACCGGTCGCAGGTTGCTTAAGGTTATCCGGGCGGAAGATTATCCGGACTCTAGTGCGCATACTCTACCTCTTGGTCGGTCCACAGCTGTGCTGGTAACTGTTGTCTTTACAAATCGGCAAGAGCCTACGGCCGACCTGAATCCAAACCAAGAAGTTCGCGAAATTGGTTCTGCCAGAAATCGCGGCGCACGTTCTACTACGGTTCCTGATGATCCTGCTCGCTATACTGCTGTGCCAGAAGATATGCAGAATCTGGAATCTTTGCCGCAGCTCTCGGCGAAACAACTCCGATGGCTTTCGGTCAAGTGTGGCGTTGCGTTGACCCCTCAAAAGCGAGACATGCAGAGCCGACTTCGTGCACACTACGAACGCACTGCTGACGCAGCAGGCTTCGCCGCGTTTGAGTTGGACGATGATGAATTTCAAGAAGAAGCTGCGGAGCTTGCCTTTACCGCTGGTCTTGGTTTCGATGTCGCAAAAGCTACGTGCTCCAAGTCGGAGCAGCGTGTTGAGCTAGGTTACTTGCGTGACACTTGCAGTGGACTTCTGACGAAAGCGAATTCTGAAGAGATATTCTTGCAGCCTGGAGATGCAGCATTTGATGCACATTTTATGCCGCTTAGTTCTAGGAGGGCTGACTTGGAATATGTTTTGGTGAGTACTGGGTCCACTCGTGTCAAGACTTGGAGGCAGTTACATAAAGAGCACGAAAGTGATATATTCATACTTAGGTCGTCCCTACCTGCCTTAGAGGCATTACAGCAAGAGACGTGCTCTGTGTCTGATATAGTTATATACTTCTTCTACCATAAGGACATAAGTAAAAGTTTACAAAAAGCACCAGTAGAGAAAAACACTGCTGGGGCTACTGCTGCTAAAGCGTTTAAGCTTCCGTTTGGAGTTATGGCCAAAGGCACTGTTGAGCTGCCTTATGAGTGGTTTAAAGAGAACGACCTACTTGACGAACTCTACGCAGCATTTAAGAAAGAGTTTGACTCCCTTAGAAGTAACGAAGTCTTTGACGTAATTACTCGCCCTGATGGAGTAAAGCTGATCACCTCAAAGGTCATCTTTGCAGTTAAGTTCACTCCTGAGGGTGCCATAAAGCGCATTAAGGTTAGATACGTCCCGCGAGGTTTTTCTGACGTTCGCGACTCTTTTCTACGTAAGGGCCAAGACGTAGTCAGTAACGAAGGCTTAGTTTTTCTTTTAACCTTAGCAGCGTTAAACCAGTGGGAACTAAAGACCACTGATTTTATGACGGCCTTTCTTCAGTCTGAACCTTACCGGGATGATGAAAAGAATCCCTTAGTTGCTCTTCCATATTTGCCCGATCCTAAACTCTATGATCTTCTGAACGTTGAACGGGGCAAAGTATTGAAGATGCGAAAGGCTGTCTATGGGCTTTATGATGGCCCACGGCGGTGGTTTACTACGTTTTCTACTTTCTTAAAGCAAGTAGGTTTCCGTCAGATTAACGCTGACTGTGGTTTGTGGGTTCTTCCCTCGCCGGAAGATCCGAGCTCTAAAACTACGTCTGAGGAAAAGTCTCACCTTGAACAAGCTGAAGACGCGCTTGACCGTGATCCTTTACCTAAACCGCCTAAGACTAAAATTAGTGGAGTTCTCTGTCTTCATGTAGATGATAGCTTGCATGGTGGTGATGAGTACTTTCAACAGGTTTGGGCACAGGTTGAGAAGCGCTTTAAAATAGGTGAGACCGAGGACTTAACTAGTGACGGCGTCTGTTTTTGTGGGCGTATTCTGCGCAGGGAGTTTGACCGTTTAACTAGAAGACTTTACTATACCATTGATCAAGAGTTCTACACCCAGAAGATCACGCAGATCGATATTCCTCAAGGAGTTGCTCTCAGTACTCCCATGGGTGATAGTCTTACTCTCTATAGATCCCTGATAGGCCGCCTCAACTGGATCACTTTTCGAACGCATCCCGAGATAGCTTATGATGTGCACGCTTGCTCTAAGAAGTGCACTAGTGCCACCTGGCAAGACGCAGTAACGTTAAATAAGGTGGCCCGGCGGGCCATCTATAACAGGTCCATGCGCATCATGGTCAACCCCGATCCTGGCGGACGGTGGCAGATAGTTTGCTTCTCGGATGCTAGTTATCCGAGACCTTCTAGTAAGCATGTTTTACCTTCGCCCCCTTGTGTCGGAGTTGTTATCTTTCTAGCTAACATGGGGCCAGATTCGGATACTTTTTCTGTTGATCAACTACACTGCGTGCAGCCCGTGAATCCTGTTAAGTCTCGCCATGTGTGTGCTATCCCTCTCTATTGGCGATCTCGCGACGTTACTAGAAAGATAGAAACTGTTCTAGACGCAGAACTTATAGCGACTCAGTTTGGCTACAACTTGAGTAAGTACCTACAAGGCTTCGCGATAGAACTAGGACTAAGCCAGCCTTCTGATCCTGTATTAGTCTATAACGACAACAACTCTAACATCTCACACATTAGGTCGTCTAATCGACATAGTAACCCTAGACTAAACAGTTTGTGGTCTTGTTTACGCACGTACTACCAAGATGGCAAGATGGTTCTTCGCCATATCTGTGGGAAAACTTTAAACTTTTCAGACGTTCTAACTAAACCATCTTCGCCTCTCATCTCTGTACTCACAAAAGTCATCTTCAGAGGTAAGATATATATACCCTCTGCTAGGGAAAAGTTCTAAAGAGAAAAGACGCGCACAAAAGGGAAAGAAAGTAAGAAAACTTTGATGGGTATAACTTGAGTAAGTTTTTATCCACTATGCATAACCATAAGTAAGACGAGTTAAAACGTACTCGATGATTACCTGTCGTATTCGTTCCATGGACACTGCTGATCTCTGCCTACTTGTATACTTGACGCGAATTATTTCACTTCTTCACCGATGTACTTGCTAAGTTGTAAAACTAAAAGGAATGAAAATTGCTGATTATATATAATGAAACATATAGTAGCTAGTATAGGAGCATACTGCTTTCTGTAGTGTGAGGGTGTTTGTTTTTGTTTGATTAGTTCGCTTGACTTGCCGCACCACGTCGAACAACTCACACCAGGACCATCTGCGTATATTTGTTGAAGAGACCTCTCGAGGAGAATGGCTACAGATACGCCTAAGCTACTTTGGACTCAGTTCGAGATGAGTCGACTAAAAAGAACTCTGAGGAGAACTACCTAAGCACCAACTAAAACACCTTGGGCCATGGCGAGTGGTCTTTCACCTAAGCTAGCTAAAAGACAGTAAGTAAACGTAAGAACTTAGGCTGAGCTCAAGTCAGATCTTTTTAGATGGAGGTCCTATCTTGTAGTGTACTCTATTAGGTAGGTAGCCGGCACTCCAGAGGAGTTAGATCTAGACTATAAAAGTAAAAGAACGTAGACGAAAGTAGAACTTGAAAAAGGTCAAAACAATAAGACTCCTACTGCGATGACTATTGTTGTATACTTGTCTATGTCTCCGGTTTGCTCTAGTTCCATAGCACAATCTCGCTAACTTGCAGCTCCTTAGACTATAAACACCGCGACACGACAGACCTCTACATATAACTAGCACTAGGCTAAAAACGCTCAATCCTCAACATCTAGAGTAGTTATATGATTGATTATTAGAAATAAGCCTGATCACCTTATTTCCAATAATTTTTTAGTGGGGGGAGTGTTGAACTCTGTTGAGACTCCTCCCATCTGTTGAGAGCTATAGAGCTAGAAAACTGAACGAGGAAAGTGCTACGAGGTAACTGCTTAGGTCTGTCGAGGTCGTCGCTAGTCTGTCGCGCGTGTTCCAATAAGAGGATAAAGGTGGAGCGTAATTAGGTAAGTATAAGCATACTTAGCGAGATACGTCATCTATACTAGAAATGCACGGTATGACATTGACAACAAAAACCAAATCTATACTTCAATTCTCATCAGGTGTTTTATGCTTTGACGAAAAACCAAAACCTAACCCGAAACTTATTCTGCCTGCTTGGTACTGTTCGCCCCTTCTAAATCTATCGGTAAGATCGAAACCACTCGAGTAGGGAACTGAGTGAAATTCTTCAGAAGGTCAAGAATTAATAGATGAGCAGCCAGGCAGTATGAATATGATCATATCACTTCGCTTGCCGGTGAAGGTCAACGCCGGGAACGCTCCTGCTGTTCGTGTTTGTCCCTGTCGTGTGTGATCTCGGGCGCCTTGACCTTGTGTTGCATTGGCCGTGGCTACCTACGCGACGCACAAGAGGGCCCCACCATGTTCCCCAGGCTCACTCTTCTTGCTATCTAGAAAGCTGCTCGACTTCTATCCTGGCTTTGTATGATAATGGTATACCAGCGAGCGTCGGAGATAGGGGCCATTTCCGCATGTTCTCGGCACTGTGTCTACTCGATCGTCTGCCACTGTGTCTACTCCATCGTCTGCCACCGTTTCTACTCGATCGCCTGCCACTGTGTCTACTCGATCGTCTGCCACCGTGTCTGCTCAATCGTCTGGCACTGTATGTGCTCGATCGTCTGGCACTGTATGTGCTCGATCGTCTGCCACTGTGTCTACTCGATCGTCGCCGAGTCTACTCCAAGCGAAACAGTTGACTCGTGTTATTTAGCTCAAGAGTGTGTCGCTCAAATGAGTGTGAGTCTGTCTACAACTTGTGCATCGTGCATATAGTCTACTTTCTCTTTTGGTACTCCAACTCCATCTCCAATCGTGACACTTCTGTCAGATGCGATCACAACCCATTTCGTCGAGTACAGTGGACAGAATTGCGGGAAAGGTGACGATGCCACATACCATTAAGGCTCTACTGAGACTGCACGTGATCGGCTTTTGCCCCAAAATGGGCGACCTCAAGTAGTATTTGTTTCTTTGGAGACGGAAAACAAGTGCTTTACTCCCGAATGGGGAAGAAGCTTCGCGATGCTCCGCCGGGATAGGCTGGCTTAGAGTTTCAAAATGAAACGCTCTTCAAGTGGTAGCCGGGGTATCTGAGTATGTTGATTGCGATGCTGTAATCCACACTTATTTCTTGTACGCTCATCGTTATCATAAGAACTTACGTTTTAGGTTTGATGATGTCTTTTTGTGGGGGTAAGCGCTAACATCAGCCGGGAGGTAATGCAACGCTTAATCGTGTCTATCTGTACAATGCGGGGGACACGGAGGTCGAGCACCTCACGAAGTGCGCGAAAAAGTGCTCCGAGTACGTTGTCACAGGTACTAAGTAACCCTATATTTGCTTGTTCAATAGCTAACAAAATTTTACGGATAAGCTAGTGGACAAAGGAGCCACCGCCTTTAGTATTAATGAGCTACCTGTACGTGTACCTCTCGTACTAGCGATTACGATGTCAAATAAGACGAGTACGGGTAGAACAAGGATGAAGGACACGGGTCCGCAGGGTTGGGAGGATTAGTTACCTTCACATGATGTTGATGGACGAAAATTACGCACATTCATGTCGTGCCTTCACTGGACCTTGATCAGAGAAGCCAGTCTACTAGTAAAAGTTGTCACCTAGTACATATTAAGGCGATTAGATGATGTCTACTAGGTAGATGGACTAATAATGGAGTCAAGTGCGACAGCAAAACTTGTAGTGAAGATCGTACTCGCCTAGTTTCAAAGATCGTATGTGTATGATGATTATTTAGTAGACCTATCAATCTTCAAAATCACTATCGTGTCCGTGCGCGATATGTGGAAATCCTGTCCTATCGTAAATAAATGATGTGAAGCTAATATCACCTATAAGTTGTCTATGTCTGGTCTTCAGCTTCTCATCGAGAGTCTCTCTCTATCACAATCACATAGTACAATGAGATAATTTTTGACTTGGAACAAATGCTACTTGCATGATTCTCGTCACTTACACGTCAATAATGTTGATTATTAGGCGCCGAAGGTTGCGGTGGCTTCATGTACGAGAAGGAGGCAGTTTCCGACACCAACGAAAACCTAGCTGGACAAGAGGGCGCGTGCACGCTCCGCCAAGGTCCCGTCTCGATGGACCCCGCATGTCCGACATTACGGCCACTTTTTTGTAGTACTTCTAAAGAAGCAAAGAAAGGTTTGATCTTGAAGTTGAGCTTCTACTTCTAGCTTTTTACCGAGAAGGAGAAGCTGTGTAGAGCGATGATGTCAATGCTTCGCTTTCATCTTTGTATCAGCTGAACCCTGTAGGTTATTCCGTGCGGGCTTGCCTCTATTTCACCCTTTGAAAATCGTGAGGAGGAAAAAAACAGGCTGAATTATAATTAGTTTTTGGGGAATGCTTCTACCTTGCATCAGTCAGCTACTCGTACCAATACTACTTATTTAGCAGTTGCCCAAGCTAATGAAAATTCTCTCTAACCAAATTGGCAGGCGTGCGCTTCTATCGACGCATGTCGGCGGTAGTCACCGTCAAGTAGAAAGAAACTTCAGGAAGTGGAGGGGGAGGAGGACGTGGAGGGGGAGGAGGAAGGGGAGGGTGAGGAGGAAGGGGAGGGTGAGGAGGAAGGGGAGGGTGAGGAGGAAGGGGAGGGTGAGGAGGAAGGGGAGGGTGAGGAGGAAGGGTAGGACGTGGGTGGGGGGGGCGTATTGGGGTGATTGTGGTGGCTGGGGACAGGAGTATACGCGTATTATGGTGATCGTAGCGGCTGGAGGAAGTTGGTCTGCTGGGGTGATAATTGTGGCGGCTCGCGGGAGGACTGACATAGATATTGCCTGATATTGCGACTCGTAGATATACAGTGATTAGGCGGAATGGACGAGGAGGCCGTGGGTGTCGGGGATATACTGGAGGGGTGGCGTCGTGGCGTCTGGCCGGATGAATCGATATTGGTATATTCAGATGGAACGGTGGCCATGGCGGTGCCTTTCAGATGGAATGGCGGACGTGGTAGGACCATGATGTGCGCCGGCGATCTTTAATACGTTCAGTATGAAGATGGATATGAGGACGTGAAAATATGTCGTGAGTTATTTTATGTGTATTTTTGGAACAATTATTTTGAGGAGCAGGCAAGAAGGGAAAGCGAATGAAGCATGCACGGGGAATATCGAAGTGCTTACCCTGTGGCTGTATATCTATATGTGGGATCGGGGAAATGTTTATCTTCCAAGAAGAAGCATTGCTGTTGGTGTTGGAGAGGAGATGGAGAACAAGAGGTTGATGCTACTCTGCGTTGCTCTCGAGGTATTTTGATATAATGATAGATGAGTACTATGAAACTGAAACATCTTCAGTAGAACCAGAAGATTCAGCTTCAGGGCTCAGATTTGGGCTCCTATTAAGGGTAACCTGGAAGTTATACTGTTAATCTTAATGGATGGCTTGTCTACATCCATGGTCGAAAGACTACATCATCGAGATGATCTATGTATTGATCGTCTCAGTGTAGTGCTCATACTCATTGTCGGCTGCTTAATATACTTTCTCTAGTGCACCATCAAATTCAAACATTTTTTACATGCGCGTTCCTTCGTTCCCATTTTCACAGTATGAACATGATCATCCTCTTGTCACTCTCACAAAATGCATGTTGTTCATCTCCCAACTTCTCACCACATCAAGGTTGACTCGCTAACTCGTACACGTTTACCAGGGCACCGAAGCTCGTAAACCGAGCTAGCATTTTTTCGGGAGCTTGCGAAGTAGATACGAAGCTGAGTTATCAGTAGAAGACGCAAATACATATACAGGCACAGCAGGCAGACGGGCACAAGCACAACTTGCTCAGTAGCTAGGGGGTCTTTTTTTTATCAAGATATTGATCCTAATAGATACGACAGTAATTGTTGTTGCTTGTGGAAGGACTAGAACACTTCGAGCTCGACTCACCTTGTTTCTACGTTGAGATGTGCCTGGTCCTGGTGACGATGCAGGATTCCTGATGCAACGCACTAACATCGGCATCATAGACGCAAGAATGATCGTTCAACTTGATCTTCATCATCCACATCATAAACGCAAGAATGATCTTCAGTGGCCCTGCTTGTTATTATGTTGTCTGTCTCAGAGACAGCCTTCAAACTCAAGAAGAGTAGCTATGGGGAAATGAGTTGTCAATTCGTTTTCATAATAGCACTACGAGCAAACGTCTTTCTTCTTTGCTGAGGATCAGATCTCAATCTAGCACTAACAATGACAATGGCAATCCTTTTTTGAGGAGGGCATGCGTAGAATACCACGACCACTAGGGCGCCAATCTAGCACTAACAGCGATGTTTTCTAATTCTAGGAGTTGTAGCAAATAATGAATTGTTTTGGTAATTCGTGGTGGAAAGGGAATCATACAAGTTGTAGAGCAGTCACATAGACCAGGCTCATGCACGTATGTGGAGATATGAGAACGCTGCTGGACGAGGTGCCAATACTTCTGACTGTAAATATTTTCGCTTGATTTTACTCAGCAGATAACTTGCGTGGTCCATCTTTCTTCACAATATGTAGGCAAGATATAACAGCTAATATGGTCGTATTTCGTAATAATTATTGTTATTTATTTTCATTTCAAATTTATTTCCGTTTAGCATGATATTGTGATAGGATTTCTCCTTTTCTTGGTAGTACTCGTTAAAAAATATTCACTTCTGAAGAAGTTTCTTGTCGTTCGTGGGATTTGGAGATCGGTAATCGTGAAGTATTGAATTTAGTGGTAGTCATCTTTCTTTTTCTACAAATGATAATGTCGTTGTTCAATAAAATGTCTCAGCAAAACGAAGACCACGTAGCACGCAGGGGGAGCTCTTCTTCTTATTCTTGTTAATTTCGTTGTGGTACTAATGCCAGCCGTAGGTCGTAGCCCCCTATTTTCTTTCGTTTTGGCTCTTCAGTAGCCACTGAAGTCTGCTGGTTTGTCTAGTGGACCCACACCTAAACTAACCTTGCCCTATGCATACAGTGTTGCGCATTATGCAAACCGACATCGCATGACGCGGACGCACGTTGTCCCGCTTGTTATTGTTCCTTATCTTGCCTATCACACGAAAACAGTAGGAAATATCAAGTAGAGCTCGACACTGCGTCGCTATTTGACCGAATGAAGGAGCAGCCAAACTTGAGCCATCCAAGATGCAAACTGAGTCTTTTTTCAGGTCATTCAAAAAAAAACTATGACAAGTATGTATCACATACAGCAAGAGTAGTTGTACATATATGACAGATGTGAATGGGGAAAGTCGCCTTGTTGCTGAGGGTGGGTGTCCGTGATCTTGGCAAATTGTCCAAATCCATCAGACGGTAGCCACGCAGCTTAGTGCGTCCAGCTAGCTGTCCAGCCAGAGGCAGCGGCCAGCCTAGCCCCAGCCAGCGGCCTTAGCCCTGCCCTGCTCGCTTAGCCCTGGCCAGCGAACTGGCCCCATCGTACCCAGCTAGCTGGCCCAGCCCTGGACAGCCCGCTTTTGTGGCCCTAGGCATCCACGCTCGGCCCTGGCCGGCGAGTTCAGTCAGCCCGGCTCAGTGGGTGAGTAGGCTTAAGTAGCTCGAGACCCTGCGCTTGGACAGACCGTACTACTCTCATGTCAACAAGCGTACTCGCACGAAGACAAATCCTCTAGAGGACCAACAAACTCAACAACGGAGCCATGTTTCATGTTGAAATCAGAAACCGATAAACACAGAAGCGATTTTCCGTCACCACTGCCAGAGTGACACTGTAATTTTGTGCTCTGCTGGTTTTCCTCTTATTCATTCCTCTCGAGTTCGAGACACGGATGCAAGGTGAATTATGCTTGCTGTGATAATGATAGCAGAACAGTTTTTATCAGAAAAGAAGTAGATGATAATGCGAGTAAAAATTGTGAGAATCAAAGAGCTTCATCTTCATCCCTGTTGTTTGCCTTGGTCTGTTGCTTGTAAGAAGAAGATGAAATCTCGGTTCTTGATTGTTGCGTGAATCTGTTCTTGTTGAGAGACGGATGTCAGGGATCAGAGGAGAAACCGGCAGAACCAGTGATCTTCTCAGTGATCCTAAAGCTGCTTACGACTTCAGCACATAGAATACGATATTAACGACGTTACTCGTATGATGGTGATGATGATGATGATGAAGATGATCCGACGGAGAAAAGCGAGTGACTGATTGCATACCATAAGAAAGGTACTAACGACGATTATGATGACCTGACTTATTCTATATTCTTACTTGTTGAACAAGGACCAGACAGGACGGATCAGTTAGGACGAACAGGATGGAAGGGGAGCAAACGCCGTACGTTCTGACGGCAGTGCTTGCCGCTCGTGGTCTTGGCGACACTGATCCAACTTTACGAAGAAGTTCTTGAAAGCGCTTTTTTCATCCAGGGTATCTGCTTTAGTGTGAACCTGAACGATGGACAGGAATTTTAATATTTTTTCAGCAACTATAGTCACTGTATTATTTACAAAGTCAGAAACGATACCTTTTTTACTCGAGACCATTGTTCTTTTCGTCGCTTCTTTGTGGGCACCCTCACGCCTCAGCTCTTCTAATCACCGTGATGGTTACCTGCTGCGACTACGGCATGTCGGTGCGCGTGCCCTTTATGTCATGGGGTCTTCATCTTGTTGTTGTTTCCATGACAACTTAATGCTTTTCCCTATAATACTTTTTTGCACGACTTCTACAATGATAACTTAATGTCCTTAAAGGTCTCTCGTAATTAGTATGCATGGCAGGCTTCATTTTTTCGCAAGCGATTAAGGTGTTGGCTCCAGACGCAGGCGGCGTTCTCCGCTACTCTTTTGGCGCATATGCGGCAGCCGTGTCCATTCCGGATTTGGATCTCGTCCATGGCCAGCTCAGAGACCTTTGGTTACGACGATGAATGTTTAACATGAAATTGTTATACCGTACCATCGGAGTACTAGAGCCTAACTGTAACTTCTTGTTCATCTAAGTAATAAATGTTCTAAATAGAAGTTCTGGTTCAACCTTTTCGCGGTACGAATAAACTTGTTCTAAATAGTTAGCTTAATAGAGACCTCTGGATCTGGTGGCGATGATGAATGGTTCTCGTACTAAGTAAGTATCTAGAAAAACGTTGAGGTGAGCGCTTTGAACGTTCAATTACCTATGAATATGCCGCTAAAATTGATGAAGACCTTAAAGAAAAGAACTACTCTTTGGTGAACAAGTTCATTGGGCATCGAAGATGAGACCACTACAAGAAAATCGAATTGACCTTGAGCAAGAACTTGGTGAAGATTTTTAACTAGAAGATGCAGGCTACACATAGTGAGCTATCACAGGCCTCTGCGCTAGCACAGGGGATTGATGAAGCCCTTAAATAAGAGAACTTTTTGATGAACAGGCTAGCGTAGGAACAGGGATCAACTTTCAGCATCTAAGGAGACTTTCGGCTAAGCCTGGCTCCCTATCGCAGTCCGATACGCCTGTGGAGCTGCATGTGGTCATTCAGTACTTCAACGCAGAGGATGTCACCCATCATAATTATGAAAGTAACTAACTTGCAAATATCACGCAGCACGCTTATGAAAGTAAGTAGACGAAAGTAACTTGCAAATATCACGCTTCACACTTATGAAAGTAAAAAAAAGTTATGTGCAAGTTTTTGTCTTCATTATAGCAGACGAGATTTAAGGAGGCTCGGCACTAAAAAAAAAAAAAGTGTGATGATGCTTCTTCTACAAGTTCGAAAGTACATTTGCACTCAAGATATAACAAGGAGGCTGTCTACGCTGCGTACTGCTAGTTCGAAGGTGCATCTACTGGCACTGCACCCAAGATATTATAAGGAGACTCTCTTTCTCTAGCTCTACTAGTTCTTCGAAGGTACAGCTGCATAGCTCTTCTTCTCCTTTAAGGGCTTAGCAGTCTGAGAGCAAAGCTGGAGTCGGTGTTTCGGAAGCGAACTCAAGAATTGACCTATGCAGGTGGTTTCAACGACTACTCAGGAGGACAGAACGCAGGTGGCTTCAACGACTACTCAGGAGGACAGAATAAGATATGGGAGGACAGAATATGATGTAGGACACAGAAGTAAGACGTGCACGTCCCGGCTTCAACGACTACTAGAAGTCAATTGAAGATAGAAATACCCATAGAATATAATTGATGAGCTGCGAGGAGATGGATAAGATATGGGATGATTCTTGTGCGTCATTTCATTCGATGTGGTCGTGGACCATGAGAGCGCTACTACGATCACGCCGCAGCCAGACGAGCGTGAAAACAGCAAGGATCAGGTGGACGACGTGTATGGTTCACAAGAGAATTTAGAAAAGAGATAGACTCGTCGTGGTCTATTGCTCTTCTACTTAAGCATATTGTAGGCTCTGGGTCTTGTCTCATTCAAGTTTACCAAGTTGGTAGACGCCATTAGACCTAGACGAAGTGCAACAAACACTATGAATGAATGCAAGCTACATAGCTCCATTAGACCTAGACGATGTGCATCAAATACTATGAACGAGTGCAAGCTACTTCGCTAGTCGTGCTAGTTCTTTTCTTTCCTTTTTCAATCTTGCTAAGTGCTTACACGTGATATGATGTTAATGGCTTCTTAGAAGACATAGTCTAGAAGGATGATGACACGGACCATACACATGAAAGAATACAATAACCTTGATAGTTGATGTTACGTAGCTCTTTAGGTGAACACGTCGCAGTCGAACTGCATCCCCTTCATCCTTGTTACCAAGTCTCGGCACAGCTGCAAGTCCCTCAGCAAGGTGTATTATGGTTGGTTATCAGTTGTTAGGCACTATCAGTCATTACGTGGGCAAGTCACTCATCAACCAGGCGAGGCAGACACTTCTCAATCACGGATATGCGTGTTAAAATGATTGTCAATGATGACAAATTTTGATTGACTACCTTGCTTATAGGGCAAGGAAGCCACTCATAAACCAGGGACTTGGATGTGAAAATGATTGTACCTTACCCTACCTTTAACAAGTGCTGACAAAAGAGTAGAAGACCACGTCGTGCAAGGTGCGACGAGAGGCGGTGCAATAGATCATGTGCAAGGCGGTTCGATATTGACGGATCCGTCGATAGAAGAATTGACGTGGCAACGCTGCGAACCTTATAGTTAAGGCTGTGCTAGCTAATTCATCTTATTGAGAGCGTCCCTGAAACTACGTATGGGGGAGCATCCCAGTGCGATACTCTGGCATACTTTTCAAGGATGCAGCTGGGAGGTGAATTACAGAGAGCGTTAAGATGGGAAGATCATTCAAGCGCTAGAAGCCAAGGTGTCGAAACTAGAGGAAGCCGACAGAGAACACAAAGGCAAGGACGAAGTCCTTGAGGAGCAAAAAGAGCTGCGAAGGCAGGGAGCCGTAAAACACGCGAGCGTCCTGGAGAAAACAAGTGCTTCCATCACCACACTTCGGAGAGACTACGATACTTAAGGCTTACACAGTAAATCATGGTACGAAGCATCCAAATCTTGCTTCTACTTTGTCTTCCTTTTGTTTCTCTGTTAAGGGAAGGAAAATACGTGAAAGATGCCTACTTTCGAGAAAAGCTTCTCCCTCTAGCGTGTGCGTTTTTAGATAATTTATGTTCTCGCTGCAGGAATAGCAATAGAGTAGCCTCATGATTACTCACCGTCTAGTCCATTCACTTTCACATAAAGGCTTCCTTTGTAAGTATAATGGAATCTAAGATACACTACTGGCGGAAAACCAGAACTTGCTGAAGCAACTGCAGGAAGCCACGCGCACGATCTATGAGGGAAGAGAGCAACAAGAAGAACTCGTAAAAACAGTCGGCAAGCAGAAGGCGGAGCTTCTGCTTCTCGAAACAAAGCTTCGAAGCTTCGACCACGTCACAAATCATCTGCAGAGTTACAATTATGCATGGTAGTGGTTCTGATACTCAGATGTCAACTATTACTTACACTTGCAGAGTTAAAATTATGCTACAGCCTCAGGATCAAATATTGATATTAATATGGTTCTTCATGTGCTGTCGTGGTTCTACATCTGAAGAGAAACTCCCTAATAAATAAATTTCTCTATTTACAAGAAAAAAGAAAAACTCACTTTTTCTCAAGATGTAAAAAAAAAGTCGATTGTAGTCACATCAATTATTAGATGATTCGCCTCGTGATCACCTCCTCTATTACGTATATCAACTACTAGCTATATTACATCTAAGTACTACGTCTACTAGTCCACCAACAATATGCTTACACCTTCTTTTCAACATATTCAGTAAAATTGGTACAGGAGATCAACTACATTACACTACAAACAAGCCTCGTACTATAGATGTTAGTTTTCGCTAATGTTCAGGGCATGACCAGGAGCACAATGTAGCACGACAGGAGTTACATGATAAGTACAACCTAGCCACCCAGGCCTTCGAAACCGCGCTAGCTGGTCTCAAGAAGGAGGTACTTTATTCTTGTTCGAAATTTTTTAGATGAACTTGAAGGACTGTATGAACATCGTGGAGGAGATATTATTTTGTTCTACACTCTGCTCACTTCTTGCTGAAGATAAAGATGAAAGATGCCATTCGTGAGCGCGCAACTCCTTGTATGTGGGCCGACTTCTATCCTATCCTATCCTATACAGACACAACGTCAAAACACAGGTCTCCACGCTAGGAGAAGAGAAAGTTGCACTGCAACTACGCCTAGACGAACGGGAGATGCAGCTTGAGTCTACGAAATTTAGTTTGGAGTCTCTACAGCTCACATCACACGGCAACGACGCGGAACGGCAGAAAAATTACCGTCTAGAAAACTTATGGTAGATCATAGTACGATGAGATGATGAGAGGGAAGGAAGAATAGATCATAGTACGAACAACTACGATTCGAAGGGCAGGGAAAATTTGATACCGTCGTTCTAGAAAATTTCTGGTGAGGACCACAGAGTAAAGTGCTTTAGTTTACAACAAGCTCCCATTCTATTTCTAGTAGTTGTAGTAACAATAACAAGTTGTAGTGATGTAAAAATGAAGTTCGGCACGGCAGCTCTAATGATCAGCGATGACATGTATGGGACAAACAGATGTAAACTCTGGTTTGCAATGATATGGAACTTTAGCAGCTTTTCAACATACCCACAGGTAGTAGTTGTACCTGCATTGTTGAACTTGAAGTGCTACTTTTGAGCCACTAGTATATAATGAACAAGACAACATGTAACTCCTAAAAACGTCGGTAGCTACAGAAAGTTGAAGAAAAAGTCTAAGTAGATTACTACCTCTTCACTACCTCTTCGTAGAAGTTGAACTTCTGAAGTTCTTGTTCGACTTGAGAAGTGAAGTGTATTTTGATCGATGAGTTCATAATACGACGTCGCTGCGGAAGGAGCTACTTGCAGCAAATACGCGAAGAGATCAACTAGAGGCCGAATTCTCACTACAGCTATGGATCACGAACACAAGTGTTGTACTAACGCGAGTCCGATCCTATCCTATCCTAAAGCGAGGAGTATAACCTGCCGGGTTGGTCGGATGGGTTATCATGTAATTCTGGCAGCTCGTTGTTGCTGATCTTAGCACTTCGTGGTAGCTCTTCCCTGCCTCTCTTAGCATGGGTTCTGGTAGCTTTCGATTGTCATACTTGGCAAAGTATTTCTTTCTTGATTAAACACCAACCCGCACTAGCTTTTAACCTTATACTTAATAAAATTCATCATACCGGGCTGTTTGACGTCAATCTCGGGAATATGACAAATCGCTTAGGTTCCTTAGAATCAAACTCATGTGATCAAAAGCCTGCGCCATTCAATAACCTGCCGGGTTGGTCGGATGGGTTATCATCTCTAATGAAAGGTGAGAGGGCGCGGTCAGCACTTCAAGCCGAACGGCGGGAACAAGCGAGGTTGCGAGAAGAGCTGGATAAGAGTCAGGCTGCGCAGTCAGCTTTGTTTCTAGATCTAACGCAACGACAAGAGCAGGCGTCATCGGCACTGCTGGCTCGAAAACATGCAGAAGGAGACCTCCTCAGATTACAGAATGATATCGCAGATCTGTCTGCTCGCGCAGAGGACTCGGAGTCCAAGTCTGCAGCCCTGATAGAATTGCGCGCTGAACTCACATTAAGGCTAGTTAGTAGTTGTTTTTTTTTCTCTTTGAAAGAAACAGACCTCAGGTACTTACATATTGAAGCACCTCAATTCTGGATCCGGACAGTCACACCAACTCGTCACGAGGTAGGTTGACGTGATGTCAAGGAATAGAGAAAGCTGCTGTCAGCGATGCGAGCACGAAGTGTCTAGCTCCCATGACATCGAGGAAAATGCTGCTGTGAGCTTGCAGGTACCAGCTCTAATGAGACAGCTCACCCGAAGCTTTGATGAGCTACGGATTTGCTACGGGAAAGAGACGCAAAGAACTCAAGCGGACATCATCCCAAGCATGAAATTATGATCTTTTTCACGTCATGTTTAAAGTAGTAGTTGTAGGTCTACCTCTAGCTTATATGACACTAATTTTTTATCGGAACTCGCTCGCACTACAAGAAGAAAAAAAGTTCCTTGATCCCTCAACTGGATAGTTCTTGTTGCTTTTCTTTTGTAGCACATGCAAATGTTTCTTGAAGACAAATAAGAGCCCATTGGCCACTGCTTTTCTTGCTTGACAGACATTCACTCATATATGCACTTACTTACTCCCAGTCCCAGCCTAACTCTGTCCCGTGAGTTAAATTGCCTTGTCCTCTTCTAATTCCCCGTGAGTTAGGTACTTTGCGAAAAGAGACGAGGCAACTGCAAGAAGAGCTTGTGTCTGCTCGTGCACGTGGCGATCTTCTCGAAAATGAAAAACGGGAAATGCAAGACCGAATTACTGTATTGGAAAATAGTGCGTGGTATGGCTACTTCAGACTAGCAGGATTAGGTTCACTTCTAGTACTTCTTGTAGTTGTACATGATGTAAGTCTAGATGAGTAAGTTCTAGTACTTCTTGCAGTTGTACATGAAATTCTTGCATACTATAGACTCACAACATACCCTTCATTCTCGTTTGGGTGGAACCGGAGATATGGACGAAGGTGTGTATCAGATGCTAAGGGAGAAAGAAGGAGTGTGCGCGAAACAGCAAACGTTGCTGAATAGACTTGCGGAGCGCCTGAAGGAGCTCAGTGCTAGCTTTGATTCCGAGCGGAACACACTGCAGTTAAGCTTTCAGATAGAGTACTCGAAAACTCAAAATATCCGAGTTACTGAATGAAATAAGGGAGGTAGCTTAACATCACGGCGACTCTTCCTTCTGATCAGTATCTCGGTTATTCTCGTCTGTTACTCGCTTATTTCAGTTTTTCGAATAACTTTTTCTGAATAAATGCACTGCAGATGAAGTCATGAGGTTAGACTAAGTTGTAGCTGCTCATCAGGTTAGAGATAGTGATAGATGAGTGAAAGTGAAACGTACTGCGGTTATAAAGTAGTTAAAGTACTAACATTTGATTCTACCGAGTGAAAAACACTGCAGATTCTAAGGATAGAGGTACAACTAGAGCTTGAGCTAGAGGTAGTTGTTTACCAACTACCTCGAAGGGGAATTGATATGATAACACCTCTTGTTCCACATCTCTTTAAGACATCGCCAAGCTACCTTCAAGGACACCCTTCTGAAAAAGCTCACCGACTTGGCCCTTACTCATTCGACAGACTTAGAAGGACGGTACTACTATAAATGTGATACTTGAAGATCTCGAAGATCCAGACCTTCTTTCCTTTGTCTACCAGTATGTACCCTTAGCAGATCTTATCATCACCTCTTTGATTTTTATATGTAGGTACCGGCACCACACAGACACAACAATTTACCTTACCAGAAGGTGGATGGCGAACACACATGACCTCAACATCTCAACCCCTCAACAGGTATTTGCCAGATAAGATGGATATGGTCGACTCCTCACTTGGGGCGATGGTAAATAGTCGGAATGGAGGCCAGCTACCCATAGTGCGCATCGGCAGAGGCCAATACCTCTACAATAGCAGCATTTATTTAAGGCATTCCTTTGAGTAATCTTGAGAAAAGGTGGTAAACTGCTCAGTCTTAGTTTGTTACCCTTAAGTTGATTTGATAAGTAAGATAGGAAGCAAATGACATGCCGTGTTAAAAATTCCCCTAAAAAGTAGTAGACCATTCATTTATCAGTTGTCTTACTCTTAGTTACCCTAAATATTAGTAGAGGTAGACCAATCAAACTGTTATACTTACCAGAAGTTCAAGTTACCTCCTCATGAAGATGATAGGAGTAGTGGTTCGGATTAATCAACGTTGCGGACCTGCTGGTGGAATGCGAATAGCAAATCGTGAATTTAGTTTTCATTCAATTACATCTACTTTTTTCCCTGAAAACAAACTTACACAAGAATTCAATCTGAGATGGATTCGTCTAACACGGTCAGCGTCATTTGACGAGCGCGGGGGCCGGTTAATGTTGCGACGGGTGGCGTCTCTGAATGCTGGAGCGAAAGGAGATGCGGAGCTCGTTTCAGCGGAAGAGCTACTGTTTTCTAACTAGTTGGGTGAAAAGCTGCTTGATGGTGAATAATTGATGCCTGTCTTCGATTAATTAGAGGCGTGCTGCAAATCTTGATTGGCTTCTTCCCTTTTTATAGGGTCGCGGTTTAGGTATAGGTCCAGCGGCGCTCAAAGCACTAAATAAAGCAACCGGCTCGCTTTTACCTCTAGCGTGTAGCCCTTCCAACAATTAGTTAGATGGTCCTTTGTCTAGATTGTTGCCTTTCTTCCTTGATGGTGCTTGATGATGACTTTCTTCCTTTAATTACAATTTTTAGTTTAATCAAATGGATTTCAATATTCTTTTGTGTACTTTTGTTTCCTAGATAGGCGTGCTCCACCGGTATGTGTTATGATGAGTAGCAAAAAGATATCAGAGTATATCAGTTTCAGTGGTAAGTCAACTTTGACAAAGTCATGATGTTGCTTGGTGGGCATGTTCTTTCAACTAGTATTTTCGCATGTTCTTTCAACTAGTTGTATTTTCAGCAAGAAATTATGTGCTAAGTCGTGATGTTGGTTGTAGACGTATAGACGTTCTTTGAGTTTTTCAGCAGGTAATTCTAATTGTAGTGTGCTAAGTAAGTCGTGATTTTGGTACTGGTAGACGTAGAGACGTGCTTTGAGTGTTTAATGATGTGTGAACAGTACTAGCGAAAAGTTATCAGAGTAAATCCTAAATCAGGAAGATGTGAAAGACCACGTTCTTTGAGTTTTTTGATGTGTGAGCACCGGAGAAAGTAACTAAGCACCAGAGTAGATGTAGATCAGTAGATAAAAAACTAAATTACAATATGTTACAGATGACGTTCCTTTCATCTAGTTTTTGATATGTGAGTACTAGTACGAAATTAATAGATCATGAGTAGATCACTACACTAGATTCGACTTGGTGTGACCGTAGTAGCTAGTGGTTGTCTGATGTGAGTTTCATGTTGATTTTTCTGTTTTATTTTGAGCGACGAACCTGAAGAACTGTTTGTAGGAAATACCAAGGCCATCGTCATTGATCAGGATTGAAAATTCGTCTTGACAACACCCACGTAGGAGAAGGAGTATGTTTCCTCGAATTTCACGCACAAGCAGAGGCGCTTTTGATTCTATCTGCAGTTTCGATCTTGAGATGTGAAGAATCTGACTTGTCAGGTTTCTAATAAGTACAAAATACGCGTGAAAGCGAAGATGAGAAGATCCTGAATCAGTAGTAGTAGTATTAGCAGCCTCCTTCTCTTGAAGGGTAGGTTGCAAAAAATTATTGTTCTACTTCGGAATTTCATCCACCTCCTCAAGATATAACTGCTCAGCGTTTCTGTTGGAGTGTTCTGTGAGTCGGTTTCTCTTATTGTCTAAGCGCGTTCCCCTTCCTCCTCTCCCTCTGAAATTGAAGGTGAAACCCCCCTTGATGAAAAAAAGGGTTTTCCCTGTAGAAGACGTAGAATTCAATCGCAATAATTTGAGATATTTCTATGTGTTTGAGTCTATTGCATGGAATCGTCCCACTTGTCTTGGTGATTCGATTTTCTACAGCAGACTTGTTGTTGTACGCCTAGACCTAGTTCTTTACAACAAGAAGATGCGTGTCACTTGCGGAGTTCTGGAGCATGTTGCGGAGGACCCTTCACGGGCTGCAATCGCAATGCAAAAATGTGCTGAACTCATATTAAGGGCAGTTTAATATCACTATCCCGTGGCCATGACCATGTAAACTATATCGAGCAGTGGGTTCCCCCTTGTCGATGATTTCAAGGGGAGATTGATGGGGAAAGACAAGAACTCTCTCCACCTTTAATCATAGCATCGGGAAACTTCACGTCTGCCGAAGGATCGACTACAAGCAGAACTTTCGAAGACCAAGAAGCTGGTTTTATCTTATCTGTCGGAGGAGCGGATGAAATAAATTATTGGGGAGAAGAACAGAACAGAGGCGCAGCTGCTTGGGGGCCCCTTTTGCTGATACCGAAGGGCGTCCGCGATATGTTGACAGAGTACTCAGCGTGCTTCGCTGACATCGTTGGCGACGTCGCAGTCTATTTGACAGAGCTGAGCGTGTTATCAAACGTGATCGTGTGCATTGCCGTGCCTTGGGTGTTTCTTTGGCTCTTCAGCGGCTTACTTCTCAGTGTCGGTCAGTGTATCCGGTTCCAGTACCATTTTATCGCGATTGCTGTGGATGCTGTCCTTCTCACTGTCTTTTAAGGCTTCCCCAAATTCATCTTGAGAAGCATCTCTGAAACGTTTTCCGGAGGAAGAGAGCCCAAAGTAAGATGTGCTTCGAAAAAAATGAATAAACAAGGGGACGAAGATCTTCTAAGTCTTGTTTCTTTTTCTGCAGTTTGAGAGCCTGGTAGGATATTTGGCAAACTTGCTATTTTCAAAAGCATTCATGATTATAGATCAAAAGGACCAGGAGGACGAGTCTACTGCAAGACACGGACGCGACTTCGTCATCGTCCCCGACAAAGAAACGTTGACGCAACTACACGCACTAAATAAGAAAAAAGAAGAGCAACTACAAGGGAGCTCTTCTTCTACCGCTGAAGCTGCTTCCGAAAAAGTCCACTCATCAGACGTAGAAGGTCTTGAATCAGAGACTGGTGGAGCTTATCAAGATGAAAGATCTGACTTTCCCCTATCCCGAGAAGTATCTCTTAAGGAAAACAAGTAAAACCATGAGCAAGGATATGCTGCCTCAAGGGTATCACTTTCTCAAGGTGCCACCACCGCTCTATGCACAGGGGGGAGGGCCTCCCTCCTTGGGTTCATCTTTTTAGAATCGGCAGGTTCGTAGGCAATTAGTGCGCTGTATTATAAGGAGGTAACCGGACTCCACCTGCCGTCGGTTTGCGAACCGGATAAAGCTGAGGCCGCTCATTTAGTAGCCCCGGGATACAAAAAAAAAACATATATAAGCAAGACCCTCTTAAACTTAACAAGGATCATATACACAGAAGATCCTCTTAAAGAACTTAACAAGGATGATAACACCCAGCCCGTGAGCATATGTGCTGCAAATGATCGAAATCTAATGTAGAAATAGATTCTCCGGTGGTTACCTCTCCGTCTATGTCCAAGGCGACTACAAGTCATCACCAACAAGAAAGTGCTGCTGATCATCACGAGACGATAAGTAGGACAATGCGTAAGGTTGCTCACCGAGTGAACAGGTGGTCCAAGACGCGATCGAGTATTACCAGATTTATGAATATGGAACGTCGAAAATCTGGTGTTACCATTGATTATCTTCAACTTTCTTAAGTACCATTGATTATCAACTTTCTTAGGTCGTAGTAGAAAAGTAGTAGAAAAGTGTGATAATGATAACAGCCGCTATTATTATTATTATTATTATTATTATTATTTTGGCTTCAAAGGATTCGACGAGCTAGAAGATCTCCACGTGCAAGGTGATGACGAAACGACGGGACATCAACTCTCTCTGGATGAACAAAGACAAGAAGAAAGGCAAGCATCAAATGATAGTACAGGACTGGCACCAGCGCAACCGCAAGTGCACGAGGACGGGAACGTTAAGACAACTACGAAAAGAGCATCCTCATCTTCAGCGTCATCCTTGGCGGCCATTTTTTCAGTTTTCAGTACTTGAAAAAAAGATGACTTTTTTTTCAGCTTTCAGTACTTGTAAAAAAAATACCATGCATATTACTAGCCAAGTAGGACCATGTTCTTGGCGGCAAAGATGCTATTACTTAGTCCACTTACGTAATAGATACGGCTGAAATAGATCTGCATGCCAGCACAACAAGCACAAAATGATTATGTGTAGTTGTCTACATGCTTTTCTTTTTTTACTTTTCCTAGTTAGGTAGGCTCCATCCCTATTATGTGTAGTTGTTTAATATGATCTACTACTAGCCCTCCTTGTTCTAAGCTTACGCAGCAGAACGTTGAAAAAGAGGTAATTCCAACCGAAGCAGAGATCGCTGAAATCTGCGCAACGTTGGAACCTTTTTTCGTAAGAAGGCCTGGCGGATCCTCTGCATTAAGAATTATATGAATATTTTGAATTAAAATCTCTATGACTATGTACGTACATGTACACCTTAGAAGATTTTGATGAATACTTCAATCAAGAAGATGAAGTAATTCAGTCTGAATCTGAAAGAGGTTAGGTTCTGGATGCTTCACATCGAGCTCCTCCGGCGCCTACTAAAGAAAAACCTCCCAGAAGAACTACAGCATCTTAAAAATCTTCCAGCCACATATGGTTATTGTTCTATCTTCTTGCCAGCAGTACTTAAGTATTTTTGCTATGTCATCTGCCGACCTGTGGTACTCCTATTCGCGCTAACTACCGCTTTCGCGAGGATTCCTGATTTGTTGGAGAATCTAGTGTCTGCACACATTACCCACGTTTTGGAGGATAGGCCTGTGCTGAAAGGAGTTGACACAGACACGATAACTCAAGTGATCCAGAGCAACTTCCACTCCAATACAAGTGGGAGTCGTGGTTTTGTTGTTATTAAGGCTAGAAGATTCTTTTGGTGTTCTTAAGGGCTCTAGAGCTAGCGTAGCTAGAGCCAGTTATTCGTCTTTGTTTGCTATCTAAGTGTACAGTCAAATTTGACCACTGTTTGGAGGGCTCATTGTGCAGAATCCATAACTTGACCTGAACCAAGGCCATGATTGAAGTTGATTTTTACAAAGCCTTCAACATAAGTCGAAACTAATATGAGGCGCACTGTTTATGAGTTATAGAAAGCGCTAATCTGAGTACCAGTGGACGATCGAATTCACAGGCTGCGTCTGACGACGACCTTGAAGATGAAAGCAGGACCCCTTTTCCGAATATAACCGTAACTGGGCGCTCAATATCAGCTAGTAGAGGTACTGCACCACCTGGAAATCCGAATGTTGGAACATCTACTAGGATGATGTCTCCGTTCTTACCACCAGATGTAGTCGTAGACAAGAGAGTAATGAATCTGCCGTATAATACCAATGTCAATGCAGGTAATTCTCAAGAACATGCATTATTAAGGCTCAACTTTCAGTGGTCATTGATTGAGGTTGGTCACTGAGATCGAAGAGGGGGCCCCTTGAGAGAACAGAGGAAAACGAAGGGAGAAGGGGAAAGCTTTGGAGGTGGCCCCTTCCGTTCAGCATCAGTGGCCCCTGACTGCTGGCCTTTAAATGCAACGGCTACTGGTGCAACGTTATCATCGACTAGTTGCACAACGCAGAAAGATGTAGGGGATGAATCTCCTCCAACTCCAACAAGTAGCGAACGCGAAGGGACAAATAGGAGACGTGTCCCACTGTCCTCAAGCTCACAATCACTACTACAGCACTCTTCTCAGAAGGTACAAGTAGGTCCTGTTAGAAGAAGTGGCAGTCTTCAAATACATGAACTAGGAGCAGGAGCTCATGATCATCTTATAAGAGCAAGTCGTGGCACTGGCACAACTTCAACTAGTCGTGCTGTACTAGACGAACAAGTGTCATCTAGTACTGGATCATTTTTTCTTCGTAAGAGCGCGAGTGCGAAGAAAATTGTGGCAGGTGAAGCTTTGCACCCACAATTACAGCGACTTGACACTTTGCACCGTCTTCGTCGTCCCCACATCATCAAATCGTCGTCTTCGTCCATTTCCTTTCCGATATTACGGCTAGCACAGCATATCCATCTTGTTCTCCACCCTCTTGGTCCCGTTTCTAGAGGGAAAACGGGCACCAAGATAAGTCTGGCGATGGATCTTCTTTAGCTCGAAGAACGATAGTCAATGCCCCAGACGAGCCAAGTGAGGACGTTTTAAGCTCCAGTTCTGCTTCGAAAGGGGTGTCCTCGCGCGGCGGCCTGCAATTACATTCAAGTCATCGAGAAAACCATCAAAATGAAAGGTTTGACATGCTCGCTTGGCTTTGGTCAAGACAAAAAGCGCTTGGGGTCACGGCTCTATGTCTGTCCGGAGGCGGATCCCTGGGGATGATCCACATAGGGCTCATACGATTCCTCCTTCAGTGCGAAAGGGATCAAAAGCACGTCTTTGAATTGGAGCAGGAATTAAGTTAAGGTTAAAAAGTAGGTGAAGAATCGTCGTCAGGACTTGTTCTTGTTCGTGGTAGATTTTTCTGAGATGTTGAACATTATTCATTATGTTGAACAAGCACATCTTCAAAGTCAGTGTTATTTTCAGGATTCTGCTACTGAAGTACTGCTACTGAGACTGACTGGTACCAGAACTAGGACAGGCTCATGATTTACTAATGAATGATGGCGGGAGAGGCCGAGGCGCCTCAAGATCGCACCTCATTGGAAGAGGAAGGCGATGGCGAGAGGATCATGAATAGCGAATCTCAATTAAGGACGTCAAAAATGTACTTATGAAATCCAATCTACGTCGATAGGAAGCTCGACGCTGTAACCTAAATAGATTTTGATTAATAAGTTATCTTGCTTCTCAATCCCTAAGCACGAGTCATCGTTCTTGTCCTTGGCACAACACGACTTCTTGTATCAAAGGCTAGCTGACCATTCCTATCTCTAAGATAAGCGCAAGAACCGCATCAGCCGCATGATCCTGTACATCATGCCCCTTCGACGAAGGAAGAAAGCCGAAGACGCTCAAAGGAGGCAATCCAGAAAGAGCTGAGGCAAGCGAAAGCAAAAGTTCGGGATGTGAAAGGAATTTTCCTGCCGAATGTTATATCCGGTGTCTCAATATGGCAATATCATGGATGGAATTCGAATTGACCTCCTACTAGACTTAATTCTCTACTCCCGAATGTCATCCTGGTGTTTCAATATGGATGGAATCGACTCACTACTTAGAATTTTCTACTCCCGAATGTCATATCTGGTGTTTCAATATGGTGCTTACATCAAAGTAGAATAGAAAGAGAGGACTTCTTAGTTACGCCCGTCCACATCCTCCAAATTGAGGCGGAAGTATCGTAGCCGGATTTCTTGCGTACTATACTGACGAAGAACTGCTAGACGAAATTTTCACGGAGACACTCTCCGTTCGCAACTACCCGCATCGATTCTTTCCGAAACTGTACCAGGAAGTTGTGAACTTCTTCACGATTGGAGCCCTCGCAGATGCAGCTGACTTCCTTTCCACTTGCACCGCGTATTTCGGAGATGCCACTTTTGCGGAGGCCTACTTAAGGCCTCACTCGTACTCCTTCTTGTAGCACATGCTTGCATGTGATCCCGTAAAAATCTTGATGTCACTTGTCACATAATCCATCTTGTTTTACTTTTAGCCCATTTGTAAGGAGGTGTAGAAGTTTTCAAGAAGAAAAAGAACGAAAGCAGACCACGAGTTGTGAATTGATGGACTTCTGTAGTGAGTTCTAACCTACGCACGAACGGGAAGGAACGTGTCGATCTGGATCTCTTCCAATTTCTCGAAAGAACTCCCCAGATGCGTGATGCTGAATCACATCACCATTAAGGCTCCTGTACATATTATAAATACACATACGCCAATAAGGAAATGCTGAGGATAACCATATCCAAGACTTACCTTGATCCTAGGCCGAAGAGGGTTACCATCGCCATCAAGGTTTAGGATCGAATTTTTCTAGTACCACTAAGGGTCGTTAGGTGGGTCATTCCTTTTCACCAAGGGTCAGGATGTGTCTAATACCACTCCACGTGTTGTGTTACCATTGCCTCTTCGAATTTTTGTGTCTAATACCACTCCACGGGTTAATAACATTGCCTCTTCGAATTGTTGTGTCTAATACCACCCCACGGGTTACGATTGCCTCAGCAATCGCGACGAGCTGCGCTGCGCCAGGAATCATGCATCCGCGAGGCTTGGTCGAGAAGAAGCAGCGTTCAAGCGGGCCTCCGATTTTGAGTCCGTTTCACGCTTTGGGGCAGAGGTTTTGGGACGGAAGTATAATTATGCTGGGTGTAGGGGAGCGTTCATCTTGAATAAAGAAGTTGTCATCTAGAAGAACAAGACTACAAGAAGAACAAGACTACAAAAAGAATATTACTACCATGAGAAGTACAAGGTACTTCTCGCCAGATGATATTTTTACCTTATTTAAGATGAATTTCAATTTCCTACGCCTGTGTCTAAGATAACAGCAGAAGTCCCGAAGGAGTATCTGCGAAGCAGTTTTGGTTGCACACAGTTTATAGTCTCGCAAGTGAACCCGCACATCACACCTGTTCTGCAGTTACAGAAACAATGTGAAGATTACGATCTTCTCAATAACAGCAACATAGCGCCCTCTTCGTCTTCATCAGGGACGAACAGCGACAGAAGACGGAGCACCTTGGTCTCGTCTTTAGCATCCAATAACATTAGCAATACTTCTTCTAGACAAGAAGAGCCTGCTGGAGAAGAACATCGACATGAAGATCTACTTAGGGGGGAATCAGAACTACGAAGGAGACGTGGCCCTTCATCATCACGTTTAGCTGCTTCAGCTGCATCACGACCACGACCGACAACTACATTTAAAGCAGGAGAAGCCTTTTTACGTGAGAAAAAGCTGGAGGAAACCAAAGACGCGGACAATCTATCGCCAAAGCAACAGGAGTACAAGAACACAGTTCTTGGCGGAGATCATACTAGTGGTAGTTCTAACAACACATCAACAATTGGAGATCGTACCAGGAGTAGTATAAGTACTACCTCTAGTAAGAACAAGACTAAAGAAAAAGCCAGCACAGTAGATTCAAATACAACTGGAGAACTACAAAAGCGAAGAGGCGTTTGTGGCTTCTGCTGGAATCACTGCAGGCGACGTATGTATTCCCACTACCTGCGGACACAGCGGATTCAAGTGGCGGTCTTCTCAGATTTACAAGAAAGAACAGGCGTGCTCGCAGAAAACAACCTCGTTCCAAGCTTTACGGATCTATTCAAAGGTTTAAAAAAGCGATCTGATAAACGAAGATACAACAGATTAAATCTAGAAAGTGTCATAAGCAGATGAATTGCAATGGCAATCGCTCAAGTAGATGAAGAACGAACAACTGCTCAGTCTGTTGCCGTCGTCGCTAGAAACTTCATCTCACAGAAGATGAATTCCAATTCCCTTCACTTCCGTTTAACACCGTTGTTCATGATTCCTGTGTGCTCATATGGATGATAGATTTGGAGCAAGCATTCGTACCTCATCGCTCGCAGGTCGTGGAGCTGCGCGTTGGTTTCCTATAATTAGTCTCAACAGTCTCAGTCTAGTCTCTATAATTTCTCATTTTTACCACTACCGTCGGTCGCAGGATAAACTTGATGGTTCTAACTCCTTTTTCGGTCGCCATGTTCGGGGTATGGTTGCTGCCGGGAGACAGCGATGGAGCGAGACAGGGGAAGGGATAACAATCTTTCCGCTACCTGAGGACGCCATAGGATTCGCTGCTTCCGTGAAAGAGGCAGTCACGAACCCTGACATCGAAGATCTATGATGGCACTGATTGAGAACGAAGAGCAAGGGCCGCAGGGAGTCATTGTCAATGTCTTCCACGGTGGGGAAGTACGGAATGTCTACTTCCCCATGGAGTTGAAGTGGGGAGCGCGGAAACGGAATGTCTTCCACGGTGGGGAAGTACGGAATGTCTTCCCCAAGAAGGGGGAAGCAGAATAAATAAGATCAGGGGAGGACTATGTATTTAATGATCTACTTCCCTTGTGGTCTCTATAATTGGCTCAATCAGTGGCATCATTCAGAAGATATGGAGAGGTACTACAGAATCGGAGACCGCATGGCCAGGCATCGAACTACAGATCTCAAGAGACTGCTGGAAGCGGAATACAGTTTGGCACGGGCAATGAGCAGATTGAGCTCATTGTAGAAGTTCTCTCGATGTTGAGCAGATTGAGCTCATTGTAGAAAATTCGATGGCGCGGGCAATGAAGAGCAGGGTGCGGTCATTGTAGAAAATTTGATGGCACGGGCAATGAAGAGCAGGGAGGTGCGGTCATTGTAGAAAATTCGATGGCACGGGCAATGAAGAGCAGGGTGCTGTCATTGTAGAAAATTTGATGGGACGGGCAATGGTGAGCATTGACGTTGATGAGCTCGCTGTAGAAGTTGAGGAAGTACTAGGATATGAGGATGATTTAGGGCCATCGGTAGTGTCAGGATTATAGACATCAGGTGAACCAGATGAACCAAGTTCATTCAGCACAAATTTTTCCAGTTTTTTTACTATCTACGTACAAACCTGGGTCTAATATTTTCTGTAGCCACCTTGTTCTTGTATATTACTTGTACTTGATGATGCTGGTACTTCTCTTGTTTTTTTGATCAACACTTTGGTTTCTTTCCTAGGTAACTAGGTCCGGCGACAATCTGCAAAGCCCAAATACTTCAAGAACAGGGCAAGTGTTTGATGTGCATTCTTCAAGAATCGTGCTTGGTGGTGGTGGCCTACCATGTCACGAAGATGTTCCTGAGATTGATGAAGAAACTCAATCAAGGACGAGGTATCCGCAGGACATGTTCTGCTTGTTGTAGCGTCATCGTGGCATCTATTCTCGGCTGTTTGCCGAGACGAAATCGGAATTCCACTGGGGGAATGCCGTGATAACATTTCTGATTAAGTTTTGAAACACATCAGGAAAAAGAAGGACGAGGAAAGCGACAATTAGTTGTACTACCACGGACGAGAAGATCTTCTTCTTCTGGTCCGAAAATACTGGAAGATCTTCTGTTCCGCGGTACGAAAATATTGGAGGAGAGCAACCGATAGCGCTGCCACAGCTACGGTGGAGAACATAGGCTTTCCCTCTCCTCATAAAAAAAGAACATCTTGTCATCCAACTCAGGTTTCAACCACGATATTAAACAAGATCATGTTCCTCTTGTCTTGTCTTCTTTCTCAGTAGGCTCATCCGCAGAGAAAAATATTCAAGGCGATCATGTTGCTGTCACCAGGACGGGAGGACATGCGTCGGACGAGCAGACGGGAGGATATGCGACGCAACTCAGTCTTAATGCCCCTGTCGAGTTCACACGCTAAAGTGGCTGAGATCTCGAATCGACTCTGCAAAACGCTGACAACATTGTTTCGCAGTGGCAAGCACACCCAGTCCCGCGTGAGCCGTGCTATACGCCGCCGCCGAGAGCAGGACCCCGATGAGGCTGAGGGAGGTACTTCTACTTGCGGAATTATACAATGTATCGACATGATCGTGCTCCTGGTTGGTACTGCGAGTACTAGATGAAAGACGACAGGGCGAAATAAGTAGAAAAATCCGGTAGTAGACGAGACTGTAATTTACTGAAGCCACATCGAGATCTATGACTAGGTTGATCATCATGCCAAATCTTCATTTTCATAAAACAGAGAACTCTACAAGTAGCGATTCAAGCAGTACGTCGTCAAGTTCTCTTAACTCTGACGTGGATGATGGATCCAGTGAGGAGGACGAACTCTTCACCTCTGGTGGAGGTCCGGAGGATAATTACGGATTACCCAACACCAACATCTCCAATCATTGTTGTAATGGGGGTAGCAATAAGCTCCCGGTGGGTCATCGCCTCTGTATTGGATAAGAAATCGTCAGAGAAATCTTAGGCATTTTGCCGAGTTGATTCAAATGATCACGATGGTAACAACTGCGTCAGACACACATAAGTTTTTTTATCTTACTCATCTACACGACTACATCCTTTAATCTGAACGTCGCATGAAGCAGAAGACTCGCGACGTGATAGAGCATTTAGTAGAGAATTTGCATATCGGGAGTCGGCGTGTTTTGATGCAACAGCTCCATGAATGGCACCAGCAGAAGCAGCAAGACTGGAACCAGCTTTATTCATCTGAATTTATGGAAATGGAGACTGTCAAATCAGCTTTTATAGCATGCCGTTTTTGAGGATCCTCATCATGATTGGAGATTCTACATCTACTTCTCAAAAAAGTGCGCAAATGTTTTCTAGCAGCTTAGAAGAAAGACCACCTATAACCAGCTTTCGCTTTCCCTTTCTGCAACAACTTGTACTTGTTTTACAGTTTGAAGGACATCAAGATTACCTGATCATAAGACTGCGTGCTCTCGTCCTCTGACTCCAACAACACCCTTGTTTCAGCTTCATAGAGATACCCAAGACCAAAAACCCTAGTCCTCGCGTTGAGAGGGAAGGCGTGGTTGCACCTCTTCGTGTGGAGCAGGAAGGTGTGGAAACTACCGAGACGGTGGAGCAGATAAAAAGAAGTCTGGACAATGCTGTCGAACAGCGAGAAATGACATCGTTCTCCGCTTTGAGTCGTTTTCTTATCTTACTTTATGGGTTTTGTACTTGTAGTTGGACTTTTGTCTGGACCCTATCAGAACTAATATCTACGGGCACTACTAACAGTGTCCTCAGGGATCTACACATACATACTTGTAGTTGTAGCGAGTAGGTGCGACGTGTACAGGTTTTCATTTCTTTCTAAAAATCTTTTTGATCTTCTTATCTTCGGTGGAACAAGTTGTGTACGTAGCTCTTGCTAATTTTTGAAGAAAGAGTCCGCGGCCGCACGTGTGCGAGTCGAGAGGCTGCGACGGGAACGAGAGCGCGAGGAACGAGAACGAAGGGAACAGGAGAATGAGGAGAAAGAAAGGTTGGAGCGCGAGCAAAAAAGGCAACAACAATTAGAAGCCCAAAAAGCAGCCGAGCAGGAACTTAAGCAGGCCCGCAAGAAGAATGCAGCTCGCGCACTCCGTTCGGCGCTCTTAATCGGCCAAGCTGGAGGAGGACCCGAGAACTCTGACGATAAACGAGGCTGTCAAGCTGCCGGTCTTGACCTTACAGGTGGTGGCACAGGTAAACAGCACGACGGCGGCAACAAAAACAATGTCGGAGGGAGTGGCGGGACAGGAGGCCCAGTGACCACAGGTGCTGGATCCTCGGCAGGTGGAGCCGACTCTTCATTGGAACATGTGAGTTTGGTATGGCCTTGATGATCTTCTGCCTCCAGGGCCGCCAACTACAAGTACTTACTTCTTGTACTGGTGATTCTTGATTGGCCAACTACAAGTACTTGTACCTACTGGTGATTCTTATTAGCGTAGTTGCCTTTCATCTAATATTAGAGGGAGTTGAAGTAAGCACTGCCGACGCACTTGGACTTCTCTCGACGCAGCAGGCAGAAGTGTTGCAGCTTGGGACTCGCCTGGAGCTCGCTACCCAACAAGCGTTAAGAAGCAGGTACTTAATTCCTACTACTTGTATCTCTATCTATCGGGACGTGTCTATTAACACAACTCTACTAAGTAACTATTTCTACAATTAAATTCGAAATCGTAACACTAACGACTGAAGATCTGGACGAGAAATTTCAAAAAATGCATCATCTAAAAGATTCAGCGCTAGGAAAAACATTGGAGGTGTTGCAGCAACTCGAAGAACGACAACGACTTGCGGACGTAATTTTCTCATTGCAATTCGAGAAAAGCCGACCACAACTCGAAGAGGAGTTGCGGTCACACTTGTCTTTATGCGTTGACTTGTCTTTTTTCGTGTATATGCCTGTGCGACTTTATTATCTTTAGCCTAATGAGACCACTTCCCTTTTTCTATCTTTCCTAGGTAGGTTGGCTCCACCACATTTACCCTGAATGAGAATGTGCTTCAGGCTATTTTGATCATGTTGTCGGACTCGAATACAACGATGTAGTTCGTTTTCCGCTAACTTCAAACGTGGAAAAGGATGGAGGCTTGTCTGGTGTGGACCAGGAGACGCTGACAGGGCTCTTGGATGTTTTACTTGATGTATGTGCTTCTCAGGTACGAGATGATGCTGAGCAAGACGCCGGTCGGGCGCCTCCAACTAAGGATGCCCAGAGCGTCGAGGAAGGGGCAAAAGCTACATCAGAGGGGACAAAATCTACAGCGGCTCCGGGAACCTTTTTTTAAGACTTCTGCTAGTTCTAGACCAACAAGCGCTTGTGTACTAGTGTACTGCTTACTGTTATTAGAAATAAGTAGTAAGTATACTATAGAGATCTAGCCCTTCCAACAATTTATACTATAGAATATCGTCAAGGGTACCTACTTCTACTAGAGATAACTTGGTGATGACAACAAGAGTAGGTCTAGGTGTAGGTTATAAAGGTTTAGAAGTAGAAGTTCATCTTCATCGACCACAATCCACACTTTCAAATGTGAAGGAAATTTCGATCTCCAAATTCATCGTGGTCTACAGGTCTACAACGAACTAGCTAGTTCATCATCATCGACGACAATTCATCCCTCCACACTAATTCCTATCCCATACCGAACGTGTTACGCAATTGGAGAATGAGGTTTCAGGCCTCATGGGCCAATTGCAGGGTCTGGAGGGAGCCATTGAGAAGCGAAAGATCCCTGAATCTATCGCGTATCTGCAAGACGACATTCTCTTATGGAATAAATGGAGAGTGTTAGAGGACGAAGAGTGTTAGAAGACTTCCTACTCGTTTCACATGTAGATGATGTACTTAATGCGCTTTGATGATATTTGTTGCTTGGAAGACGAGTTACTCTTACTAGATGTCGATTTGTTTCACCCAAATGTGAATGCTCATCCAGTTGTACTAGAGTTGTAGGCCCCTGAGCCTCTAGTACTGCTGAGCTTCTAAACCCTCTGCTCCAGCGAAGTGAGTGGGACCCATTGGCTCAGAAGAAGAAAAAAGAGCAGGAAGAGGAAGATGAGAAGCAACGTGCAGAGCGAGAGCGGGAGTTGTTGATAAGGCAGAGTTATCTTGTTGACGTGCACGATTGTCAACATCATGGAACAAATTTTCCAACTTCTTGTTTCCTCTAACGCCTGAACGTACGAACATGCTTTTGCAGAGAAGTGAGGAGGCAATTAGGCTGGTGGAACAACGAAAAAACGACTTCCTAGAAAAAGTCGCAGATGCACGCAGAGACCAAGGAGCGGCTTTTGGTCTCCTGACGAAGGCGCTTAATACGGGCTTATGGAACAAGAAAATAGGAGTAGAAGTAGCTGAGTCTCAAACTCAAAAATCTGAAGCATGATCATGCTTTATTTTCATTTGATTTCGAAGAAGAGCCAGCTAGAGATCCGAGCACCTCCATCTGTAGTTGAGTTGTGAGTAGTAGGCTCATCTCTCGTAGTTGTAGATGTACTGATCTGGGCAATTCACCAGCATGACCAAGAAGTTGTAGTTCTACTTCTAGTGTCGAAGCTGTCATACACAGGCGCTGACGTTGGCGGCAGAGGGCAACAATCCACCTCAGAGGAGATGCGAAACCGTCAACTGGAAATGATGCAACAGCTAGAGGAGGAGGAAAAGCAGCTAATCGCCGAGTTCGCTGAAGCCGAACGGCAGACGTTAGAAAAAAGAGAAGCTTGTGGAAGGGTTTATGATCATGATCATGTTCTAGTGTGTGTATTGAAGCCGAACAGCAGACGTTAGAAAAAAGAGCAGCTTGTGGAAGCGTTTATGATCATGATCATGTTCTAGTGTGTATATTTACTTAGGTATTTTTCCAAAATTGTAATTGTGTTTGCAAAAAGTACGTTCTGCGCGTTGTAGTTGTTCGTTGGGGGCCGAGTAATACGACTGATCTGCATGGTGCCGTTATAAAGTCCTCATGTAAGTATCTATATTAGTTATTCATCCACCTCCTAGGTGGATCCCATGATATATTTATCACGACACCTTCATTCCCTGATGGAAAGCAAGACTCTCGTTTCCGAGGAACTTGAACGAAAGCAGGCTGCACACCCACTAGTCTTCTCGTCGCACAGCAGCTTTTCCTCAGTCGAAGCGGAAGAGGGACATTTGGTGGAATTACAGTTAAGGCACACTCACCAACCCATAGGATAGTGAAACGTTGAAAGACAATAACCGACCCATCTCCCCCTCCTCCCCTGTGCAATACTGTTTTACTTACCCCTAGAATGGGTAAACTACTACTACTACAGGGGTCGGTTAGTTCACTAAACGACCTACAATCTAGTCCTCTCATCATTACAGGTAAGGCTTCTAGAAGTACTCCGTGGAGAATATTATTTATGGATCTCTGAGGCACAAACAGAACACCAAGGGACAACAAGAGCATTTGTTTTGCTGCAAAAACAACTTGATTTCCTGTAGTTAAGCCAGTACCACCACGAGACGAGACTCCCCGACCTTCGAGAATCTTCTAAGACGAGCTGAACAGGAGGACCTACTCGTCACGATTCAAGTCATGTTATGCGCAGGGTGTAGCAGTCGGCTTTTCAACTCCACCCATAGGTAGCATACATTAACTTTCTTTCGCTTTCATTCAACTAACTATGTATTTGAAATCGTTGCCTTCTTTAATAACAAGAAAATGAAAGGAATGTACACATGACGCGACAAAAACTGACGACCACCCAAGCCCAACTACAAGAATATCGATTGCCTCTAATGCTCCATCGTAAGTTAGAGGCGGAGACAGAGCGCATTCAAATGCACTTCGGGGGACCGACTTTAGAGGCTCTAGCCAAGCTTCTAGCACAAAAAAACGAAGAAACCTCTGGCGCAGGACCGATACCTTCTGGCACTGTTGCTGGTCCTGGACGTGCAGTTGCACCAGGTGCGCCTGTTGATGCTCCTGGGCCTCCCCATGAGAGTCCTGGACCTTTCCTTGCTCCTGGCTCTTCTGGCGAAGATTCGTCAACAGATCCACGGTTTTTGCAAGTGCTCGATATCCAAAGTCAAAACGTGAGTATTCAAGCCCAACTCGAAGACCTTGAAAAAAGGCTGAAACAGCTTAAAGCAGGAGACGGCGACGAAGCTGGTTTGGGGAATGATGTTATGAATGTCCGATAGAATGAGGTAAAAAAGGTAGTTTAAGTTCTCTCTCCACTACCTACAACCAGCGCATCCACATGTACGATGTAAGGAATCGTGCATGCAGCTGCTCAGGCATACAGCTCTACCACTAGTTGTATGAGTTTCTAAACACACAGGCGACAAAACTTCCAGCAAATCTCCGAAAAATAAGGCTGGTTCGGGAAAAGGCCAAAAGTCCAAGAAAAGCAAAGCGGCAGCAGGCGAAAGAGAAGGGGAGGCTTCTCCTGCAGCAGTTATGTTCAGAATCCTCTTCTTGATACTGCTACAACAAAAATTGAAGAATTATACTTAGGTTTTAGGCTTAGGAGAGAGATTGAGATGAAATGATATCAATATCATTGAATTAGCTTGCTCTAATAGATCTGCTTCGCAGCAGTTGCAGGACGACGATCCAGGAGTTCCCGCTGCAGCAGCATCTGCCAGATCTGCGTCCGACCAATTGCAGGACGACGATCCAGGAGTTCCCGCTGCAGCAGCATCTTCTTCTGGCTCAACTTCTGCAGAAGCTGTTTTGGGTCCGCTGCTTGGGTCAAGTGTTGTTATTCCTGCTGATGTGGCAAGTCTGAGAAAGGAGGCGAAGAAACGACAGAGAGAATTGAACGACTTGCGTGATCGATGGTGGAACCGCAAAGACGATATGTTGTGTTCGGATTTAGAACAAAACGATACTAGTATCGTTCCACCTCCTCAAGCCGAGCCGGAAGCTGGTGTAGCAAACATGAGTAAAATTATAAGGCTCAGCTTTCATTGGTCACTGAGGTTGGTCACTGAGATCGAAGGGGCCCCCTTCAGAGAACAGGGGAAAACAAAGGGAGAACAAGTAGAGGGGCATGTGGCTCTTTTCTTTCCGCATCAGTGACCAATGAATGTCGACGTTTAAGTAAAGATGAGCAAGAAACAAGGATTGGTCTTCCTCCTAGTCCAGCTCCAGAAGAGGATAAGTTTCATGGCCGTGATGGGAGTGATGTACAAGAACTTGTTAGTGACAACACCAAAACCAACGAGTTCCAGGAAGCAACAACCTGGAGAGCACAGGAAGAGGAGGAAACAAACGAACTGGGAGCAATTGCCCAGGATCGTATAACAAGCGACGATGTGAATAACCACAACATTGATCAATTTCAAGATAAAAACCCGAACCAGCCGCGTGCACGTAGTAGAAGAACAGTTGCTCCAACAAGACCTCAAATCGATTTCGCTCATAAAGGGTGGATGCGATTGAGGGAAGTGAATTCCCCTGAAGGGTTGGAAATGAGCCAGATAGACAGTGCAGTCGGAGGTCTGGTGGTCTTATGGCCCTGTACAGCTCATCTTGGATTCTCGAAGCTCAGGAACAGGATGAATGTTGATTTGTAGTTAAATCAACAATGGAGGTAGCCGTAGCAAGAGAGCTGTAGAATTCAGTCCCTCTAATTTTTGTCGACGCACCCGATGCAGACAAGAAAGACGATGTCGCTGGTCCATCAGACGAACAAGCAGGTTTAGGAGAACAAGTTTTGAATCCCGGTCCAGAAAACGTTAACGTAGTTCCAATTGTTCCTGAGCACGAACAGGACCAGGATGATGACGAAATCGAAAGAGAACAACGACTGGAATAGAGTTCTTCATATTCAACAGTCAAGTGCCAAAATCGTACACTTGTGTTGCCCTATTTTTTCGAGAGAAGTTTCATGATATTTATCACCAAGCAGTAGGAGTAAGCAGCTTTCATGATTGTACGAGTGAACGACCGAGTGAACAAGATGAGGTAGTACCTCGTAATAGTATCCCGTGTGAGTCATATTGAGGAGTATCCAACCATGTAGTTCTTGATCTTGATGACGTCACATTTTTGCCGAAGAAATGCTCTTTTTCATCTCTGCTTCTCGTTCCCCTGAAGAAGTAATATCTGTCGCACCTGTTGATACCACAGGATTACACCAGCACCAGCTTGTTCGCAACAAGGTCGGGAATGAAAATTTTGAAAGTGTAAGTGAGGTGGTCTGAAAGTAAACAATACACACCTTCGGACACGGACAGCAGTTCCTCACTCGGTGGCTTGTTTTTCGGTCTACGCTGAAGGTTTCCCTCTGTGAAGTTTTCAAATCCATAGCAATCTGTACGTGTCGAAATGTAAGTTCTTGTGCATGACGAGCAATTCGCGATCATCGTGCTTAGGTGTCGGTTCAGGTCGTGAACAAGGGTAGCAAGGACTAGTGGAGTCGGTCTTTTCGTTGGTGTAAATAGAAGGCGTGAAAAAGAACAATTGACTTCGGTTGTGTGGTTCTGGGGACTTGCGGCTTGAGCAAAGAGGGTCGTACATCCCCGTCGTTTTCACCACCCTCTCGTCCTTAATTTTCAGCCCCTGCCTCTAGTGCTAGTTACCATCCAACGATGGGCACCGGTGAGCCGACCTTAACAGGTAAAAAACAAAGTTAATTTATCTCACACTATCTCAATCTCTATCATAATCATTTTTCATCGACAAGAATCAATATTTATATTTACTAGAAGTAAGTGTAAGTAGAAATCATCACGACAAATAGGGAAGCGAAAGAAGTAGAACTAGAAGTAGAGACAACGATGAACAAGAATGTCAACGTCAAGGTTAACCTCACCTAGGTCGAGGACGGCGTAGTGGAGTGCTCGTCTTCGACGGACCCTCGAAGCAGGGGCTAAGGCAGTAGGGATTGGCGTACGCCGTCACCGCCGCTGACGTTTGCGGGGCCTGACTGGGATCAGCAGCCTCTTGGTTTCTGTTGAACAAGAGCGACCTTCAAATCCATCATTGCTGTTTCCTTCTTGAAGAAGGAAAGCACAACATACCATGTCGTATCTTCAGGACGTGAACGCAATGCTCCGCTATCAGGGCTTGATAGACAAGGAGAAAAAGCGAAATTTGATACACCCAGCAACGAGATTGATGCGGAAACGGTTTTCGGGAGAACCAAAGCCAGCCGATATAGGGAGTACTATTTTTCTTGCTTCTGCTCTTATTTCATGTATATCCGACTAGATTTCCTGTTTCAAGGCGTAGACGACGTGATCATATCAGCCGTGTTACAGGAATTATTTCACGATCCGCCATTTTGACCTCTTTCGCGACCTGCAGGTGTAATATCCGTGGGTATGAATGTGGACCCAAAGAAGATAAAATTTCAAGAGAAGCTGAATGAATCTCTTGGGAGAATAGTAGAGCCGAAGAGGTTCTACCATGTGCCGAAACTAGTCAAGGATCCAGATACCGGGAAAGTGAAACCACAACGAGAACTCAGTATTGCAGCTTTACTGAAAATTGTTCTGATTTTGTCCGGAGTGATTTATGCATGAATCTTTCTATCTCTGGCTCTGATCTGGTACTGGTCTATAATCTTTACACTTGTTTACTATTCATTGCTAACTGAAAGAAAAGCAAATGCAAAAGCTAAAAACAGAAAATTTTTTTCAACAGCGTACAGCAACAGGTACAAGCAAACCGTCACTCTATTGCTTATCCCACCGACAACAACAACTTCTAACAGCGAAAATGTCAACGTATAACCATTATTTGGAGCAGAAGAAGGGGCTAGTGAAAAACCCACACGGAAGCGGTGGCGGGATGTGCAGCGGGGTAAACTCAATACCGCCAGAACTAGAGGAATTGCTATACACGGGAACTGCAGACGAGTACGAAGGTATGTCAGTTACCACTACAACAACCACATTTCATTTTTAAGGCACCATAGTAACAGTAAGTAATACTAGTCATTGTCATAGTCTTGTAGAAGTGTATCTGGTTCTGGTGTCTGATGTAGTTCTAGCTGGTGAGCAAGAAGTAGATCCTATTCAGATATGCAGTCGTAATGACACCAAGAAGAAACTGCTTGTTGTGCTTCACTTCACAACATACATTCTGGCTGGTGAGCAAGAAGTAGTACAGGTCGTTATGCATACCTGAAAGCCAAGCGGATATTGATGAAGCCGTCAGACCGAGTGAGGTTACCGGATACGGCAGCAAAGGCAAGCAGTTGGGATTTAGAGGATTATTCGAAGACTAGAGAATGGGCACCAGCACCTATAACCGGGAATAGAGGTATTCAAACCTATTTTGGATCTTAACCAGATGCAGTAGATGAACATGCTCATTCTATTCGAGGATGGTAAAAGGGCGAAAATCTTCGATCTACGTCTTCAGGCGTGATCATGCTTCGTGTATTTCCATTCCCCCAAATCGTCCAAATTTTGACTATCTAATTTCCAGGTGTAATGCTTCGTGCGTTTGCCGAGGATGCACCGACATTAGCCAAGAGTACGGAGATTGTGAACAACATCATCACGATGCAGACCATTCTGGGTCCAGAGCGAGGTCGCGACCACGCTACATTGCTGAAGAACTCCAGTTTTGCCGCTACTGCGTGAGGCGGCTGACGACAGGAATCACAAGTGGAAAGTATCGAAGATCATGCTCATAAGGGGAATGCATCACCGATCATAATGATCTTCATCATCATGGGTAGACGAAGTGATGGAGGTGCTGAAATTAAATACAACTGTTGTAGCGGACGTAACTATGATACGCTTCTACGAGAACTACTCCAAGAACTAGATTTCATTCGTGAAAAAATATCATGATGGCGTGCAACAACAACAAGTAACTATAAAGCATAAAATGAACTTCTGGCGCGATTTTCATTTTTCAAAATAATTCTAGAAAATACTAGTGTTGACCACAAAGTAGAAACAATATAACATTCAAATGAACTAGCTACCTATCTATTACCTCCTATCTCGAAATTTTATTGGATCTTATCGCGGGTCAATGTCTGAGGATAATGCATGATGAGGTCGTTGTCGAGTCATGGCAACGAACTTCAGCAGTGATTATACATGAAATGTCATGAAGGCGAGAGTATCATCATCAAGCTAGAATTGCTCGTGGACGCAGAGTACTTTTCGAGGTAGCCTCGAGGTGGTCGTGGCTTGCATATAATCGGGCTCGGGCTGTCATGTGCATAATCGCCACTGGCCGACGAGGAGAAGAAAACTCGTCATGTTGTAACACAATTCTCAAACTCCTTAATTTTCAAGATGAAATCTCAGTGCGTTGAATATTGAATGTTGAACTTTTCATGTATCTATGTGGCTTGACCAACATTCTTGAAATACAGCTACAGCAGCGCATCAAGTAATTATGAGATGAAACCGCTGCAAGTGCAAAATGAAAGTTTCATCTTTGCGAAACCAACTAGGATGCGCATCAGATTACTTAAAAAATAATCCAATTCGAATTGGTGTGTTATTTCTACAACCCTGCGAAGATGGATCCCGAGATGCCGACCGAGCAGAGTGAATAGCTGGAGTCGTCGATCTAACTGAGATCGCGCTGACACGCCAGACGCGCCTTTCTATCTGAGAGATGAATGAGAAAAGAAAATTTACGGAAGTTGTTAATAAAGTAGGGAAGGACGAGATCGAGAGTGGAGGATAAATTAGGACGAGAACAAGGACGCCTATAATTGATTCGCCAAATTCACTACTGATGCTGATGCTTACTCTACTTACAGATACATCACTACATACTGAAGATTATTCTAGGAGTATAATTACGCCTCTCCCTCAGCCTCCCCCACGCCGAGATTGAGAACGTGTGGCTGTTTCTTAGCAGACTTGCTTTTGTTCATCACTGTGTTGAAGGTGACACCACACGAATTGTAATTTTGGAGGTAGACATCACCAGAGGTTTCTTCTTCAAGGGATACTCATACTTACGACCTGTGTTATTTCGTCTCTTTATCAACTAGAACAAAATGAGTTACAATTTCGCTTCTAGTGGCTACTACAGCTGCTTCGGCAATGTCCCGGAGGCGGATGGTGCTCGGCTGCGTAGAGACACAGCCACCTATATGAAGAAATTCGACAAGCAGGCCTGGTCGAATGCACCAATATGCACGGTCCTGAACGGGCGCGATCTCACAGAAGGAAGCATGGTTGATACGGTATAAAAAGGAGTAGGTAGTAGACTTCTTTCAACATCACAATAATATGATCATTCATGTTTGACTTTGACTACAAAGGGGTCGGGGCACAGCCACAGACATCAAGCTAAGTAGACTTGCAACGTGGTAGGAGTAGGACGACATAGTCCTGGCGCAAGATCATGATCTATTATAGATTTTCGAAAATTTGTTCACTTCAAGGTTGATGCTTTCGAGCGTGTGAACGGAAAGCAGATTTTAGCTCAGCCGTACGAGGTGGACCAAGTGATTGGTCACATTCTCAACTACCGACCGCCAGTGACGGACCTACGAGCACCAATTCGCGCGATCGACGCGTTGTTTTGCGACGAGCTAGCGCCAGAAATTATCGGAAATCAGTCGATCGACTTCTCGAAACAAGATGGTTCTTTCGAATTTACCTACCTAAAGATAGAAATAATAGATCGTCATCTTTCTTCTAGGACCAATCAATAAATCTTGCGGAACCTTCGCCAGGTATAACCGAGATCGAGGAGTCTATCCAAGCAAACCTGGTGGAGCAGCGAATCAATGATCACTTGTATGCTGCGGAGACTAGTGAGGTGGAGATCCGTCGCAATCCGGTTTTTATCGGTTGCGTTTCGAACTTTTCCAATTTCTTGGATCTTTTCTTATGGCCACGTACTGGTCTTAGAAATACTGGTCTTAGAAAGTCCTAGGTTCATCAATATTCATTGTAAATGTAATGCGTAGAAGTACTCGTCATGGTAATTTACATATTAGTACCATTTTCGTCCTCGCAGTCATCTCTGACTCATCTGTCCATTTTTGACATACTCTCTGACTCGGTCCATTTTTGACATACTCAAACTCAACATACTCCATCTAATTTTCCGAAAGACGTTGCGTCATTTGGAATTGGGAGTGCCAGTTGTGGTGCTGAGTCGCAGCAACACCACTCAACATATGTTCCGGTGGTTTCGACTGTTGCAGAACTTGTGTGAGAAATTCAGCGTCGACTCAGGAATGCTCACGTACTTGAGCTGCTCCATTTTAGGAAGGGCAAGGGTCTTGAATTTGATTCTATTCATACAGCTGAGGACGTTCTTTTTTAGATTTCGTTCAGAAACTAACGATTCATCTTTGCCTTAAATAATATGAGATTGCTGCGTCGGTGACGTCGTAATTCTTTTACAAAGAAAATATGTTGCTGGTATGTCGATCTCCACCTCCAGCTCCATCTTCTATCCTTGCTCTAACCCTCGCAGAGCAGCGTCGTGTCTTCTTACGGTGTCCTGGTAGTCCCATGCATTTTACCGGAAGTCGTGAAATTGCCGGGAAAATCAAGGAAGTGTGCCCGAAAATATTCGCGAGCACTGGTGGACCTAACACACTGGTCGCGACCGGATACAACGATAAAGTAGGAGACGCAGTGAGATGGTCCAACCTGATTGAAAACAAAGGACAATGCACTGCTTTGCGACACTTCGTTTGCCCAAGCGTGACTTATGTTCAAAATTGTTGTGTAAGTACTTTCAATGAATGGAGTTGATCTCGTCTTACCTAGACGATGTAGGTCGTGTCAACAACGACTACCACGAACAGCACTCTCGTCATCTTCATCCGATGACATCATCAATATTGAGTACAGTTCTTGCTTCACCATTATAGTCATCATCTAATGCTATGAGACAGATTTGAACGCTTGTTACGCCAAGGCTCCTGTCCTAGAAAGCTCACTGCAGTCAGTCGAACAAGGAGAATTTGCCGGAATTTTAACCCCGTGTGCGGAGTGGAGCAAGAGCAGATGCAAAGTCCCAGATGGTTACAAACAAATGCAATCACAGCCACTCATTTTAAGACTTGTGCAAGGACTAAGTGTTCCACTTGATCCAGGACTAAGACTGTAGTCGTTGATCGGGACGAGTGAGGACTTACCTTCTAGAAGTCTCCTCTAATAGCGAACTACCGCATCTCACCGAGCTTGCCGGTTTCTATCCAGGAACAGTGGCGACAACTCTACGTATGATATTGATATTCTTTCAATTGGAAGTGGAAGGAGATCCGGATCTGACACAACGTGAGCAAGAAAAGATAAAGATGTGATTATTACTTACAACTATCACTATGTATAACTATATATAAGTTATGGTGCAGCTCGATGTCTTACACTCTTTTCCTTTTGATTTTGTTCATGAGTATAAATAGTGATGATCTGATACTATATTACCGTAGCACGAAAGTAAAGGAAGACTTGTTGTGTGTCCTCCTCCTCAACCTCATCTACCGTGATCACGACTGCAATACAGGTAGACGTGACCACTCCGGAGTGTGTAAAGGACGCGAGTTTTTTATCGTCGCTTGCAGTCTGGTTGAACCGCGAACAACCGATTTCGTTGGCCATTAATGAAGACAGCGCTTAAGGCTACAACTTTCTCATTTGAGCGCAGCTTCCTTAGGCTTAGTACATGTACACTGTTATTTGAGCGCAGTTTCCTTAGTAAAAATAGTACAAGTTAAACTTTATAATTTGAGAGCATCGTCCATCATGTCTATCGTACTAGTAAGTGTAAGTTATAGTTGGCAGAAGGTCAAAGTCAACATTGTAGCTTTACAGAACGTGAAGATAGATTGCCCGTATAGAACAGCTGGCTTTTCAGCCTCCTCAGATCTTATGCTCCATCCTCTGCTCTAGTACCTCTAATCTCTTGCGGGTATGGAAGTCGCGAAGAAGCTGTTCGCTATGACGGGGATGGTCGTCTATACTGTAGGAACCATGGACAAACCTGCGTTGACAGCTCAAGCAAGGCCTCAGGATGGAGAGGTGTTATTTGTTACTTCTCTACAGCGAGCTAGAGTGAGTTTTTGAAGATTTGAGTATTTGAGATACTAGTTTGAAGATGATGCGTAGTAATGAAGCAGTGGCTGACTTTGATGACGCGCTTGTTTTGGACTTCACTCTACTTGAGAACAACGTACTAGACATTGGTTTCTTCTGGTTCATCTGAGAGAACAACTAGAGATCAAATAAAAGTAAAAAAACACTATTCCAGGTATTCGGCGAGTTCCCTCCGCGACGCCAGTTGCAGCAGTACACGCATGCACCGATGGTGGTGCCGTCTGGCGTGGCAGCATACAATGCCGTGTATAAGGAAAGCTTTTTGCAGGCAAAAGCAACAAAGCCTGGTGGTTTGACCGGCGTTTGCGGCTCCGCAGTCCAGGTGTGGTCGAGTATCCAAGCTCCGCTGGTCCGAGGATACGCCGCAGCGATTTTGGATTACCTAGTGTTATGATGTTGAGCCTGAAGCTGAACGTGAACAGAAGATTCACAAAAACTTGTTGATGTGCTTACAAAAATACAACTACAACACTTGCACTTGTTGAAAATCCCTTTACTTAGCATTAGCTGCAGCTCAAAATTAGAAGGTTTTGCTTTCTTTTCCTGCCTGCTTTCGCATTTGTCTGGTCCTAGATTCTATAGAAGGTAGTGTTAGTGCCTCTCTTGTCATATGTTGACTACATACTCTTTTTCTAACTAGAGACGCAACAAAAGCAGGACCTCGACGTGGATTCGGAGCAAGGACTACATATTTCGGTTTGCAGCGTCCACCGGTGTCTGCCGGAAATGCAACGTCTGCAGTTAAGGACTATTTAAAGATGTTTGTGTTTGATCTACTTCTAGGTAGAAGATTTAGATGTGGAGGATGATAAAGATAATACTGTTAGCGTGCTGTGAGGCACTTTGACCACTGCTCTACTGTGGTGTTATTGTTAATATGTTGTGGTGTGTATATTGTTAATATCTATGTCCTCAGGCCGAAAAGAGCAGACAGAGGGCTGTGAATACGGAACAAACGGGATCAACTATGATAATAGTTTCCATCGCACGCAGACGCACCTCTGCCACTCTAAGTAAATCCAGACCGTCCTTCGATGCGAGCAAGACGTGGATCGTGCATTGCTTCTTGCCTTGCCGTTTGTCGCTACCAATGCTCGTGATAGCTTGGTTCTTTCCGCAGCACCTTCAGTAGCAGCAACTTTGATATGCCTATTGCTATACATAGAGATGGAGATACCTCTAGCACATGATGACACCAGGCCGTGTTCTTATTGGCATGCTTCCACCAGTGCTAGTCTTATTTTATTCCTCTTCCTCTCTCTCTCCTTGGTATTTCTCGCACTTATCTCACGCTTATTAACACGTTATTATTACTCCCCCTCGCCCTCCGGCCTCCCACTTGCTGTAGTTGCTTGTCCCTGATATCCACTCAATAAAACGGTCTAATCTTGGAAAAAGTTCTGGCCGGGTCATCCGCGACGCTTATCCCGATTCGCAAGGAGTCGCACGCGGAGTTTGCGAGCAAGGTGGAGAAGGACCCAAGTTGGTATAATGTGATCTACGCGGACGCGGATATGGAGTTCATGCTCGCGCAGCAATTCATTTCCAGACTCCTACCTCTTGGCCATGTGAAGAGCACGTCGACGAACGATGAAAAATTCTACGCAGCGTTCGCGACTAGTGAAAAATGGCTCAGGATGTTGCCGCAGGGCAGCTCGTCCTTGTGCTGAGCCACTTACACTGTTAATAGTACTGGTGTATGTGGAACTCGAAGAAGAACGATTGACCTCAACCTGTTGATAATGTTGCTAGTTCTAATATGTAGCTGAGTACACTTCGACGGTAGGTGCTAGTACAGTTAAACATTTTTTCAAGTATTATATCCTTCGATCCACCATCATGCTTCAGGTTCTGGTTCGATCCTTGTGTAAATAAAGCATATTCATGAATAGTAACGCATTTTTGCTTTCGTCTGGGGCCGTTAAATCCTCAAATGTGACATCAGCATCTGGCTAAAACTACGAGGACATCACCATCAATTTCTATGTCATATAATGATGATACTAGTAGACAGACAAGCACAAACAACTGACTAAAGTTTATAAAAATTTTCCATGAGCACCATCGGCGGGATGCATATGCTAGTGCTGCGCAATGATTCTAAGCATTTTCATGACCATATTTTTGTGTCTTGTTGTAGTTCTTCATAATTTTCTTGTTAGAGACACTTGTGGATCAAATTCTAGAGGACCTTGGATCACTCGCATAGAAAAATGTGTGGACAAACAAAATTAGTAGACTTCGTAATACATCAAGACCATGAAACTACGCATCTTCAATCGACGAAGGAACAGGAAGGAACAAAAGTGAAGGAGCTCTTTCCGCTCAGAATCTGAAATGTAACGACTCACTGCTGCTCAAGAAGGGTACTTCTTCTGGGGCTGGAGCTGTGTCTGGAGGCGTCGAAAAAACTAAAATAGCATGAAGTCTCAGAGAACAGACCCAGACACTGTGTCACAAATGGAACCCAAAGAAAAAGAGTAAACGGGGAGAACAAGGAGTGACAAAAACTTGGAGTTGTGCTCTCGTATTTTTAAAGGAGAACCGGGGCGGTCAAGAGCAGTCGTGAAGTGGGCCAGTGGTTCTAGAAAAAATTTTAGTAGCGCTAGTGCTACTATTACTAAAAGATACTTCTACGTATCAATAAGAGAACAACCCTTGTTGTTCAAATCTACATGCAGCGCGAGCAGGAGCAGGGAAAGAAAACCTAGGACGATTCGTGATCCCGACTCTTCGCACTACAGACGTTCCTGGATCATCTGCTAGTCAAAATGCCACCGACGATGCCTAAAAAGGAAAAGCCGAACTTCATGTCCGACTGCCCAGGCATGACAAACAATGTGCCTTTCGTCCTTTTCACGGACGTCTCAGAGGAAGACGTACTACAACTTTTTACGTTTCTTATTTTTACTAGTACTACCTAACTAGCAGTTCCTCCACAGCCCTAGTAGCACATATATCTGGCTTGTAGCTGACAGAGGACTTCTAAGCGATCTAAATTATATGCGAGTGAGTATTTAATACAGTAGCCGAGTATGTGCGATTGTTATCTAGATTACTCGCTTAGGTCAGTTTATCGAATACCAGCATAAGCTCAACCCAGCAGGTTCTGATAATGCGAAAGCAGGGAACCTCTGAACGCAAGCATTACCTGGCGACGAAATGCATGAGGGTAGACCATGACGAAGGCACATTCCTTAAGGCTTATTTCCGCATTCCATCTTGAGAGTCACTGTCAGACCACTAAAAAAGAAAGGAGTAATCAGAAGAGTCCTGTTCAGAAACACTGTCAGACCACGTCTCTACGGTCACTATGAAAGGTGATAACAGGGACATTAGCATGCATCTTGAGAGCCATGATGCTGCTGAAAGGCCTTTTCAAAGACTGTCAGACCCCGTCTCTACGGCCATCGTCACCCACGACGCATCTCAAGATGAATTCGGGCGAGCTCTAAATTCCCGTTTGAAATTGCAGCGGATTTTCATTTTCACAACTTTAATTTCGGAGAAAGTCTCAAATTCACGCCAGAAAAAATGAGCACTTTTCTCAGTACTTCTAATGCAATTTTTCGTTCTTCGTCGTACTCAACGAGAAGTACTTAAAAACAGTTTTACTTGCTTGTAGACGCAACTACATTTTTTTTACACCGATGCATGCCATGAATCCTTGTCCTCCTCCCATTTCCTGAAAAGACGACGACTCTTAAGATATGAATATCTCCGATCTCCAGGTATGATGCGAACTGTCTATAACGAAAGCTTCGATTTGGGGCTCTCAATGAGCGAGAGTTACGAGTTGTTTCGGCATCTGCTTCTGAAGCATAGCTGCCACAGACCACCGTTTAGCACAGGCATATTCGAATTGAAGGATGTGAAGATTATGGTGATGATAACACTACCTCTCAGGTTGTTAGTGCCCTTTAGTACAGGCAGATTCTTGTGTAGTTCATTCTACTCTAACTGTAACTTCTGCAGAAGGATATTAAGAGTAGACAAGAACAACTTAAAGAAAGGTTTTTACTGGCGATCTCCAACATTTTCGTTCTTCGTCTAAGAAAAACATTTCCGACTACGTGTTGGATACGTTTTTCCGACATTACAAGATGTACAAGTACGTGTACGTATGCATCCGCGACCTGGAGGTAAAGGTAAAGCCGACCCCGGCTCTCAACCGAGGCACCCTGAAGACCGCTTTCGCCTGTTCCACAGAGAACGAAAGAGATCCGAGAACACATGTATTTTTGATTATTTCGGTCTGCACTCAGTGTACTTCAAGCATTAGAAGAGCATAAAACAGGAACAGTCATCTTCTCTCGACACAAGACAGCCATGTTCTCTGGAGTTTTTTTTCAAAACTTCTCTGGAGTTTTTTTTCAAAACTTCTCTGGAGTTTTTTTTCAAAACTTCTCACTCTGCTATTTTTATTTTAAAACTATTATATATACTATGCTGCCCAACTGCAACAAGTAGCCACTCAACAAATCACTACAGCCCTTCCTGTACGATCTGTTTGAGGAGGAAAGGAGAAAAGAATACCTGGATCAGAAGGCAAAAGAGGCAGAGGAGGCGGCGGAAGCTAAGAAATCCTTTGAGGATCGGGTTATGGGCACACTGGCAAGACTCGAGGATGAAGTCGACACCAAGATTAAAGAAGTGGATGAAAAATTGAACTAACATTTTTTGGAATACATCGTCGTCTATCTGGAGTTGAAATTGAATGCCCCAGTTGATGCTTTACCAGGGAATCCACTCGCTCCTGAATCCTTTCAGGTCTAGTTGTGGGTTCGGTTGGCTCCTGTAGATTTGATATTACTCATCTTCAGAAACTGGAAAGTGGATGTGGAACGAAGGCCGAATCTTCGATTGTAGTGACATCAGCGTGCTTATCGAGGTTGCCCTCTAAAGGCAGGGCACGAGATGCTGTTGGAATTACAGAGCCATCAAACTATGAACAGAGACTCGTTCGAGCTTTTCCGACTTCATGGTCTTTGAAATCATCTGTCGTACTACAACAACTCTGTTTCAACATCATCTGTTGCACTTGCACATCGGACGAGGAGAGCACTGTCGTGAGGGATTTCCTGCACCCTTCCCAATCCTTTGCCCCTCGATGTCCATCGGGTAGAAGATCGACCACCTCCACCATCACCACGACCACTAGAAGCAATCTGGTATTTCGTGATACTCTACCCTTCCTTAGATTGAGCTGAGTAGATCGTGTTGCTAGTAATCATCTTTATCTCATCTATCCGCATTTCTTCTCCTCGTAAAAGAAAATACAAATAGGATTAGCAGAGCGAAGAAGAATATTTTAATTTTTTTGTTAGAAACCTACCACAACGTTCTCCCAAACGATCATCTCAAGGAAGAAGCAAGTCTTGTTTTTTGAGAAGTTTAATTCAAACAGAAATGTTCGTTCTTCATTCACGGACGTAGGGGTGCGGCAGTGGCAGCTGCGGGGAGGTCGGTTGTATAAGGAGGTTAATGTACTCCACCCGTCGCCGGCAGGCACACCGGACAACACTGGGGCCACCCCTTCGCCGTTCTCGGAATACAGAAGCGGCGCCCGGTGGAGGCGCCCTACCTCAGTGTGAGCGCTTGCACAGTCCAGAGTTGGCCCTCGGTCTGTCTGTTCCTCCGTTATCCAGCGCCGCCGCTCGTTAGACGGCCGCATATGGTTGACTGACTGACTGTTGCTCTTCTTTCGTCATATTTGTTCTTTGCAGTACTTTTGCGGTACTGATTTGCGTCGATTATGAAGATTAGACAACTCTTCGATAAGGCAGGCGCTCTGAAGGATTCTTAAACTCGTCTACGGAGTGGGTATCTCATCATCATGGGACGCGGACTGGATATTGAGAATGCTGGGAGCGCTCGTGACACTCCCTCAGACCAGGACTCTCCCGTAGATGAGTGTGGAGGATCTCCTGGGGGAAAAGATGCTGAGGCGCAAGCCCTGCTTCGAAGGCAGTACGCTTCCAGAAAGGAGCAAAGGGACTTAAGGCCTAGTATGGTTGTATCATTGCTGCTTCAATAATGAATAATTGCATTTATCTGTCACCTAAGCAAAAGAACTTGATCGAACGAAACTTGGCAAGTTGTGGCTCGAAGATAATACTGTATAATGGTATTTCTAATTCTACCCGATCATTAGACACTTCCACCTCTCTAATAGGAGGGGCTGGCAAAAAAAACCGTCTCCGTGGTATTTGCGACAGACCGTGCCGCGTGCCTTCGCGGTGTCTGGTCTGTACCGTTACCACGATTGCGTTTCTCTTCTCAGTGGGCTTTTACTTCTACTTATTCTTATGGTTGTTCTCAATGATAACAGAGCTTGTTATTTTGCTTTTCTTCCATTCTCTTTGCAAGGAAGTGGTTAAAGGTTAAACATCATGATCAGGTCATTTATGTTTGTAGTTCTTGTAATGTACCGATAGATACCTCCAAATTTAATAGGGAAAGAAACTCGAATTTTTTTTCGCAGAAGACTTGCTAAATTGGGGCACTTTCATAGGGTTAATGCCAAGAAAGCTCTAATGTTGTATGATGCAGCACTCGCGTTTCTTGAGAAGACGTCGCGACTAGCAGGACAAGTTTTTCTCCATGCACAGCTGCCGAGCAGCACGTTGCAAACGTCCCAAGCACAGGTGGCGGATTGCGGTTCGGTCACTTGCTGCACACGTGCGACTGAACAAGGTATTGAAGAGAAATGATGAGTGGGAGTGATCGAATATAGTTTTATTTTTCCGGATTAAGACTCGTTGGTCTCGCTCGTCTCCCCCAGGTGTGTCATTCTCGTTAGATTTTCGACAACACACGACCAAGACCAACGCGCGCCCCGGGTTTTATCTCACAATAGAGCTAGTAGTTACTAGATAGGGCGAAAGCCTTGCCCTTGGGGCTTCTTTGCCATGGTGCTCTAGCCGCTCACGTTTTTGCTCCACCTTGCTGTCCCCACGTCTTTGTTTGCCTTCACTCCACCTCCTTGCCTCCGTCCACCTCCTTGCCTCCGTCCACCTCCTTGCCTCCGTCCACCTCCTTGCCTCCGTCCACCTCCTTGCCTCCGTCCACCTCCTTGCCTCCGTCCACCTCCTTGCCTCCGTCCACCTCCTTGCCTCCGTCCACCTCCTTGCCTCCGTCCACCTCCTTGCCTCCGTCCACCTCCTTGCCTCCGTCCACCTCCTTGCCTCCGTCCACCTCCTTGCCTCCGTCCACCTCCTTGCCTCCGTCCACCTCCTTGCCTCCGTCCACCTCCTTGCCTCCGTCCACCTCCTTGCCTCCGTCCACCTCCTTGCCTCCGTCCACCTCCTTGCCTCCGTCCACCTCCTTGCCTCCGTCCACCTCCTTGCCTCCGTCCACCTCCTTGCCTCCGTCCACCTCCTTGCCTCCGTCCACCTCCTTGCCTCCGTCCACCTCCTTGCCTCCGTCCACCTCCTTGCCTCCGTCCACCTCCTTGCCTCCGTCCACCTCCTTGCCTCCGTCCACCTCCTTGCCTCCGTCCACCTCCTTGCCTCCGTCCACCTCCTTGCCTCCGTCCACCTCCTTGCCTCCGTCCACCTCCTTGCCTCCGTCCACCTCCTTGCCTCCGTCCACCTCCTTGCCTCCGTCCACCTCCTTGCCTCCGTCCACCTCCTTGCCTCCGTCCACCTCCTTGCCTCCGTCCACCTCCTTGCCTCCGTCCACCTCCTTGCCTCCGTCCACCTCCTTGCCTCCGTCCACCTCCTTGCCTCCGTCCACCTCCTTGCCTCCGTCCACCTCCTTGCCTCCGTCCACCTCCTTGCCTCCGTCCACCTCCTTGCCTCCGTCCACCTCCTTGCCTCCGTCCACCTCCTTGCCTCCGTCCACCTCCTTGCCTCCGTCCACCTCCTTGCCTCCGTCCACCTCCTTGCCTCCGTCCACCTCCTTGCCTCCGTCCACCTCCTTGCCTCCGTCCACCTCCTTGCCTCCGTCCACCTCCTTGCCTCCGTCCACCTCCTTGCCTCCGTCCACCTCCTTGCCTCCGTCCACCTCCTTGCCTCCGTCCACCTCCTTGCCTCCGTCCACCTCCTTGCCTCCGTCCACCTCCTTGCCTCCGTCCACCTCCTTGCCTCCGTCCACCTCCTTGCCTCCGTCCACCTCCTTGCCTCCGTCCACCTCCTTGCCTCCGTCCACCTCCTTGCCTCCGTCCACCTCCTTGCCTCCGTCCACCTCCTTGCCTCCGTCCACCTCCTTGCCTCCGTCCACCTCCTTGCCTCCGTCCACCTCCTTGCCTCCGTCCACCTCCTTGCCTCCGTCCACCTCCTTGCCTCCGTCCACCTCCTTGCCTCCGTCCACCTCCTTGCCTCCGTCCACCTCCTTGCCTCCGTCCACCTCCTTGCCTCCGTCCACCTCCTTGCCTCCGTCCACCTCCTTGCCTCCGTCCACCTCCTTGCCTCCGTCCACCTCCTTGCCTCCGTCCACCTCCTTGCCTCCGTCCACCTCCTTGCCTCCGTCCACCTCCTTGCCTCCGTCCACCTCCTTGCCTCCGTCCACCTCCTTGCCTCCGTCCACCTCCTTGCCTCCGTCCACCTCCTTGCCTCCGTCCACCTCCTTGCCTCCGTCCACCTCCTTGCCTCCGTCCACCTCCTTGCCTCCGTCCACCTCCTTGCCTCCGTCCACCTCCTTGCCTCCGTCCACCTCCTTGCCTCCGTCCACCTCCTTGCCTCCGTCCACCTCCTTGCCTCCGTCCACCTCCTTGCCTCCGTCCACCTCCTTGCCTCCGTCCACCTCCTTGCCTCCGTCCACCTCCTTGCCTCCGTCCACCTCCTTGCCTCCGTCCACCTCCTTGCCTCCGTCCACCTCCTTGCCTCCGTCCACCTCCTTGCCTCCGTCCACCTCCTTGCCTCCGTCCACCTCCTTGCCTCCGTCCACCTCCTTGCCTCCGTCCACCTCCTTGCCTCCGTCCACCTCCTTGCCTCCGTCCACCTCCTTGCCTCCGTCCACCTCCTTGCCTCCGTCCACCTCCTTGCCTCCGTCCACCTCCTTGCCTCCGTCCACCTCCTTGCCTCCGTCCACCTCCTTGCCTCCGTCCACCTCCTTGCCTCCGTCCACCTCCTTGCCTCCGTCCACCTCCTTGCCTCCGTCCACCTCCTTGCCTCCGTCCACCTCCTTGCCTCCGTCCACCTCCTTGCCTCCGTCCACCTCCTTGCCTCCGTCCACCTCCTTGCCTCCGTCCACCTCCTTGCCTCCGTCCACCTCCTTGCCTCCGTCCACCTCCTTGCCTCCGTCCACCTCCTTGCCTCCGTCCACCTCCTTGCCTCCGTCCACCTCCTTGCCTCCGTCCACCTCCTTGCCTCCGTCCACCTCCTTGCCTCCGTCCACCTCCTTGCCTCCGTCCACCTCCTTGCCTCCGTCCACCTCCTTGCCTCCGTCCACCTCCTTGCCTCCGTCCACCTCCTTGCCTCCGTCCACCTCCTTGCCTCCGTCCACCTCCTTGCCTCCGTCCACCTCCTTGCCTCCGTCCACCTCCTTGCCTCCGTCCACCTCCTTGCCTCCGTCCACCTCCTTGCCTCCGTCCACCTCCTTGCCTCCGTCCACCTCCTTGCCTCCGTCCACCTCCTTGCCTCCGTCCACCTCCTTGCCTCCGTCCACCTCCTTGCCTCCGTCCACCTCCTTGCCTCCGTCCACCTCCTTGCCTCCGTCCACCTCCTTGCCTCCGTCCACCTCCTTGCCTCCGTCCACCTCCTTGCCTCCGTCCACCTCCTTGCCTCCGTCCACCTCCTTGCCTCCGTCCACCTCCTTGCCTCCGTCCACCTCCTTGCCTCCGTCCACCTCCTTGCCTCCGTCCACCTCCTTGCCTCCGTCCACCTCCTTGCCTCCGTCCACCTCCTTGCCTCCGTCCACCTCCTTGCCTCCGTCCACCTCCTTGCCTCCGTCCACCTCCTTGCCTCCGTCCACCTCCTTGCCTCCGTCCACCTCCTTGCCTCCGTCCACCTCCTTGCCTCCGTCCACCTCCTTGCCTCCGTCCACCTCCTTGCCTCCGTCCACCTCCTTGCCTCCGTCCACCTCCTTGCCTCCGTCCACCTCCTTGCCTCCGTCCACCTCCTTGCCTCCGTCCACCTCCTTGCCTCCGTCCACCTCCTTGCCTCCGTCCACCTCCTTGCCTCCGTCCNTGTGTGGGACTCTTGTCGTCAAAATAGAATCAACCACTGTACAGCCCCGCGAACACAAGGAGCGGATGAAGCTTCTAGCACGGCATCCGCAGCAGGGGCTTCAGCAGCTTCTGGCTCAGCTGCGACTTCTGGCCCAGCAGGCGCATCCCCTTCTGAACAACCAGCGGTAGCCAACCCGATTACGGAAGCAGCACCAGGGCCAGTGGGTAAACAATGTTCGATTTACGTGAGATATTTACTTAGTTTTCCTTGAATGCAACCTGGTCGATTTATAATTCCATAATCTCTAGCTGCACCTGCAGTCCGACAATAGCTAATTAAAGTCCGACACTGTCTAGCTAAAGTTAAACGCTTTATAGTTATAACCCGACGTACTCTGGTTGGGATTAGACACATTCGAGTAGAAATTGCACACTTTCTAGTTATCTTGAGCATTTTCTAGTTAAAGTTAAACACTTTCCACTTATAACTTGACATTTTCTAGTTACAAACTTTGTAATTGTAACTGTGTTTTGTGTTTTTGATATGATTTTGATGAGGTGGTCGATTATATGTGAACTGGTAGACGACATACTCTAAGGTGGTGATTGGAAGGCGGTAGGCAAATCTAGACAGGATCCAGACATCGGCCGAAAAGAAGAAAGAGCAAATCAAAACACGAATCGAAGATCCGAACCAAATGCATGCGAAGAAAGTCGACTTCAAGCGTGGAAATTTCAATGCGTGCAATGATCGAAATCGTGATCGAAGTCGACCTTGAGTCTGAAACTTGCTGTTTGATGACTAAGTAGTAAGTTGAAGTTGTTGAACGAAAGGTTGTGTATGAAGTTGTTGAGCATTTCACTTGGAGAAACATAGATCGAAAGTAAAAGAGCCTCAACAAAGCCTCACACAACCCAGCCAAACTTAGGATTGTAAATCACTTGGTAAGCCTGTTGGCCTGAGTGTATATCATATAAACTGTTGATTAATCTCCGATATTGAAACATAACATCCTTTGCAAGCATAGTTGTATCAAAATTATAACCACATATAGTTGAACACCGTCCAACCATAAAATAAGAACTAAACAAGAAATTGAGAACGTAACTAGTCCGTAACGATCATTTGAACAAAACTTGTTTGTACTATTGTTGCTGACGCCTCCGCGCAGCTGTAAGTGTAACTGTTGACGCCTCCGCGCAGCCAGGAGTTGGTCACTGACGCCTTCGCGCAGTGTTGTTAGCAGTAGTTCAAACCACGAAGAACATCTACATATTTGACCCCAGACCTTCGTCGGGACTTAAACACAGCTACACCCCAAAGCGACGTTTTGGAAAGACATAAACGAACCACAAAGACTTTGAGTTGTTTAGGTTAGGCCTCCGCCAACCCCTTGTCCACACCGTGCGCTATAAGTAGGTTAGACCTTCGTCAACCGAACAAACCAAAGTTGTAGTTGTTGAGTCCGAAGAAGTGGCTACCAACGATAGCGCAGGTCCTAGAGACTCGGTGTTCTGTGTCTAGCTTTCCGCCTTCCAAGATCCCGAGCAGAGTATCGCTCAGCCACTTTTACTTAACCAAGTGGTGGAGAACGGGTGATGGACGGTTAGCTGATACAGTAACTAAAGAAGAAGTAGACTAGCAAAGTTTAACATGCAGCTAGGGTTCAAAGCACCGATTGAAGAAGTTGGTTACGATTTATCAGAAGGTTTTAGAATTGCTGCGTTGTGCCACGAGCTTGAATTATTGCACGAATTATTGGAAATATTTTTTGGTTCTGTGCGTCCGGCAAGGGCTCACTTTGGACCTTCGATAGAAGAAATCCAAGAGCTAGGCGCACAGACCCCAAAAGGGGTTCGTGTTTTGGTGAAGAAGACCAACTTGCAACTATACGACCGGATAGATACGATCGAAAATAAATTAGAAGATATTGGTTATTGTTGTGCTGAACTCCTCGCACTGAGAAGGGAACAACTTTTGTTAGACGGACGCCTCGCCGTGTCTGGCTTGCGCACTTCTGTTACAGCCGCCCGAATCTCAGTGCAACAACTTGTCGGAGAATATACCTTTGACGATCGTTTAGAATATAATACTTGTTCGTTCGCAGCGGGAAAATTGTCCGAGTTGTTTAAACATACCCTCAGTTCTTCCAGGTCCTTGATCTGGACCGAGATCCAAACTAAAGGGACCGCTTGTCGCGACTATTTTAGATCTCCCGGTGGACTGTACTTAGAATATTTCCAATTTGCGGGTGGTAGCGTCGTTGATCGTAACGTTGACCTCGTGCCAACCAAACGGTCCGAGTACCTTCGTGTTAAACGTGAACAACTTTTGAACGAAGGATACGAGAAAGTTAGTAACAATAAGATCATCCGCGAAAACCGATTTTTTGGTTTAAAGCGTGGCCCTAGATCCACGCTACGTAACGGGGTACACGAAGTGCTTTTGAAGGTTTTCCCTACATTTGTTATTGACCATATACGGGCTGTTCCCCGGTCTCGCTGGGCTTCATCGGAATAAAGAAGTAAAGAAAGAAAGAGTCGATAACCCTTACTAGACGGTTGGACGGTATAACGAATAGAGAACAATATGATTAGTTTAAAACATGGAACGCTCGAGGTATAAGATTGCCTTCGTGGGTGAGTCGATTCCTGAGAAACTTGACGACGCTATCCATCGAGTTAATCGCGCGCTGCGGAAAGGAACAGTGCAAGTAGTGAAGAAAACAACAATTGAAACCGTTGTTGCGGATCCAATTGCTGAATCTAGTGGCTCCGAGAGCCCTCAAGCCACTTCGCGTGCCGCAGCTCGTCGCGTGTCGGTGCCTAGTTCCGAAGAGCCGACGATTGGGAAAACCCGAGGAACAAGGCTTGACAGTTCGACTGGCCTTTCGGTTTCGGTACAAGAGACGGAGCTAACGCAAGGTGCGCAACCCGTTTCGTTAACGAAAACTCAGAAACGAAACGCAGCAAAGCGACGTGCGTTGCGCAAACAAGTACTTGTAGAACTCCAAGCTGGGACGAGTGGTTCGGAACCTCCGTTGAGTGACCTGAACCACTTGCGAAACGCTGCTGGACCGTGCTCTGGTTCTGTTGGTAAAGAGGAACGACCACCGTGTCGTTCTGAATACCGAAGAAAGAACGAGGCACCGCGTCTAGTGGACGTTTTAGTTGGTTCGGACTCGGAGGCCCCACGAACAACGGAAGCGTGTTCTTCGCGAACATATTTCAAGACCAATTCGCCAGCAAGGACGACGGAAAGTTGTTCAAGCGTTGTTCTTTCGCGACCACCGCGCAATCTGAATTGCCGCTCGGTGTCAGTCCAGAATCCCCGGTTTGACCGCCCTCGACCTGGATTGCTGATCCTGAAACGAGACAATTCCCGCAGGTCGCCTGAGCGAGAGCGTAGCCCTCGCCGTCGGGCCGAGAAACTTGATCGACGTTCAATATCGATCCCTCGACCGAAATTTCTAGCTCCGAGTCCGGAGATAGGTGCTGAACAACGACCCCAAAAGGGAGTTTCCCTCAAACCGCGAACCGGTGCGGCGCAGGTAAAGAGGCCTTCTTCGCTTTCGTTGTCTAGTTCAGAAGAGCCTGTAGTTGCTCCACCAGCACGAACGACGGTTCCTGAAGCCTCGGAACGCGTTCACCGTCGTCGATCTCCTGCATTACCTCGAGGCCGACCTGATCGCATCATTAAGCGGGCCGACCGCTCTACCGGGGTGGTGAACCGAGAACCTCCTACTCTCCGTTCTCCGAACGACGTGGTCCAAACCACTCGCGAAATTCTCCAAAAGAAAACGAGTGAGGAGACGAACCAGGAACGAGAGATAACTCCAAGAAGGGGTCCAGCGGTCAATGAGACCACATCGACAAATTCGAGTTGAGTATCTGGCGGGACCGAACAACGACCGAGCGGTGGTTTTCGAACAAATTTCCCAAAGCTCCCTCGTTGCCCCACTCCGAACCCGCGGCATCAGGCTAGTTCGGAACAAGAGAGTAGTTACGCTTTCGTTCGAAAGACAGCTCGGGTTTCAGATCTTGCCTTTGTGCTACCAGAAAGCCGGACTGACGTATAACCGCTCCGGGGCCTTGTTGGCAACGAGCGGGCAGAAAGAGCCTGGCCTCAACTTAGTTCCTAACGAAATCACGCCGTTCTTGCGCTGGAACGGCCGATATACCTGGTCGGGTGTTGTCGAAGCCGGTCGACACAAGCTCGATATCTCGACTTGGAGTTACGAGGCGGTCCGGGTTGATAATTGGGTTTCTGTGTGGGATCCGGAAGAAACACGCTTCTGCCAATTGCATCGACTTCGAGTTGGAAGGGATTACCTCCTTGAGAGTGCGGACGACCCCGAAGGGATCCTGAACTCTATTTTTGGACCTCCTCCCGCCCCTGTTATTTCGGATAGAGAGTGGTCTGAACTTGGTCGACCTCATGAGCTCCAGTGGCTTCCGCCCCTCCGGGTCCCCGAAGGACCGCGGGCGAGTTGTTCGCCCAAAGGAACCGGCAATGGAACCAGACTTGAGCTCTGCAAGAGAAGGTGTTCCACCGGTGGCTCCGTTTGTCCGCGCTGGCTCTAACTCCGGTTCTAGTGGTGCCCCCCGTGTCTTGAGCCAGAAGTTTGATAGTTTTGGACGTATTGTGTTCAACTGGAAAGACCCGCGGCAAGGTCTGTGGAAACTCGATGGCGCAGACGTTTTCCTCCAAAAGGTCACTTACCGTGGGTCGACTAGCGTTTTCTACGGGTACTGGAAAGATGAAAGTGGACAGACCAACCAAGGCTTCCTTGGTATGTCTCGCGGTGACCTCGGGCGGTGGAGTTCTGAACTTCGTGTTACCAGTGCCGATGTTTTACAAGCGGAATTGAACACTGATAGTGTCCCGACTGATGAGCTGTTGCAACGCCCTGACGTCGACCCTTCGAGCTGCTTTGTTACACGCGGCCACGAGTTACCTGGAAATACGAAACGAGTCATGGACAGTGCGAACACATTGTTGGAAAGACATTGTGTGACCACCTCAACGGTGGGACGTTCGTCGATACTTTCACCTCCTCCTGAAATCCGAGCAGATGAAGCGGCTGGGTCCGGCTCGTCTTCAAGTTCTCGACAGGTTGCACCTGCGATGGTTCCTCTCCGAGTTTCGTCTTGCTCCGGGGTTGCGGTCGGGGCTTCTCAAGACAGCGCTGAACAGGACGAACAC